GATGTAACAGAGCTAAACAGAAAACCTAATTTGTTGTCGGATGCAAACAACCAGACCCACACATGCAGAGTTTAGGCTAACTACTTTACTGTCTTCTGCCTATAAGGAATCTCTCAGTCTGGCAGCCTATCCTTGGAAATGATTACATAAAACTTGAAGAAATTTAGGGGTCTTAGCCTTTTTGCGGTTGTGCAATGACTCCAAGCTAACTGCACTTGATCCCTTCTCCATGCCAGGCTTCGTGCTTCCCAACAAAAGCATAGCAATTTATACTTCTGGATAATTGCATACAGTTTATACATGAATTAAATAGTGAGCTTATTTAAGTGCTATTATGCAAACATCTGTATATTTTTTGTGCAGCAAGATACTAAAACAGGATTATTAATCACTATTAGATATTAATAGCGCCTATCAAATTGTCCATCATGTTAGTCTTACAATCTGTACCAAATCCTTCAACGATGCATGAATTAATTACCTAGCCTTGTAAAAAATATATATTTATTAAACTTTGTCTTTCTTTTTAGACAGGGGGAAGACCACAAGTTGAAACTGTTCAAAGTACTGTATGATAGTTCTTTAATATTGGGCATGCTGCCTACCAAGGATTGTGGGTTTTGTATATAATGTATTTTTTCACTCTTTGGCAACTTTTTGTATTCAATAAAGATTGTACTCAAACATTAACATTGTCATTTTAAAATATGCAAAATTAAATCTTAAAATTTATTAAGTTAGTATTCTGGTTTCAAATTTTGGTTATCTGTCTTACATGCAATCAGCGTGGTAGTTACTTATTGTTTTGGTACAATAAGTTTTTCAAGATTAAAGTGGGATAAATCTTCCAAAAAGTCTCAGACCAGAATAAATAGATGGGAAATGAAAAATATATGGAAAGGCTGTAGTCTAGTATGGAAAATTATCTAGTCTAATGAGGCTTCTGTTTATTTAAAATTGTAGTTTTGAAATTTCATAAAGTATAAGATTAGGACAAAACCCTAGTTTAAGAAATCATAGGAAAGCATAAGATGATTGACTAAAGGAAAACCCAGGTGTGGTCAGAAAGTTTGCCCATAGTCCGTTTTGAAAGAGTCTGAACTCTTTATGCCCTCATAAAAATGATTCATAAATTATCAAAGCAGAAAAATCACTCAATAATATGAACATATTGAATCCTGATCCGAGCAGAAATAGCTTCTTGGATTGTAGATAGAGCAAAACCAATGGCTTTAAAACTCCTTTAGGATTTAAATGTGAGAATACAATCTTACTAGTAGCAGTATAAAATCTGAAATGTAATTTTAACAAAGTGCCTACTAGCAAGAATTAAGAGAAAGACAAACTTCTTCAAGAAAGCTCTTCTATAATTGTATCATGACTAGATGACAAGCTTTTGAAGAGAAATACCTGCAAATAGTTTGCTTTACACTGAACCCATCATTGTCTCTCCCCAGATTTGCAAACCTCTAAATAACCATGCACAATATGCTTCTCTGTGTCTAATCTGCAAGCAAATGCAATTTGTTAATTCTTCCCTGGAGTTAAAAATACATGAAATATTTTTTATCACTAGCCTTACTGGTAAATACATGATAGCTTCTTGCTTCCACCAAGGTAAAGTAAGACAGAGAGAATTGAGATACATAAGAAAGTAGCATTTGATGGGAATATAAGAATTTAGAAGATTTATTAATATAACGATGGCATTTTATTAATACTGTCAAATAAGAGATTTTGAGACATATCTTTGAACTTTCTACCCTGAACTGGTATGGACTTCAATTTCAGACTATAAAACTGGAAATCCACTGTAATGGATTTCTGATTGAAATTTTCCTGGCTTTACATTTACTTTTATCAAGAAAAAATGTTCAGCTAGAATGTAATGGTGTAGTGCAGGGATATTTATGCTCTGACATGTTTGGGATTAGACTTTATTGGTCCAGCAGTTATAAATAATAGCAAAATATTTTGGTAATTGCAGTAAATGTACATAAAGAAGGGCATGCACCTACTAGTGATCTAGTACATCATTTGGAACTGAGCTACTTCAGAAAAGTACACCTGTAATGCAGATGTTTTGCACTTACGAACAATTGTTCTGGCTAGGACTGCTATGGAAAGTACATTGTTTTCATTGCAATTTGAGAAATTGTTCTCTTTTCATAGAATCTAGCTAAACTATTCTCAGAGAGAAATATTCTTGAACTTGTTACTTTGCACTTTTCTCTGATAAACAGATTATGAAAAATCAGTCTTGAATATACATTCCTGTGGAATTTAAAACACAGCTGTAATGGTTCTCTTCAAGAATAAAAATACTACACTAATACTGAGCTCATTACACATTCTTTTCAAAAAAAGATGGGTTCTAGGGAGTTGGGCTTCCCAAATCTTAAGGTACAAATCTACTGAAAGATCATAGTATCTGTTTGGTTACCTTAAGTATGTATTTGTGTGCAAAGCATTTCACTTTGAATAGTTCTGATGCTGAAACTGCTGTTTTGAGTATAAAAGAATCATTCCAAGGTTCTTGGAAATCTTCCAAGTTCAAAACAGCTGGTTCCTAGCTTAAAAACTCAAACATACTTGGAGAGGGATGATCAGTAAAGTTCTGAACTAAACATGTTTCTAAACAATATTTTGGGCACCTTTAATATTTTGAATACAATTGACTAGCAAAAGAGGATGGTTATCATGTATACGCACCAATTTATCCATGCAAGAATACAAACACGTGACTGAACTAGCAAAACTAAGTTTTGGGCCTGGTAACGAGTTATTACTGTGCCTTCAACATCGATAAGAGAATTGCAATGTTCACTATTTAATTACAATTTAAATAGTATTTAGAACAAGGTTCTAAAGGAATTTCAATATAAAGTTTCATCAGTTTAACTTAAAAAGATAAATAGACCAATTTTTGCAATCTTTCACTGTTAATAAAAATTCTTTAGGTCTTTCTTATTTCCACCCGTCAAAGTGGTATCAGCATATCTGAAGTTGCTGGAGTTTTTTCCAGGAATTAGCACAATAATTCATAATCTTTTTCATATAAATTAAATTAGGTAAGTTATGTAAACCCTTGGACTACTCTAAACAATGTAGCTGTTCTAACCTTCCTGATACACATTTTTCAATAAAAAAATTACTTGGCCCAGTTAATCCACATTTTTAAGAGCTGTAGATATCTGCCAGTTCTATATGTTGCTGAAGCCAAAATACAAACTTGAGCCTTACTTTACATGTGAGATTGATTGTTAAGTAATTTGAGCATTCTTTATCATATTTTTTAGTATTGGAATATAAATTGATATTTTTCAAATCCTTTGGCAGGCTGGAGGATTCTGGGAGTTGAAGTTCACAGCGCTACGGTTGCTACGGTTAGGAAGTACTGTTCTAATAGCAATAGCACTTAGACTTATATACTGCTTTACAGCCCTCTAAGCGGTTTACAGAGTCAGCATACTGCCCCCAACAATCTGGGTCCTCATTTTACTGACCTTGGAAGGATGAAAGTATGAATCAACCTTGAGCTGGTGAGACTCAAAATTGCAAAACTGCGGGCATCCAGCAATCAGAAGCAGCCTGCAGTACTACATTCTAACCACTGTGCCACCATGGCTCTCATAGTATTGTATAGGAAGAAGCTTCCTTTGCTTCTAACTTTTAGGATACTTTTATTTGCTTTATGCTGATGAAGCATATCTTGAATTTTTCAGGGACCATTGTTTGTCTGATTATTTTCTTTAGTTGAAATAATGTACGAGGTTGTTTGACCTGATCTTGCTTTTGCTGATGGAAGTGAATTATTCTATCTACTTGCAGAATATGTAGTTAATTTGATCTCAATGATGTCTGTATGTAGAGTCAGTGATCTTTTAGATTATAGGAAGAAGGTATTTTCTATAAATGTTGCTTTTCCTTGGCAGAACTGTTCTGCATCCAGGTTCATTTCATAGGCCAAGGCCAGATTTTTGTTATACATCATTTTAATCACATAGAGTACTATGGCTTTTTTCTTCTTTTTTTTTTTGTGTTGAATAGATAAGATGTGGCAAATCATAAATTCATTATGACGCCAAGTTAGTCCTCAATTATTGTTCAGCGGCCATTCAAAATTACAATGGAGTTATGACTTTTGCCCAAAGTTGCTGCTATTGCAGTGCCTCTGGCCATGTGATCAGAATTTGGACGCATGGCAGCACACACACCTTTACAATCATGAGGTGCTGTAATTCCCCCCCATCTCAGCTGCCCACCCAGCCCATCAGCATGCACAAAACTGCCTTGGCATATTCGGTGGCTACTTCTCCCCACTGTACCGCACCAGGATACCTGGGCCCTTTCCCTGCCCACCATGCCTGGGAGGCTCGCTGTAGCCTTATGAAAGATCCTGTTGCTAGCTTCCTAGTTGTGACTCAAATCAGCTGGGCATATCTGTCAGCAGCCGCAGAAAAAGGCAAAAGTAAAAAGATCCCGGAATCATGGGACAGGGAAAGAATCCTCCAGCATAATGGGATGAAGAGAAGGCCAGGTATTTCCTGCTCATGGCAGATTTCTGCATGCCAGTGAGCACCAGGGGTTTCCCATCCCCTTAGGCACCCCCCCCCCATGCAATTGCTTAACAACAATTGGGAGGCTCAGGATTGCCATCTAATGGAGCAGTCACAGGGGCATCTCAATGACAGCTTCATTCATCGTTCAAGTTTCAGATCCTAATTGTCATAAGTCAAGGACTACCTGTATAGAGAAATTTTGCTCCTGGAAGAAGTGAATAGATGTATTTTTATACCACCTTTATTTTTATAAATTCAAGGCAAGGAACATATCCAACACATTCCTCTATTTTTTCTACAACAACAACACTGGGCTGAGAAAAAGCGACTGCCCAAAGTCACCCAGCTAGCTTTCATGCCTAAAGTGGGACTAGAACTCACAGTCTCATGGTTTCTTGTCTGGTGCCTTAAACACAAGACCAAACTAAGAGAGATGTGTTAGTTTTTTAGCGGCTTGCTTTATTTTGTTTTCACACAGTTTATTACATACTCATAAATAGGCCATTACATCCATTGCAACATAGATTTTGGGCTGCCTGTGCAAATACTGTATGTTTATACCATGTCACATCCTCATTAAAACCAAACAAGCTATTTTTAAAAAAAAATTAAGCTCAGATTTCAGTTCAAATCCACTTAGTCCTGAAGCTCATTGAATGATCTTCATTAGCCTAAAGGAAAACGATGGATGGAAAATAATTATAAGATCTTAAGTATCAAAAAGACAGAATATGATGGTAAGAAATACATTTAAATGACTTGGAAGGGAATATTCATATTCCACTCTAAGAAGTGGTAGTTACATTAGCAAAAATAGGAATTTATTTAACTCAAGTCAAGGAAAAAAAATACAAAAGGGGAAAAAATCAGGGGGAAAAACAGTATTAAAACACTATTTACCTTGATCACATAGAATGATATAAATCAGTCTTTTTATAGCGATATTATTTTCCTAAGCAGAGTGAACAGTATCATTTATAAATCATATATGATTATAAATCTGAATTGATACCTTTCCAAGGTAAGAGTAACTTCTTTTTGGGTCTACTCTTTTCTCAATAGATAGTTTTTCATATAATGATAGATTATTAATCCTAGATCAATAAATTTATCTGTAACTTCCAGATCAGAAAATGCATTCATCCAAGAAGGTTGCAAAACACAACAAAGAAATCACTGCAAAAACAAAAGCCTCAAAGATGAAGAATAAAACCCCTTTTATTTAATTGTCAGACAAATTGAATACATGTGAGCATAGCTTATGTTTGAGTAGTTCCTATACTGCGGAGGCATATCTGGAGAAAAACACTTCTTTCCATGTTATTTGAAAGATAACCAAAAGGAACTTTTGGGTTCTTCTACCAATTCTGTTTGGGATAGATGAATCCCAGCCATTCTAGTTTACAACAGCAAACTACTGTATTCTTCCTCTAGCACCTGCATGGGATCAGGCTTCTGTAGGATCAAGTGTGGCTGGTAACTCTGGTGGGAAAGGCAGCTCAGGTTTTTGGGTACTAAAGATGTGTAGTCTCAAAGTAGCATCGCCATACATCTTGTGTTCTGCTGGCTAAAGTGAAGACAGAAATGATAAGGCTTGACTAAGACACAGAGCATTCCCATAGAGTAGAATGAAAGCTAAATCAACTGATTCTTACACATATGACATTGCTTCTATGGCTTGTAAAACATGGCTTTTAAAATGGTTTAAAACACTACTGAAATAGGCCAATTAAGAACGTTGAAATAATAAGAATAGGATTTGGGGCCATCTCTGGATTTTAACAACTCACTGCCATATTGTGTACATATTTCCTCAGTGTACTGTTTACTGACTAAATCATACTAGGCTTATGTAATACACAAAGTTGTAAATCATGCTGATAAACAATGGCTCGATTTAGCAACTTAGACGTATACTGCTTCATAGTGCTTTACACCCCTCTGAAAGCAGTTTACAGAGTCAGCATATTGCCTCCAACCACCTGGGTCCTCATTTTACCGACCTTGGAAGGATAGAAGGCTGTGTCAACCTTGAGCTGGTCAGGATCAAACTGTTGGCAATTGGCAGAATTAGCCTGCAATAGTGCAATACTGCATTCTGACCATTGCACCACCTTGGCTCTTAATTTAGTTAACATTAAGCTAAAAGCAAACCAGGTTGTTGCATTGTACAATGTGAATACTACATTTTCTTAACTGGGGGTGGGGGGGAACTACCTTAACTTTAATGTTTTTCCTATTTCTTAAACTAAACCTTGGCATGCTACATTAGAGGGGACTTACCACAGTGGGCAAAACTGTTATAGGTGGCACAGGACATTGATACAGAGATAATGTATGAGTGCCAATATTCCACGTAGTCATTCTGGATTCCTCTTCCTTCTTTGCACCTATAGAGGCAGAGTGGAAATAATTGTATTACTAGAGATACCATATAAATCCTGATTCCTGAAGAGAATCATAGCTTCAAGGTATCTAAAACACCAACCACATACCTGCAAACATCACTTCACAGGATTCAAGCCGCTTGGTTAGTCTGAACACAGCCCAGGCAGCTAACCATTGTTCACTCCCTAATGATGGATAATGGGAGGTGAATTTGTTGTCCCAGAATGCAGATGCTTCCCTTCCTTTGGGGCAGTGATAAAAGCGAGCAACAAGGATCATATCTTCTTGTGGCATAACATCCCAAAATATTACCTGAGAGGAGATCAAAAGAAATCTACAATGCCCAGTAGAAAAATGTATGGCTCTAATGTTTCTGCCATTAGCCACCCTTTCCTTCTATCATTTCTTTAAATAGGTATTTGTTACTACAAAATCTATACAGGTAGTCCTCAACTTATGACCACTATTGAGCCCAAAATTCATGTTGCTAAGTGGATTTTACCCCATTTTATACCTTTTCTTGCCACAGTTGTTAAAACAATTTGGGTGCTTCAAAACAATTTGGTTTAAGATTGCCTTCACTGCTGCAAACTAGAAAAACTCAGTGTTCGCTCCAACTGAGAATATCCTACTAATATCCCTTCCCTTTCCACCTATTGCGCATGATGAGGACTTGCAAATAAATCCAAGTCCTTGCTAAGAGAGAGTTCTACAACCATTGACACACCTATAAAGGAATCTCTTAACACGATGGGGAATGGAGATCTGAAAACTGAGAGGCAGAATTGGAAATTCTCACCAATGGGAAAATGCCCACCAACAATCTCTGCGAAGCTTCAACATTGCAGGCTAAGAAGAAATGCCTTTAGCAAGACTACAGAATTAACCGGGGCAGTTGTTAAACAGAGGAGGTTTGGTGTAATGGTTAAAGTGCAGGCCTAGGAATTGGGAGATTGTGAGTTCTAGTCCTGCATTAGGCATGAAAGCGAGCTGGGTAACTTTGGGCCAGTCATTCACTCTTATCACAATTCACCTCACAAGGGTGTTGTGGGGAAAATCAGAAGAGAAAAGAACATTATTTATGTTCACTACCTTGAGTTACTTATAAAGTAATAAAGGCAGGATGAAAATCGAAAAAGTAATAAGATCTTTCAGGTACAAAACTGATTCTGGAGCAGTGTAAAGCTTTCCTGTAGAAATATAAGTCCCACAATCGGAACCTTCTGCATACCTGTTCCTCTCCAAATATGAAATAACTGTATTTGGTGTCTGATCTGATGAAATTAGTGCAATAATTAAATCCTGAATTGCTGGTGCAAATCATCTGAAAGGATTAAGAAAAATACAGTCCATCTCCTCACTTAAGTCATTTAATACATTTCTTATATTTGAGTCAAATCCTTGGATGATTCTATTGCATTAAAGTTTAATAACATGAATTGCAGACTACAAAACTTGAGGGATGCTATAGCCCAAATATACATTATGGACCTTGTATAACCAATCCAGCTGTCCTGAATTCACTTACATAAAGATTACAATAATTCATAGCCTTTGTTGTTTCTGGCTAGGTTTCAGGCACTGCCCTAGCTGCCGTTGACAATATATCTTTCTGCATCTAATGGGTGCCAATCAGTGGCGGGTTGCTCCCGGTTCGCCCCAGTTCGGGCGAACTGGTAGTGGCAGCAACGGGAGGCTCCGCCCACCCAATCAGACGTCATCAAAAATGCTCTGTGCATGCACAGAAGTGTTGCGCGCTGGGATTTGAAACCCACTACTGGTGCCAATGTAAGAAATTATCTGTGTCCAATTGTTTCCTCTATTCAGTACAATATGTCTATTGTCTGGCAATAGATCTCAGGATTTTAGACACATCTTTTTCAGTTCATAAAGATACTAAGGACTGTGCCCTTTGAATGCATGAAACATGCCTTTTTCCCATAGAAAAATTAGGATGTAGGAGTATTTGAGCCAAATCTCCTAGGTATGCCTAAGCGCAACAAGAATTTAAACATGCCTAAACTATACATAAAAGAATAAATTTGATTTAATAAGAAATACTGTAAAAATGATATTTACAATCACAATGGCTACCTAAATTAACTATTCCTTTACCCCTAGACACAAAATACAGATGTATGAACTTATATTTAACTTGCGTGCTCTTGCATCTTGAATGTTATGCCACATTAAAATTCAGTTTTAAGAACACATTTAAAATGTGGTTGGCAGTGTGTTGAGTGAACTTGGGCATTCAGGCTAATTCAGTAAGCCACAGTTCAGTAAACTAAGGGTTAATCAGTTCCAATGATAAAGTCACACACTGACTACCTACCCGACCAGTTTTCTGATGGTAACCTGTCAGTCGGATGGCCCCATTGCCAGGTGGGGCACCTTTCACTTTATCAAGAATGATTCCCAGACGTGTTTCTTTTGGCTGCCTGTAATTTCTCTGCTTGGGAATTGGATTTAGGGATATTTTTTCACCTCTGTTGGAATTATTAGATGCTGATTAGCTCAGATATTCTTCTTCCACATCTCATGAAATAACATGTACCATCTTTATCATGCCCAAGCTTTTTTCCACCACGAAAAACCTAAGGAAAAAAAAATCTTCCTACACACACAGAGAGAAGATAATCAATCTGAAAACCAAATCACACTGAATTTTTACCTGGAGTAGGCTGGAGAAGCCTCTGATCTGTTTCTAGGTGCTGCCAATGCCAGAGCCAGGAAAATAGTGTAGTAGAAGAAGGGGAACATGAACAAGGAAGGAGGGCTGCGTGTGTGCTGAATGTGACAAAGCGCAACATTAAAGTCCAGAAGATTCTTTAAGAAACCCAGTTTACATACCCGTTTGGATGTTAGAGAGCAGAGAAGAAATTTATGATGTAGGTGTACAGAGAATGTGAGAAATGGGAAAGAACATGAGAAGAAAAAACAAGTAATTGATCAATTAATCACTGCATTTATTTGGAAAACTATTGGGCACAGCAAAACAAACCCCAAAGTAATAACAAAGAGTAAATCACATACAACAAACGAGCTAAACTCAGAGTAATCTAGAATGAGCTAACATTAGAAAGTTCTAATTTAAATCATCAGGCATTCAGCTATATACTTTTTGTTTGTATATCACTGTGGTGCCTTTTTCAGTCAGACGATTTCTAACACTGGTCACTGATCATAACCAGAGCTATGAATCAGTAGTGAAATCCAAATTTTTTTACTACCGGTTCTGTGGGCATGGCTTGCTGGGTGTGGCGTGGCTTGGTGGGTGTGGCAGCGGAAGGATACTGCAAAATCTCCATTCCCACCCCACTCTGGGTCCAGCCAGAGGTGGTATTTGCTGGTTCTCTGAACTGCTCAAAATTTCCTCTACCAGTTCTCCAGAACCTGCTTTCACTCCTGCTATGGATATTAAATGAGAAGTTTTTCAATAACAACTGTTTGATAAGGAAGCTATTTATTTACATTTGTTTGTAAGCTGCCCAGAGTTGCCTTTAGACGAGATGGGCAGCAAACAAATCAAATAAATAAATAAATTTCCACTAGTACATTAGGGACATTTTTTTAAAAAATATTAAATTTTGCTTAATAGTTTAAAAGGTTTTATACAACAATTATCTCTTCAAAACGCAGGGCTAATTTTAGCCTATTTATCTGAAAGTGAGCTCCACATAATTTGATGGGATTTAGTGCTTGATAGTTAGATATAAAAAGTGAGGTGAAGGATCTTAACAATGAGTTTTTCACATAGCGCAGTACTGAATTGAAAAGGGGCTTGTAATCTGTGTAGCACCCAATTTGCATCATCGCCTTGTCTTCCCCATCACATCTCTATTTAAATCCTACATCAAGTTCTACGTGCCTCTGATGGTGTGCTGTAGCGCACAAAGGCTGATGCCCTTTTGTTAATCTGAAAAAAGTACTGCTTCACCAGACTGCCTGATTTTTAGCTCAAAGAAATGGGTGTGCCATTAAGATTTGAAACGTCAGTAATGCTTATTTATTTTTGATGTGTACTAACTAGTGGCCAAACTGCTGAATACAAAGTGAAATATACGTCTTATTAGAAATTTTTTTTAAAATTTATATATAACAGATTTTAAAATAAACCATAAACAGGGCAGGGGCAGGGAGCTATGTTTCTATGCTGATTTGTTTTAAAGTTGAAAGGAAAGACAATCTTGGAAGGAGAAAAGGGTTAATCCTCCTTTTTCACCTTTCATTAGATTTAAGCTGGACAGACTGTTCCTGATTAGGAGGAGGGTCAACTAAACCAGTGTAAGGAGAAGCAGAAAAGGACAGGCTGGTGGGGGCAGGATGGAAAGAATGCTGGGTTGGAGGGAAATCAATAGGAGGCGCTGTGGAACTGGATGCCTGTGTAGGAGAGAAGAAGCACAAGGAGGTTATTATTGTAAGCAGCAAGTCAATTGGAGAGCACACTGCAAATATTCTGGAGCTGGTCTCCTTCTTTCAAAGTACTGTAAGTTATCTTTGCTGCAACAGACCAATGCTCCGTAACTCTGAAGATTGCAACTCTGCTCGAGAGCTTACAACTTTATTGTTTCAAATATAAATGTGAAGTTGCTGGGTTTTTTTTCAAGCTTACTACCTTAAGTTTGTTAGCGCTTCTTCCCTTGGAAAGTGATCAAAAATAATAGAGAGGTTATTTTTACAATAGGTGCTTCCTAGATATCCTCATTGCTGAATACAGCCATGGTCCAACTGAATTATGTTTTGAGTTTTCTCATTTCATACTAACAACCACCAAGTTTGCTGTCTCAACACACGCTTTTTATATTTTCCAAGCAAATATACAGTCATGCTCGTTATTGCCTTTTTGGCAAACAGGGAAGGGCCCACTGTCTAAAGAATCTTTCAGTTTTCTCCTAGCCCAGTTACGGGGATTTGAGGATTTGAATGGGTCCTCTGCATTCTCCAAAATGGCAGTTCTTGAGCCAGTTCTTGGGATTGTGTGATGCTAGAGCCAGTAGAAAGAAAGTATGACTGGGATAGTTACTAACTAAGTTAAAAACAGTGGTGGGCTGCTGCTGGTTCAGACCAGTTTGCGTGAACTGGTAGTTTCGACAATCAGCTGGCCCCACCCATCCGTACCAGCCCTATCCTGTCCTATATTTCCTTCTTTCTGGCTCAGCTGATTCGTTCGGCAGAGCTGATTTCCGTGCCTCCGCTGTTCTACTTACCGGAGCTGCCTTAGAAGGTAAGCAGCTGAGCTTCAAATTGCTGTATTTTGACTGCTGTGTGCAAGCGCGTTAGGCGATTGCGCGAGCAAAGTGTGTGCTCACTGAACCGGTTGTTAAACCGGTTGCAGCCCACCACTGGTTAAAAATATTGAGTAAATCTGACTCTCTTGACACTTTGGATTGGCAGCATGTCTGGAAAGTGCTCTCCTATCTGTCCTATGAATTTGGATATGTGTATTTTTTTCTCAGAGAAGTTCTACTTTCAAGCTGGAACCCTAGGATTAGACTCACATCCACACATACTTAAAATACCAAAAAAAAAGGGGGGGGGGGTTTACAGTTACAGCATCAGGAGCATTACTTGAGGATGCATAACTATTTAGAAGGAAGACAATAAGTTTTATGCAAAAGAAATTAACTATTCCAACTGTTCCTATTTGTTATATATACATTTTTTGTGACATGGCAACATTGATCATTTTAGGGTCCAACTCACTGCAGGAAGATATTTATATAAGGAAGCTCTGCCAGGTTGGATATCAGCCATTGATTGCATATCAGCATCTCTTGCGTTCACCAACCGCAAATAAAGCTCAGCTTTGCCAACCTGAGAAGTTGAAGGAAATGTTATATCATTAGAACAGACAGATGTATGCAATTGCAAACGTTTAGCATATATAAGTTGATATATTGCCAAAGATCAGGTATTCTATGGTAAGAATGAATAATCAATTTGAGAATCAGTGGTAGACTGGATGAGATCTGACAGAGAATCTGTATAAATCACAAACGCAATAAATAAATATTAAGAGGCTGGCTATGAACAACTACTGGAATACCTTTTTTATAAACAATAATTGTTTGGGGTAGGAAGGCTGTTGCTCTGCTCTGCTCTATTCCTTCTTACCTGAGGCACACCATTCAACTGTTCTTCAGTAAGACCTGGCTTTACAGGAAGCACTCGGATAGGAACTTTCCAATGCCCACTCATCACTTGGTGCAGGTGGTCAAAAATGTTGGTTTTAGCCCATCCTCTGGGGGACAAATTCTGGATTTCCTGCCCATAAACATCAAAACCTCCAGAGGCCTGAAGCTCAGCTACAAGACTGATGGAGGTTGAAGGAAGGATTCTGAAAAAAACAGGAAATCCACAACAATATGGCTACTTTTGATGAAGGATCTGATGTATGTCTGTTTCATAATGTGCTATAGCACAGACCATGACTTTTAAGAAATTACACAGTTAGTGTAAAGTTTCCTCCTAAATAGGAAGAAGCAGAATCTAGCAAACTTGAAACTGGGTGAAAAAAAGCAATTTCATGCAAACTTAGACTATATATCAGTGATGGCTAACCTTTTCTGGACCGAGTGCCCAAAGCACGCGCACCCAAACCCCCAAAATGTAATGCGTGCATGGCCCCCGTGCATGCGCTGTGCCCCCGCACATGCGCACACAGCTCCCACACGTGACACCCCCCCGCATGCATCCCATCCCCCCGCATGCATGCATGGGGCCCCCATGCATGGCAGAGACCCAATGACCAGCTGGCCCGTGGGATGCGCACACACATGCACTGTGGAGCTGAACTGGGGTGACAGCTCGTGTGCCCATAGAGAGGGCGCTGCGTGCCACCTGTGGCACACGTGCCATAGGTTCGCCATCACAGCTATATATTGTTCCCAGTGGAAACGCGCCAAGATTTTCAAAAGGTCTTAGAATAAATCTGACATATTAAAATAATACCTCGCAAAGAGCCACCTTCTTTTCCCTCCTACTGGGCGAGCGGCACAGTTGCCTAGCAGCATCTAGCCTGAAAGCCCTGAAATTACTACAGAGGTATACTAAACAACCCATGGTACCTCATGAATATAGCCACGGAACAGAAATTACAGTAGTTGGCATTCAGTTGGAGGTATAGAAATATTAAATAGTGTATAATATTTATACACTATGCTATTTAAATATTAAATAGCAATACTATGTTATTCAATAGTTTACTTTGACAACCTTTAACTTTTGCTTCTCATCCAAGAAGCTTCTTCAGCTCTGATTGGATTGTAGAATTGATATTTTCTGCAGAGAATATAAATCCTTCCATTTCCTACCATCCAGTCAGAGCTGAAGAAGCTTCTGGGATGAGAAGCGAAATGTCTTCAAAGCAAAACAAGAAAGTCCAGTTGCCTCCTGAAAAAAAAGCACCTTTGGAACAACCATGACCTGGATGACTGAGAATCTCCATAGACATAATGCTATTAAATAAATATTTTTCTAGAATTTAGAAACAATGTATACAATTGCAAAACTATAGAAGAACTGTCAACTGAATGGCTGCCCACGCAATGACTTGCTGGTTAGGAAAGGTGTGACGTGATGGAAATAGCTTGGAAGCTCACCTTGGGACTGGCTGTCTAGCTGCTAAGATGGCACAGCATGCTCTTTGCCTGTCCATCAGAGATTGTGGAGAATGGCCCATATCAGAGGAGACAATAGGAAGAGGTGTGGACTTCCCTAGTTGCTGCCCATTACGATATAAGCCAGAGACCAGGCGAACATGGTAGAACATAGGATCCAACCCCAAAAGAAAATCATAGAATATTACAAAGCCAGATCTGCAGAGAGAGAACAGAGTTAGTTAAATTCGTAGTATTCCATGTTGCTACTTTTTCTGTAGAGCTGGATGACAATCGTCATACCCAAACATCTTGATCAAAATCACTATATGTTTGGAGAAAGAATAGAAGGATAAATATATTTACTTTATGTGAAAGTAGTGGCCACTTGATTTTTTTAAAACAATTATTTTATGCAGCAGTGAATTCTAACTGCAACTTATTTAGAAAGGACTATCTGTCTGTACATGTGCATGAATGCCTCTCAGGACTGAATATTATAGGTTACAGTATTACATACACTGGATCATATGGAGCTGGACCTAGTGTGTCAGAGGGATCCAGAAAGTACTGGTTTATTCCTGTAGCAGATGATCCCATGGGGTCCTATAACAAAGAGAACATTTATGAATTTTATCAGCAAAATCCAACTAATTCTTTAACAGCATAACCTAAACAAACATATCTACCAAGGCAGTGGTGGGTTTCAAAAAATTTTATTACCGGTTCTGTGGGTGTGGCTTGGTGAGTGTGGCATGGCTTGGTGGGCGTGGCAGGGGAAGGATACTGTAAAATCTCTGTTCCCACCCCACTCCGGGGGAAGGATACTGCAAAATCCTCATTTTCTCCCAATCAGTTAGGACTTGGGAGGCAGAAAATAGATGGGGATGGGGCCAGTCAGAATTTTTACTACCGGTTCTTCGAACTACTCAAAATTTCCACTACCGGTTCTCTAGAACTGGTCAGAACCTGCTGGAACCCACCTCTGCACCAAGGCCATCTTCCAACATGTTGCTGATTAAAGAAACTGCTGATTGTTGAAAGATTAAGTGGAGACAAATTGTGGTGGTAAAACATACCCCTCCATGCACTTGTGATCACTACCAGACCCCTGCGATGCTCACTCCATACAGGTGAACTGTTTAAAGTGCCCTTTTTAAAAAAGCCTTAATAGCAATTCCTTTTATTCCCCAAATATACAAGCAGAAATCCCCCCCCACATATGTGCACGCGCACACACACATGACCTATAGTGCAACCTACAACCTTGATAATACCTGTTTGGAAGAATGCCTGGCTGTAAAAATATGATGTTATATCATAATCACACTTTCAAATGGAATTTATATGCAGAAATATTGATATCTTCATATCTGAGTAACTCAACTGTTTTCCTGGAAAGACTAAGGATCACTGGTGGCATTTAGCCGGTTCTATCTGGTTTGGGAGAACTGGTAGCGGCGACTGCGGGAGGCTCCACCTACCCGCTATCATGTCCTGTTTTTGACACTCTGTGCATATGTGGAGGTGGCACATGCGAGCGAAGCGAGCACCCATGCACGCTCACATTTGTGAACTAGTAGCGAAGGTAAGTGAATACCATCCCTGCTAAGGATCAATAGGATACTTTTCCCCACATGGAGACTGAAGTTGAGAGAATATTTGTGATTACTATTGACTGAATTATTATTTTTGTTCTTTGCTGTAACTTGGCAGGAAAGAACAGTGACTGGCTCATAGAGGTCCATGCCGATTCTCAATGCTCTGAAGCTAACAGGATTTCAGATGATTAGATAGTTTCATTTAAGATGCTTGGCAAGGATTGGAAAGGGGGAACGGTGCCATGTGGAAGAGTTTTTAAATGCAAGTTTGGAGACATTGAAATTTGGCACCATAATACTTTTTAAAATGATCATATAAATGCAAAAATGTCTTACTATATTCTTTTTCCTCTTCCAGTAGTAAGTGTATTTTTTAATATAACATTGAACATATTTTATGGCATACCATCACTTGAATCAAAAATATCTAAAATATAGATCTGTAATTGTGAATAGTCATTGTTGCTGATTTTTCAACTCAGCGACCAAGAGTCAGCAGATACTAGAGCAAATTTGTTGGAAAGATAAACTGCAAGATATTTTTGTATATTCCTTTAGGGAAAGTATTGGAATAAGGGAAGAAGGAAGGAAAATATGGGCAAAACTGCACTGCAGCCACTCATTGTATAGACTGTGAGTCCTGCTCATTTTTCCAGAACACACTTTCATTACCTCACACTAACTGAGAGTTATCATCACAAATATGAAAGAAAATTATTGTCATAAAAGCTAGAGGTCAAAATTTGAATTTCATCCAAAAGGTAGATTCACGATCCATCCAATGGACATGAGTTGGATTTAGAGAAAAACAAGTCCCATCCTTGAGAAAACTCTACCTACTTTCTCTGTGCTTTCAGGAACAATGTTTTCTTGCCTTTTTTTTTGTTAGAAAATATGTACTATAAACAAAAGCACAACAGATCCTGCAGATCAAAGAGTTCTATATACCTGTAAAACCTCTCTCAAATTTGTCCAAGGCAAAAGGCACTCACCATATTTCTAGTCAGAATGGTGGGATCAGGGAGCCCAAGGTGAGGAGGAGGAGGAGGTGGCAGAGGTGGTGCTATAGGAGGTGGAAGTAGGGGTGGGGATCCCCTTCTAGACCACTGAACTTTCCTCCTTTCAATATTGTGTCTCAGCCTACCAATTTCAGCATGTAGCTGAGCCATTTCTGCCATATGTACTTGTTGCAACTTGTCCAGCTCTAAGTCCAAAGAACCTAATGAAAACGAACAACACAAAAGCTCATTAATGTAGCATTGTATCCAATGAGAGCACTTCCAAATGCCAATGAAGAATGTAGAGATGGTTGGTCTAATTGGAGAGTGTGGATTAAACATAGGAAATGAATAGATAAACCAGCAGAAAATGACAATGTTTATTCTTTTGGTATTATAGCCTTTCATCAAAGTTAGTTCATGGTCCTATTCTGTTTTTGCTGGGTTGACATCAATCAACATTCAGGTACACCTTCAATAGGACATAGCTTCCTCAATCTATAGGTAAAACCAAACTAACACCACCCAAAAATTCTTGCTGTGCAGTCTCTTTGGGGTAGCATGTTTCTGGGAGAGATGACTGATGAACACCAGGAGTGAATGCCAAGCTAAACGTCATGCTAGCTGCCAAAATCAATCAGTAGATCACTAGTGAAAACTGAAAATTATTACAAAGACCTTTAAAAGGACATCTTTAAACTGTGTGCATAGCAAAAACAATCTCGTTTAATAAGCATAAAGTAATGCACATAAGGGCATCTCCCCACCTCCCAGTGCCCTATATACAGCTGATGATTTTGAGCTGCCTATAACTAATTAACAAAAAGTTCTTGAGGTCCTAGCAGGTAGCTCAATGTAAATGTGCAGTACAGTAGTTGTGGAAAAGGTGAATGCTAGGTGTTATTATAAAAGGGACTGAAATATATTGTATGTACAGTTTTGGTTGCCACACTTGAAAAAGAAAATAATGAATCTGAGAAATTGCAGAACAGAACTTCCAGAATGATTGGGAAGTTTGCACACTTCTGAGAAAAGGCTATAACATTTGGGAGTCTTTAGGTTAGAAAAATGGTGATTGAGAAGGCCTGAAGAGGGAAGAAGGAATGGCCTTAAGGGACAGGAGGAAGAACTGATACCAAGGAACAGTCAGATAAAAGGGGCCTGAATCCTGGGCAAGAACGTAACAGGTATAACATCTCAGACAAGCCTTCCCTAGTTCACAGGAATATAAAGGGAGAGAGGGGAAGTGAATTCAGACTTCCAAACTTCTGTTACTATACTATAGTTTTACAATAAATGTAGAACTGACCTACATGTCTGGTTTCCTGTTCTAATCTACCTGACATTCAATGTCAGAGACAGAAAAACTTATCTTCAATCAGTTTATACCATGCAAGATTTACTGGCTTTAGTCATGTCCTGGTGAATTTGATAAACCTCAAAAATAGCTGAAGGGGGGCTGAAGGACAGTCAGGACCTTTCCTTTACATCCCTTCCGGGGCCTACTGATCTAACAATTGAGCTATTTTTGGACAAAGGCTTACCAATCTTAAGAACACTGGTAGACTGGTAAACATGTTTAGCATTCCTTTTGTGACCTGGACTTTCAGATGATCAATAGACTTGTGTTCTTTGCCTTTCTTCTCCTCCCATTTCATACATGGGCAGACCTCTGTGTGTTTCATTTCAAGACAGAAAAGTGTTGAATGTGCAGTCAACATTTATCAACATTTATCTGGCATATTTAACTTGATTCCCACACTTTATTGCTGCCATGTGTAGGTGCAAACTATAAACCAGGGACCTTGGTAGCTTTAAGACCTATGGACTTACAGTAACTCCCTGAATTCCCCAGGCAGCCAGTCCTGCTATAAACCAAAACCTCTAATTATAAAAATGACTTCCTAACTCTTGTGAAAATAATTTTCCCTTTAGCTTCTTGTGGACTAGTTTGAAATGCAGGCTTTATGGCCACTATCTTTACTCAGTTAAGAAAAAAGGCTATGAACCCTACCATTTTCCATTCTCCTTCTGTCCTTCAGAATTTTCATTTTTAATATCTCATCTTCCAGACGTTGATTCTCTAACTCAACAGACAAGAGTTCTGCATCCAAAGTCTTTGAGTTGAGACCATCTTCATATTCTGCAGAGATAGGAAGGAGAATCAATCAGAAGCCAGGACAGCTACAAGTTGTGACTGAGGAAAAACCATTTGCTAAGGTTTTAGATTTACAGGATCTATCAATAGTTCATCTTGAAGATTCATACATGCATAATAAATAAGTTTTAATGGGTAATGTCATGAAATGTCTATGAAGAGTTTCCTCATAGACTGGGTTAAGACTTCCCATTAATGTTACTGAAATTTATTTGGTTTTGACATACCATCTTGGATGAACCCAACCACTGAAGATATAAATTATAGTTTAAATTTGGGCATGTGGTATGAATCTAGTGATTATCTGTTAACAGTTTGCTGAACTCAAGAGAGATGCAAACATTCTTGGCTTAAGTGTAGGCTCAACATCCAAATTTGGGGTAAAATTGATTGGGAAAACATAGCTCACTTTTCTTTCTACCACTTTGTTCAGGCTTTGTGCCATTTTTTTCCAGTGCTGTGGCCTCCAGCTGCAGTTCATACATCTGACGGATGATGTGATGGTCACTGCCTCCACTCTGCAAGTAAGTCAGGTACAGCATCCTGTCAGGGATATGAACAGTCATCATCAAGAATTGTTACAATTTTTCCCCTGACTAGGTAAATACTTAATAGTTACATTCCCAAAAAAAGGGCAACTTTTTATAGCATGGAGATCATTGGTGGGTTGCCTAAGAACCAGTAGTAAAACCGGTGGGAGGCTCCGCCCACTGATCCGGACGTCATCATAGGTCATCTGCGCATGCACAGAAGTGCGGGCATGATGCGAACCAGTAATAAGGTAAGTAGAACCCACCCCTGATGGAGATAATTAGATGAAAAAGGACTGCATTTGTTGAATTACTGCATTTCATACAGCTGCTATAGGGTTTTCACTGGTCCCATTGGGAGGGGAGTTAAGTCTTCTCAAATTAGTAAAAAGTTTGTCTTTTCAATTGTTGGAGACCACATTTCGTGTAGAAAATCAATTTAGGGCATGTTGTCACTAGCAATTTATGATGTTTTATATTATTATTCAGCCATCATCATGTCAAGAAACATGAAAGTACAGTTTTATATTGCCACAAGGTAGCTGACTGATGCTAGAGGAAATGGCCTTAAGAGTTGAAGATACAGGTTTGCTAAGTGGTGGGAAAGTTTTATAGGCAGAAACAATTAAAGATATAATAATCTCTATATATTTTAAGTTTACAGAAACTATTACATTACATGTCCTTACAACTCTGTCTTCCAACTCACTGTATCTCAGAAGAAAGGGGCCCAATAGCTGCTGGAAACACCATAGACTTGAAGATGGCATTCTCGTCCATTTTATTTACAATGCTATGTGTCTTTCTATTGGTGGCAGAATCCAGATTCCTTCTAAAAATGAAAAAGGAGGCATTTATTAAATTTTTATATCACCCATCTCCCCTATAAGGTAGCTTACAGGTTAGAAAACAAATAGGAAAATAATAAAAATATATTAAAATATTAAAACTATGCAGATTAAACATTTAAAAACAATACAAAAACCAAAACTAAGACAGATGGCAGAGAGATGAGATCTTTTTATTCGATCAACACCTTCAGCGGTGAGCAACATGGGCCCCAAGCCAAACCCGGGCCCCAAGTTAACTGGCAAAACCAAATTTTAATGCCCTTCCAGAAGGCTAAAAGGGTGGGAGCAGTTCTCATGTCTGGTGATAGAGTATTGGGATGAGGCCACAATGAAAAAGGCTCCTCTCCTTGACCCCACCTGCCGGAATTCCTTAGCAGAGAATTGGGTGTTATACAAGAGTCTTTTTGTTTTCTCCGTTCATTGGCGATGCATATTTATGTTCTCAAGCACACTATAACAGTCATATTACAGATGTTCAGAGAAATCTTATTCATAAGGTCTGGACTGTCTTTGATGTCCCATATAGTATGGACTAAAACATTGTCATATAGATCTTGAAAAAAACGTGTTCATTTCTAGAGTTCTCTGTTCTGGAGTCTTACCTGTTCCCTGTTGCTACCTGCAGAAGTTTCACCTGTTCGCTCAGTGCATTCAAAGTCAACTTGTTCTTTTTTTCTTGGGTATTCAGCTCCATCAACAACTCTTCTATCTGAGATGAAGATGAGTTCCCTAATTTCAACTCTGACAGGCGTGTATGAATTTCTAGGTAAATACAAAATGGAACAAATTGTGCTGGAACAACTGCATCAATTAATGTATGGTTACATATATATTTTAATATATATATTCAATAGATATATTGGAATCCTAATCCATTCAGTTCAGGAACACCTTATACATGTTTCATTAATATATGTTCTTCTGGTCTATTTCTCAGAAGGAGTAGATTGATGAATGCCAGGAAAATCAGGAGATTCTAAAAGTTCAAATGGGTATAAAGATTTATTGTAAGCTTGAGCTCTCTACAAGAATCTGAACTACTAATGGCCAAGGGAAATTAATGGGAGATAAGAGTAGAAGGAATTCAAGGTCTGCTAGACTCAGATCTCTTGTGGGTGCGAAGGGATTTGTGACTGAGGACACGTTTAACCCTTCCCTCAGGCTCAGTCTTGTTATCTCCTACATAGATCAGATATATACTTGTGTTTTAATCATACAACAAAACTACAAGTAATTATTCAAATTATAAAATAGTTCTCCATAAAAAAGTCCACAGAAATGTAATTAACATGCTAGGGTGAAAGTCAGGTTTGAACTTTTCTTCCTGAAATTATAATTTATATATGTAGAGATCATTTGTTGCCTTTGGATTGAACAACTCTGATACACCACACCCAAACCTACTCTTGATGAGAAACAGGTCTCCTCTGTCTTTTGGGAGTTGGGAAATTCCATACATAAAATATCAGGTACAAGCACCATTGAGGTGGTATTCTTTCACTAACTGCTTCCTTCTCTTATCTCAAGGGTGTCAAACTCAAGGCCAGGTACCGGATCCGGCCCGTGGAGTGCTTAGATCTGGCCTGCGGGGCCGTCCTGGAAACAGGGAAGGACTGGCCCACATTGCCTCTGCCAGTGAAAATGGAGTTTGAGAGGGCCGCACATAGCCATCACAGCCGAAAATGGAGCTCAGGAGCCCGTTTTCTCTGGCAGAGACGTCAGGCCACCACAGGTTCCCCCAACACGAGTGACATCGAGCTGACCACACCCACCCCGGACATGCCTATCCCAGCCCCCCAAGGTCAAACACAATTCTGATGTGGTCCTCAATGAAACTGAATTTGACACCACTGTCTTATCTGGTATATATGGCATAATTACCCTTGTGTGCTAGTCTCAAACACTTTTGGCTAAATGAAAACTCATCTATCCTTCTTTGTTACTTTTTTCTCCAATTCAGCTAACTCCTTAACCTGAACCAGGAACGAAAGGTTGACAATTCAGCAAAATCTTTAATTTTCAACTTACCATCTTTTTGCTGTTCCAGGTGTTGGTTGCTAGCTTGGATTTCAGCCAACTGGCGCTCATGTGCATCTACTATTTGCTTATGACGCTGACAGTATTCTTGCTGGTGAGGTATTTGGTTTTCATTCTAAGAGTCAAGGAAAGACGCCAGATTCAAATAGCTGTTTCTCCTACAGCAAGAGCAAGGAATTGTGGTTCTCCAGAGGTAGATTCTGAACCTTAAGTTCCAACCTCCATCAACATTGATCATGTTGGGTGGAATGTCTAGGAATTATCATAAAGAAACATCTGAAGCACAGCACTATGGATACCTAACACTAAAATTATTCAATTATTTGTTAATCTATCTATCTATCTATCTATCTATCTATCTATCTATCTATCTATCTATCATCTGTTGCAAGATAGATATAGCATTATTCTGAATGAAGTACAATATTTTTTTCTTGGATAGATGTGATACTTTGTATGAAGTTATTTCACCATATAGTTTTGGCAATTATAAGCATATCACCATAATCCAAAATTAAAATAACAGGAAAAGCAAGGATAGTCATTTGTGTTTCGCTGAAGCCACAACATAAACTGAATATTCATAATACTTACCAAATTGTATTTGGAGTAATTCCTCAAGAAACCAGAACAGCATGCTATGACTATGTGAATTATGGTTCTGTATTACACAGTTAATTATAAATATTATAATTATAATAATTAAATTATGGCCATAAACTTGTAATTTAACATCATCAAACATCCATATCTGCCTATCCCGGATCCTTGAGAAGGACTTGATAGGTAGAAAAAAATGTCAAATCCAGTCTGAACATCTGGCTGGCTGTGCAAGGAACCATAATGATAATAATTTACAAAATTAACTGTAGCCCTAGATCAGGGGTGGGCAAATGTGGTTCTTTTACAACCTGTGGACTTCAACTCCCAGAATTCCTGAGCTGGCTGTCTCAGGAATTCTGGGAGTTGAAGTCCACAGGTTGTAAAAGAGCCACATTTGCCCACCCCTGCCCTAGACTAACAAGACAGAAAAGCAGTACTGCATAGATTTTTCTACATATTCCTGTATGTGTGACACTATAAATTTCTCTTCAGCCCCCAAAAAAGATTTTAAAGTTTCTCATGTTCATTTACCCCTACCTGGAGTGTCCGAAATGTTGGAAGTGTGCCTTCAAGTGATGTCCTCAATTTGTGGAACTGTGAAACAGAAAAATTACTAAATAGCTTTCTTCCTTTCTAAAGGTTGGTAAAAAAAAACCCCACTAATTAATTTATTGCTATATCAAGATTCATACTTGAACCTATTTCATTTACCAAGAAATACTATATAGTAGGAATCTGTAGGAGAAATCTGAACTAGATTTTGGAAATTTGATATGCTACAATTATCCAAAAGCTAAAGTACAGTTTAAACTGTCTAAGTCCTAAACCAGTGGTTAATTACTCTGGTAGAGGTTGATGAGTTGATAGGAGCAGAGTCATCTATGAGAAAGATAAAGATTTACCTCTTCAGTCAGTTTCTTCAAGGCCTGGTTATCTGAAACTCTTCCACTATCATCAGAGCTTCTAACATTATGGACTTGTTGCTCGTGTTCCCCATTTCCCTTGATATATCTGAAATTGTCTCTTTCTAGCTTTGACACATGAAGCTGATAATGTTGATCCATTAGATACCAGCAACCAAGAGAGAAAATAAATCATTATTGTATGACCAGGGTACATATTCAAAAAGATTGGAATGTCTTTTATATGTTAGCTATAGCTCCCATAATTGCCAGCCAGCAGTAATCATTCTATCTTCAAGACGATTTTGTGAGAAGAAATTAGAATTTTTTCTTCTTCTTCTACTACTACTACTACTACTACTACTACTACTACTACTACTAGAATAAACAAATGCATGCACCTACTTTTTTCCTAATACTTGGTTGCAATAAGGAAGTATTGGATGAAATTTATCTGTTCAATAGGTGGCTTATAATCATTAAGTGCCATAATTTCAGACATACTGTATATGAGCAGTACTACAATTCTCCTCCACTCCTGTGCCATTTTTTCTTCTAAACATTTTAAAAAGCTTATTTTACTTGATGATAAACTTAGCATTTCTATACTGAATAGCTGAAACACACAAGTACTTCCCTGGGTTATTCCACTGACTTTTCCTTTGCAGACTCTCAAATAGAAAATCTAGAATAAAGGTTTTACAAGAGTAACTTCCAAGAAAATCCTAAATTAAAGTTTATTGACTGGTTATTCTTAATATCATGATAAAGAAAAAAGGAGAGCAATAGAAAATATCAGCAAGCTATTAAGAACATATCCCCAACATAAGGAAAACAAGACATTTTCATATAGGTAGTTATTTAGCATACAAAAACAAAAAACAATTTTATCTCCTACAAGTCTATCAGAAAAAAGTTGGCATAAAGTGCAGAATCATGATCAAACCCATCCTCATCACAGGAAATGTTTTTCAAGTGTACTTTTCTATTATATCTGTTCCTGGAATTGATAGTACTGCAATCTCCTGCTCTCATCTTCAGACCAATCAAAGTAACCTTCAAAATAACTTTTATTAATAAAAATCAAGTTGTCCCTTTTACCATGCTGTCTGCCATTTCTGTTTTCTTGGGCTCTTTCCCTTTATGCTGTGCTTGCCTGTGCCGGTATTTTATATTCATTGCCATTTCTCGTCCAATGCAGAATTTTTCTGTGTGCTTCTCTAGCAGTCGTCTGCTGCGGAACCCCATTTCACAGTTACAACAGTGGAAAAACGTTTTATCTGTCATTTTGGAAAGTGTTTCCAGATATTTACAAAGGGTTATATTTATCAGTATGTGAAAGGCACTAGCTACTCATATTTCCTTGTAGGAAAGAACTGTAGTATCATTTGGAGTTTTTGGTTGCTATGCTAGTAGTTATGGGGTGTAACCAACCTGACAAAATAATAGAAGATTGTCCACAGTAGCTGGAAATATCACCATGCCAGTTATTACTGTTTATGTTTGCAATACCAGGGTTACAATGGGCAATCTTCCCAACTTGTATTCTTTGGCCAACCTGGCTAGAATTCTAGAAGGTTCAAGTTTCAGTGTGTCTGAACATTATTAGTTTGCAGAAAGCTGACTCAGGAATTTATAAGGGAGAGCAATTTCTTTTTTAACTGGATATTCTCTGGAAGATGACAATGGTGCACATAAGCACTGGACAACTACCTGCCTTCGCAGTCCTATTATTTTACATCTAGGATGTCTATATTTAATTCTTCAACACTGCAAGCTGGCATTCCTGGAGTAAGCACGGGATGACCTCTATACTGATAAAATCCAAATCCTGAGGAAGAATAAATGTGATGAATAATATGAAAGAAAGTGCATCTTTAGTGCTATTCGGTGCATTAGACAATAGTAAGCAATTATGCTGTTTGTTTAGCTTTCATATAGAATATTGCATGAACCCTGTTGAAGTTTGTAAAATCATTCAGTTTAGTATGAATTCAGCCAATTGTGTGCTGTTCAAAAAACGTGATTGAACAAATCATAGCTTAGCACAATACATGAACCTGTCACGCCTAGAAAATCTGCCATAGAATAAGTGGAGAAGCAGAAGCAATGGAAAAAAGTCAGTGTTTTACATATATAAATTTATTAACTATTAGAAGTGCAGATGACAATTATGAAGCATTTGGTAGAAAGACTAATAAGGCTTACTCCTATGTAGACCTAACTCTAGCCTATCTAGTTCTTTCTTCTGGTGGAACCAATTATTAAAGCATCCCCAATGCATTTAGTGTTTTCAAAACTATAGCCCAAACTTTCTTCTATTTGTTGACACCAGTGATACTTTCCAGCAGCCAGTGAGTATTGGTTATGATGTTCCACAAGCCTTAGTTAGCTGCAAGTGCTGTTTCCCTCAATCTGGGTCTCCATGGTGATCAACCGAACAGCAGCAAAGCCAGAGGAGAAAATTAATCAGCTTGTCTGTAATAGCAGGTAGATTCAAAAATCAGAAAAAGATTCTGCAGAGTCACAACAGGCCAGCACAGGAACTTGTGAGTTTGGCAGCCAATTTTCTGATGATATTCTTTTATAACAACATACTGAATCTAATGTTGGAGCACGTTTGAAAACCGCTTAAAATAACAATGCAACTAAGATTTTCTTTTTATTTCAAGAAAATTGAAAAACTTTTTCATAAATTTTAACATGTCAAGAGTTATGTATGCCTGAAAAGGAGTTATATATATTTTAATAAATATGCTGGCATTTTCTTTCCCCGAAAATGATACTATTAATTTTGACTCCCTTTATTTTTTAGGGGCATAAAGACCAATAAAATATGACTAATATTGGTAAAATCCGGGATATTTCTATAAAGACCCCCCGTTTTTTAAAGTTACAGTCTACAGACCACAAGCCATCAAATGCATCCCCCAGAATATAGATGACACGATTTACAAACACCACGAGAACAATTAAGTGATTTACTTTCTTAGGGAGAACTACCACTTCCTGTTCTGTCTGAATCAGATTTGACTCGACTTTACCATCTTCCGCTCCCAAGCCTCTCTGGGAAATGTAGTTTTAAAGTGGAGAATGAGAGGACCTCCCACTGTATGCTGGGATATGTAGTTGAGGTCTCCCGACGGACGTCGTTTCCCGGCAGCCTTTTCGGCGCGCCCCATTCAAAGCGGCGGCAGTTGGTTGAGTGCTCTTGTGCGGTACCGGGTTTTGAAAGAGGGGTTGCTATAGTTTGCAGGCGTCTTGAGATTTCTCTGGCAGCGTCGTATGGATCCCAACAGTTACAAGGGCCTTCAGCCTGGCTTATCGATTAATATTGAGCGCAGCAATGGTGAGTGCCGAGAGGAGAAAGGCGATTTGCTTCGGAGCGTCTTTTTGCCTCCTTCCGTAGCCCGGATGTTCTCTGGAGGCTCCACGAGATTAATGCTCAGGGCGTTATTATCGCTTCCCTGCGGATTCGCGTGTCTGTAACGCAGAAGGATGGTGGCCGGGTTAAATTCCAGACTCTTTTCTCCTCTCCGGGTTCTTCGGGACAGAAGAGTTGTCAAACAAGCAACTTAAAGGAGGAGTCGGGCCATTTGCCCAATGTTATTCGCTGAGCAGTACCTCCAGGTGGGCTCGCTCCTTGGTGCTTTTTTACAACAGGAGTGGGGAACTATGGCCCTTTTTTGACTTGTGGACTTCAACTCCCAGAATTCCTGAGGCAGCATGGCTGTCTCAGGAATTCTGGGAGTTGAAGTCCACAAGTCATCAAGGGGGCCAGAACATCTCTGTTTTGGAGCTGAATGCAATGAAATTTCATTTCAATTAGTGTACATTTAAAGTGACAAAGTTTTTATCCTGCGATTCTATTCTAGCAACCATGTGATAATTTCAACTGAAAATTTCACTGTGGTATTGGTTTTTCTCTCTCTCTTGCAGAACATACAAACGTGGCCTGTGTAACATTGTTTAGTATTCTTAATCTTTGGAGCGCATATTGTTTCAGCTGGAGATGATAGTAATATAGGTGTCCTGGATAACACTATAAATAAATGGCTTTTTCACAAGGAGATTCACTACACTGCCTGTGGGGTGAACTGGAAGCGTTCAAATAGATTAGTGTTCTAGATTTCACAAGAACTGATTTAATAAGCTAAGGAGTTAAAAATAGGAATGATTGATTCCATGGGTAGGAATTCTGAGGGGAAATCCAATTTAGGAAGGTTGAGAAGTTACATGACTGCACTTTGGCCGCTTGGCATCTGATCAATATTTGCTGTTTGTAGCATCCCGATCACAATTTCAAATTTTTGGCCAGAAACACTCATTTACCTCCCAATTTCTGATAAAAAGACCGTGGTCAGATCAGTGTTACTTTTTAAAAAAAATAAATATTAAATAACCTGTATGGAAATTTCCCCTCTTATTGTCTAGCTCTTATAATACTTTTCTGAAATGTCTTTTATATATATATGAATAAATAAATAAATAAATATTATCTTTTAGGTTCAGTCCATGGTGCAACTATCAAAACTGTAAGTTTGGAAAAAATGACTGTATCTGTAGAATGGACAGAAAACAACAGTCTCAAAGGGAAAGAGGTGAGAATTTGAAAGTATGATCTATATATAAAACAACTTTTTTAAAGCTATTTAGCACACATTTCTTCCTTAATTCTGAGTTGAAGCCTGCCTTGAATCATCTATAAAACAGGCTTATGCAGAATTAGTAAGATGACTTTAACTGGAAATTATTAAATATATTTCAAAGTTATTTTGAAGCTAATCTTTTCCCATTTCATAATGGGAAGAGGTTTTTTTCATTCTTTTGCTGAAGACCAACTAAATAGCAGTTTCCCTAAAAAATGTTGACATTGTCTTATTGGAAATTTTAAATGGCAGTGTATTTTAAGAAATCATATAAAAACAGTGCATTCCTAAGATTGTTTACAAGATAAGGCATACATAAATGTTTTATGTCAAATGAATTTAAGTACAGTATTCTATGCAGAAACAAAGTCCTTAAAGAAACAGAGCTACAACTTCTAAAAGCCATGGATAGAGTCTCCAGAATTATTTCAAAAGTTGCCACCAAATTTGTAATTTAAATTAAGAAAAAAAAAATTAAGCATCCTAAAGCGCCAATTTAGAAATAGACTTTATATATCCCTATATACTTTCAAGCAAAATTGAGTAATTGTCATTATATTTATTTAGCAACATTTCAGTATTAACAGTTTGTCATTTGACTCTGATAAGTACATAATATATCTGCTCATGATAAATGTAATAATTGTGTTATAACTGTACGACGTTGTTTCTAAGCTGCCTGTATTACATGTGCAATAGAGCACTAAGTACTTATCTCCCAGCACTATCTTATTTTTTTTTATCTCACCTTTTTTATATTTATAAATAATTTAAGTTGATGAACCTACATAGTATTTTTTCTTCTTTCTCTTTTCCCCACAACAACAACCTTATAGAGACAGAGTGTCAGGTCTAAAGTTACCCAGCCAACTTTCATGCCTAAACCAGGACTAGAATTCAGTCTCTTGGGTTCTACCCTGGTGCTTTAGCCACTAGACCAAACTGACTCTAATTTGTAGGGCATTGTAATTATTATGACAAAAACATAGTAATTATTAAATTAAGTGTATTTGTTTTAAATATCGAAGAAGCGAAATCTGTATTTGTCTTGGCTACACTTATACGTTGTTCTCTTCCTATTTGTTTAAAGAATGCACCATTAGCCCCTAGTGTGGTTCCTTATCAGAAATAGATTCTGTTGCATACTAGTGTATGAATGCAACAAGAATAACTAGTTCTGTTATTTGCCCACTGTATATTCTCCAATTATTGTTGTATAGCTTCCCCTAATTGTGCTGTATGTCATATACCTATACATATATTTCCTGCTATATGTTATATCATATAGCAGGAAATCTAAAGGCAAAGGGTTGAATTAGTAAGTTAGCTATTTAGACTACAATTCTAATGTAGTAGTCGGGAATTGTTATCCTTAATATGACAGGATTTATCATCAAGATAAACACAGCTGTGATTAAATTAAATATCGTGTAACATGCATCTGAAACAAATATATATAAAGCTCTTATTAATTTGATATAATGTACACATTAAAATCAGAACCTACTGCTTTGTTAAACATTGGCAATTTTTCAGAATCTGATATAATATCTGTAGAAGCTGAATTGTTATGTGGAAACTAAGATTCATATGCTTGCTTTAGGTGGCTTGCAGATCAAGAAAATGGCTGTTAGAATATTGCAGCAGTAGTAATAGGATTGTGATGTCATTCTAAGTTCAAGCAAGTAGACTAGGTGGTGATGACATTCACTGTACTTCTGTAAATCATAAAACTGAAGGAGAAGTCACTTGTAGAACTTTATTCTTTTTGTCTTGGATAGTGAATATCTTTTTTGTAATGTCATGTAATGTTTGGTAAGTAATAATACTTACACTGTCTTACAGTAAATATTATGAAATCATTAGGATGTACTAAGATTTAAAGCATTTGTGGTCAATGGCTTTCTCACAGTCTTTTGAAATATACTACCTCTCATAGAACTGAAAATGATATTGGTGGATGGGAGTGAATGTCTTAATATTCAATCACTGAAACAATAATTTTACTGTTTGACTTTTAATTTGCTGTGCCGAGCAAATTATTGATTTGATTGAATTGATGATATTTGAGATTTATACTTAAGCATGCTTTAGATTTTTTCATTCTGTTTTGTGGTTTTTTTTCCTATTTGAAGATTGACTTTGATGATGTGATAGCAATAAATCCAGAATTGTCTACAGCTGCAGTTGTTGCTGATGTAAAAGAGAGCATTCTAGTTCGGAACAATGTAACTACACAGGTATATTAATCTCAAGTTATTTCTTTGATTCTTGATTAAGTATCATGATATTTAAAATGAATAAGTTCAAGCAGTGAATTTACATTATACATACAGGCACACTCCTGGTTTTCATATGACACTGTTTTAGAAACAATCTTACCTGCGTTTAATTTTTACACATTTTCTCAAATAATGTACTAATTGATCCTGCGACATATGTTCTAATTGATCCACACTTTCTTGAATTATATGCCTAATCAGGTTTAATTGCTTTTGATGCTTTAATTGTTATAACTACTGTGAAATTTCTCTGTGAAATCACTAAGGATAAATTGGTTTTGAACCTATCTGATGCACTTCTATCATAGCTTGTCTCATTTTAACTGATAATCCTGAGTTGCTTATGTTATGCTTCAGCATGTGTTGAGTTTATTAATCTGAGTCACTAGGGAAGAGCTTGATGTAATAATTGGAGGTGTAATTCTTTACATATTTTGAAGATTTTTTTGTGATTATTATTATTATTTTTTTTGACATCTTGCTAAATATTTTCCCCCCAAAAAGAACTATTGATATCTACAAACTCACTGTAATTGCAATATCCCAATTATTGCCAGAATGTGGGTCAGGTCAGCTTCTAATTGCTGATTTTTAAATTGGATTGTTATAACACAATCTGATTTGGAATTCATTTCAGAAAAAAAGCCTTTTAATATATGCACAATAGACCATCAAATGTAGTCCAAATTGACAATCCAATGAAAAATTGGCTGCAATCAGATTTTATTAGATTAAGTCTTGGAAATGTTTGTAGTACAGTTGTATTAAATACTAATTGTGAGAAGGAAACTCAGGCCAATACTGTTTGAGTACAAGATTTCTTAATGCATATCTTAATGATTGTTGCAATGTGTAAACTAAATAACCCTAGTTTTGTGTAAAGTGATCCAAAATTGGTGCCTTTTAATTTTACCAAAATTTCAGCATCATTATAATATTTTTAGCATATCAAATCCATGACCCGTTGGATCATTCTTTCACAGATATGCACTTACATCATTCATGCACCTATTGCACACCCTCCCCAACCCTTGGTTTGCTTCCCTTTCATGCCTATACCCCTGCTCAGTTCTCCACAAACCTTCCCCAACCTGCACTGCACACCTGCCACACTATCCCCTACTCTTGCCATGTCTCCTTTGCCACATCTGCTTCATTCACTCACTCATACCCCTGCATAGCCTCCCCAACCCATGTTGAACCCCCCGCACAATATCCCCACCTGATTGGCACCTCTTCCACACTCCTGCACAACCTGTGTGGTACCTCTTGCACATCCTCGTACACCCTCATTTATTTACACAGCACCTCTCTTACATCCTTGTGCAACCTTCCTGATCCAGTGTAGTACCTCTTGTGTCTTTTCAGCCCTGTGTAGTGTCGCCCCTGCATACTCCCTCACTTGGCAGCAGCCACTTACCTCCCTGCCAGTCTGGAACGTATAAATTCCGGCCAGCTTCCCCACTGATTTTGTTGGTGGAAAGCTCCTAAGGGAGTGTTGGAAATGCTGATTGCATGACCGCAGCAGTATGGCAGTGCTGAAACACCTACAATTTTGCCAAATTTCAATCCCATGGGAGTCATGGGCCCTGGATCTTGGGTGCAGTCTTTAAGTTAGACCATTTGAAGCACATTGATTCAAAAATTGAAGGTTACAAACAGGCGAACAGACTTTTAGAAGTACATGGGCGCCCAAAACATACACTTAAATCATAACCCTAGTAAATAAAAAGTAAATTTTCACAAATAAACAAAACATATTTTCCAGCTGATAGTACATTTGGAATACTATATATGTTTTATCAAATGTGTGGAGAGAAAATAAATCAGCGGGAGAAATTTTTGTTGATCTGTAAGAAATCATGATTTGTTCAGCCAAGTTTAAATATTTAACTAATCTTGACGAATTGGCAAACATTTTTTTGTAATTATAAAGCACCTACTGTAGTTACATTTATGAATATTGGAAGGAGAATTTTTTATGAGAACAGTCCACTAATTATTTTCTACCAACGCTTTATTTAATTTTATTTTTTGTGTTTATCCCAAAGTGGTATAAAACTGGCCTATGTGTATTAATTTCCAGTTTAGACTTCTAAAGAGCAACTGTTGATTAAATTAAAATATAAACTATCTTGTATAGTAGATAGTTTAGGGACAAAAAATAAGACAGATTCTAATCAATTAATAATAAATCTAATTTATTATTGGCTGTATAGATAAGCATTTAATATCAATAATCATGTATATTGATATTCGGTGTATCTTGTAAAGACAATTTGGGGCCTCCTTAGATGTTGCAGTCTCTGTAGCTGGCCACATTGGCTGTTTTGTTCCTCCCTGGCTAGAAATTTGTCTAAATGATATGTAGAGCACCAGATTCCATTCAAATATTTTTTTTATCGGCCTTATTCATTTAGATTACATTCAATTGTTTCTAAAGTTTCCGATCTATCTTCAGGGCATAAATACTTTTTGTCTCGTATTCAAGATCATGTACTTCAGCCATCAAGTTTCTTAGCTGTTGTAGGTGAAAAAGGAATTCTATGCAGGCTCAGAATTCCATACAATTGGCTGAATGGGTCAGTGGAAAAATAGTTTGTACTCTTTCCTCCTTCCCCACAATCAAATTCTTTACAACCAACATAAAAACATCACCCAGTAAAACAATTTTTCAAGAGAGTAATTTTAATTGTTGGTGTATTTTCTATTTGTTTTCAGCAACACACTGTCTCACACACAGACACACACACACACACACACACAAACACTTTTTTGTTATTTACTAAATTTGGAACCTTTTTCTTAATTTTAGAGACAAAATCGCAGAACCGTTTCAAAAATACCCGGTCCCAGAGAAGGTAAAAATATTTTAATTGTATTACAAATAGTTCCAACCTTCTGTCCTGAAAATGCTTTCCTGATGCTAGTCATGTGGCACATGATCAGTAACAATAAAATATGCAAGCCTCTTAAATTAAGAGTTTTATTACAATTTCAACAGCTCAACAATTTGTGCACATTAATTCTCTGTGCATATTCAAGATTTTTTTTGAGAAGTTCTGTATAGCTATGTCGATGTCCAAGCATAGATTTGGACAAGCATTTTATTTTTAGTATTTTCCCAAGTTTTCACAACTGCAATTTAGTATGACAGCAACAATATCACTCCCACTGAATGTGTGTAATAACATTATGATCGTTCACTACTACTTAAACCATTGTTTTATCTTTATATTACACTGCAATAATTTATTTTCTTAGGAGTTAGAACATTCTAAAGATACAATACAGAACGATTAATCTTTTCAACAAATGATCTTAATGCCCAAATTCATATCCCTTGAGCAAATCTCCACTTGCTTAGTAGGATTTTCCTTCTGTTTTATATCTCTATAATCTGTTAGCGGTGTTTGTTCTGCTGATGAAACAATCCAATAAATCTTCCAATTAAACAATAGTGATATTTTGTTTCTACCACATATTATGTGAGTCTTGTGATGTGATATGAACATAAGAAACAAGGAAAATTGTGTTTAAGAATTCTCTATTGATTTGACCTTGATCAAAGGTTAATTTCATTTCGCCTCCCACCCATGCAAAACATGATACCATTAAGAGTATTTTATGACTCTTGAATCTACTTCATCTACTTCCAGTTCTTGTCTTCAGTCATAAAGTTGAGGATTTTTGCTCATTTTTTAAATCTTCAGTTGATTAACCATCTCATATTTGTGACTGATATTTTAAATGTGCATACAGTGTATTTCATAGTAAGACATGTTTTCAATGCTCATAATTATATTGTCTGAGAGTTTTAAGTAGAAAAGTAAGTTTTTGAATAGTTAAATGCACCTTTAGTAATGGAATAACATAAATTTAACTCCCAAGATATGTGTGTTTCTGAGATTTACAACTGTTGATTATGGAACTTCAAACACCAATGCTCAGTTTGATTCAAGAACAACAAAACCCATAAAAATGACTTGTAGGAAAATTAAATTGTTCCACATTTTTGCACACATGCATAGTAACTTGTCATTTGAATAGTGACTATATGTTAGATTGTTTAGATCCCATATACTCTGACATCAGCTATATCTTCCCTCCCCACATTCACAGTCTTAAATTTGCTTCACTAAATCAATTTCTATCTTGGATTCATACTGTTAAGTTGCTTTCTAACAGTATTTTGTTTTTACTTTGAGTAGTACCGAGGTTCCAAAGTAGCAAAATGTCGGTCATAGCAGAACTACCAAACAATCTGGAAAATGATATGGAGGTAGAAACTTCTGCTTCTGTACCAGCTCGAAGCCAATCAGCTCTTCCTGGTGAGTTTGGATTAGTATAACATAATCTGACTATATACTTAATTAATGCATGTAAACTGGAGAAAGGTATTGCTCATTTCTCAATATTGAAACATAAATCAGTATTTTTGAATGTTCCCCTAAATATTTGAAAATGGATTGACATTTTAATCTAATGCCAACTGTGTTTACATTATAATTGCAAAACCAAACATTTGCTTCTATTGTCTTGATCAGATATTTTATATCAAGTAGTTTGGCAGAATTTTGTTTGTCACTGGAAGGCTGCAGAATACTGTTGTAACTACACAATTGGTTTAGTGAAATGGCAGTTTCATTTGTCTTCCTAATTTGAATCCTATAATGTGGTGGATAATTTTTATAGCCAACTAGCCAAATGTTATAGTCTTCATTGATTTGGACCTGATATCTTCCTGAGTATGACAGATACTTCTTACATCCAGGATGTAACTCATTACTCTCTGAACCTCTATGACAGTTGTCATGTGTTGGACAGCATAAATGCACAGACATACACAAATATATACATTACAATCTTATGATATTGAAGAAGAATGGAATTCTTCCAGGATTTGACTTGCAAATTTTTAAATGAAAAAAGTTCAAATTGTAGGTTTTTAAAATGTTGAGTCTATGTGTGCCATTAGGTGTCACTTTGGTTCAGAAGAATGTTGAGAAAATCTGGGGAAAATATATAAATAAAAATGGTACCACAAGAGTATTTTGGACTAAATTCTAGTGGCTTTTAGCAAATGCTTGAGTACCATTTATTTAATATTTTTTTCTATTATTTTGATAAATTAATTGAATTCTGGATATCAATTTGACAATGAGTCAAGGGAGAAATTGGAGGCCCTTTAGGAGTTAATTTTTCTTTTAGTCTGAATTAAATATTATAAGTCATGTTATTTTTTTATGCTGCCTTGGCTATTGTTTTTAATCAGTAGCTTCTTTCTTCAACAGTTGTACGACCTCGAACGCGAAATAATTATTCTTCTGATAGATGTAGTATACAACCTAATGGTAATGAAGTGACAGAAGAACCTCCACAGTCTCTCAGAATTGTGTCTGCTGCCATTCAAGGTAGAAGAATGGTGTTCAGGTTTACTTCATAATTCCTTAATTCTGTCTCTTTAGTGAGCAGTATTCAATCTGACAGAGAGCTTCTGTTACTGTCTTCTGTATGGAGCTGATGAATTGATAATCAAGTCTGTTAATTAAATCTTAGCTTTAAGTTGGATTGATTTTACCAGTCAAAACGAAAAACAAATTCAGCTCTGAAATTTAGAGTATTACCTCACATATTGGAAATATACTCAGCTGACCAATTCAGTCTGCTAAATGGTAGCAGTAAGGGGCTACTGGTCATGCTGTATGAATATATAAATTTTAACCTACATATCCTATATTAGAAGTTAATTAGTATTATTAATTGATATTTTCCTTAAGGTTAATAAAATGGTAAACTTTTCAGTTATTCAGGCCATCCTGAAAATGTATAGTAGATAGAATAGCAGTTTTGAATTTACTTTGTTTTTTGTCAGTAATAATACTGCTTTCTCTAGCTCGGAGGAAATCTAATATTGTAAAGGAAATGGAAAAAATGAAAAATAAGAGGGAAGAGAAAAGAGCCCAGTTTTCTGAAATAAGAAACAGGCGTGCACAGGTAAAAATATGTTGCTTAATTCTTCAATTAAATGTTCTACGTGATTTAACAATTGAATGCTGTCAGTGTCTCAGGTAACATAAAATATTTTTGCACTCATGCGAAATATTTTGGGTTTCATGCATATTTTCAATAAAAAATAATTCTGCATTCAGTGACTAATGTCCAGTAATATAGTTCCACAGACAGCTGACAGGATGTTCCCTAGCTATAAGGATTGTACGACATCAAACATTCTGGAAAATTAATCTTCTGTATTAGAAGTAGTATTTAGTGTTGTCAAGTGAAGAATTCTGTTGAGTTCAATTCAGTTCAATTAAATTCACCACCCCACATCATCAGAATTCGTGTGACAGGGGAAATGGAACATTTTACAGTACTTTGTGATACTTTTTGGAACATGTGGCAAGTCTTTTTGCACTATACTGACTATACTTTTGGGAAAGGGTTTATGCCTGATATATGTTGCAGTAATATGTATAGGAATGCTGACTTCTTTAGATCAGCCATTTCCAACTTTGACAGCTTCCAGATGGGTGGTCTTCATCTCCCAGAATTCTCAGCAATGGCTGTGCTGGTTGTGAAATTCTAGGAGTTGAAGTCCATACTTCTGGAAGTTGCCATAGTTTGGAAATTCTACTTTAGGCCAAGGTCTATAAAGTCCTGGCCTTCCAGATGGTGGTGCATTGTCATTCCAAGCATTGCTTATGATTAGCCAAACTGTTTAATAAGAACTGGGCTTCAGCATCGGCTTGATCATTTGTACAAACAGACTGAATTATTACCTGATACAACTTTTATAAAGAAGACTACAGTCCAAGTAATACAACAGACAACTTCTAGCTGGAATTTTTGCTTAATTTGCTTTTCTATATTCCCTCTATTTTCAAATTAGCACTTCATATAGTTAAGAGGGGGGGAAAATTGGGTCCTTGGTTGTCACTAATCCAAGACCATCTATTTTATCTTACAGGAATTTGACAGTAATTGCCCAAATTGGGATTTTGCACGAATGGTTAAAGAATATCGAAATACTATTAATTGTCAATCATTATCAATGAATGATCCAGTAAGTAAAGATATGTAAACTATCTTAAATGTCTTTATTCATAAGATATATTTACAAATAATTAATTTAAAGAGGGAAAATTAGCAATTTAGGTTTCACTAGATGTAGGAGATGACCAGACTGAGCCTGAGGGCTGGGTCAAACGTCATCAGAACCTTCGTGCCCACAAGAGATCTAAGTCCAGCCCACCTTGAATTAATTTCTATTCATAACTCCGACTAATTTCCCTTGACAGTTAGTAGTTCAGATTCTTGTAGAGAGCTTAAGCTTGCAATAAATCTTTATACTCATTTGAACTGCCTGAATCTCCTGGTTTCACCAGCACTTAACATTAGACATATTTTTAATTTTTTTTACAATATTTGCTTATCTGCTTTGCCCAGATAACTTATGTGAGAGAGCAACTGAAATATTTGTAATTTTGGTCGCTGTTACATTTTTGTAAGAGTAGGGGAAACTAACAGAATCCTTATATTCAACATTCCTCAGATTTAAATTTCAGAAAAATATTGTTGAGCATATATTATCTGATGCTATAGGGAGTTTTCTTAGATTTCATGATGTTTTGAAAGAACTAATTTTATTTTTAAGTTAAAATCTTCATTACAATGACACTACTGTTTTCAATCTCTATTCATAATAATAAATGTTTAAATCCTGCTTTTTTATATAAAACTCAAGGCAGTGAACATACCTTATATTCTTGCTTATTTTTCCCCACAACAACCTTGAGGTTCACATTTTGTGGTCATGTAGAGTTCTTAACAAAGTGTCTTTTCTGATGAGCATTTTTATGCTTTTTGTTCTTAAAACATATATGGATTCTGGGGTGCCACCTGTGTATGTGTATATGTTTATCAAAAAAATCAAGATGATGGCCACAACTACATAATCAAAACCCTGGCTCTTTTTGATATGTGTCACAAAAAGATGGCAGACACAGCTGTGCCTGAAATCTTAACTTTTTTGATATTCCCTTTCCTCACGTGGACAACCATGAGGGATTAGTGAGAAAAGTTGTCTGATCTTATCCCTTAATGCAATCTGCAATCTTCTTTTAAGATAGAAGAGCATAGAATTTGTGTCTGTGTGAGAAAACGACCCTTAAATAAGCAAGGTAAGATGACATTCAGTACTTAGCAATTCATATTTCAATTCACTGTTGTTCCTTATAATGGGTTCTTTGTTTCTTCAGCTATTATGCGTTGGAAGCTAGCATACCATTACTGAGTTAAAATATCATTTTAAAGCAATGTCAAACGAAAACAGGAAAACAGGGAAGAATACATTTCTGTACTAATAGACCCCTTGAACAAATCTTGGGGGTGCAGTGGACAAGAGTTATAATTTATCACATCTAATTTTAATTATCCTATCACTTTGAATGAAACAAACTTCTTTGTTTAAATATTTTTCTTACACTTCCCATAGCAATCGTAATTTTGCCCCAAAAATTCTGTACTAAGGCTATTAATCTTCTGCAATAATAATCATACACACTATTGTCTTCGTAGCACGTTTAAATGCTTGTGGGGTTCACAAAATCCTATTTCATTGAATTTTTTTCTACTTTTTTCCTTGTAAACAGAACTTGGAAAAAAAGAATGTGATATAATCACTGTTGTTAGCAAGAACAGCATCCTGGTGCATGAACCAAAGATGAAGGTGGATCTGACAAAATACCTTGAAAACCAGCCTTTTCGATTTGACTTCTCGTTTGATGAAAAAGCTACTAATGATATGGTTTACTGGTAATGCATATTTTTTCTCCTCGCAGAACAGTGACACTTTGCAAAGTTAACAATAGATACTGAGGACTACATCATACATGATGCTTTCTGAGTGCTATGCTGCCAAAGAGACTTTGTGAAATAAGAATTTTGCTCTTTGTATTTGCTGTTAAACACATATCTTTTTTTAAGAATCATTTTTTATCTCTATAGGTGGCATGTGTCTTCCTCAATTTCAGGTCCTCTATCAGAGGCCTGGGAGTTTGAGAGTTCTGCACAGTATCTTAGCTGTTCCTAGTATTGCACTCTTCTGGACAAAAAGCTCTGATGTTGTTCTTGGGATCTGTTGGAGCCACTCCCCCAACTTAGGAGTCACAGCCCTTGAGTGCTTCTACTACCACTGGGACCAGTTTAATCTTTTCTTTCCATGTTCTCTCTAGTTCTTCCATCAGGCCCTTCTCCACAACCTTCTCCAGCTTCACATACTCTTTCCTTACATTGCTGTCCCTTGGCACTGCTATAATCTATCACCACTGCTATCTTCTGGTCTCTGCCTTCTACCACAATGACTGGTTGATTGGCCAGTACCTGCCTGTCTGTTTGGATCTGGAAATCCCACTGGATATTAGCCCTGTGATTCTCCACAACCTTCTGTGGAACCTCCAATCTGGACGTGGGTAGTCTAGCCCATATACTGTGCAGATGCTCCTGTACACAATGACAGCTACTTGGTTGTGCCATTCAATGTATGCTGTTCCTGCCTGCATCATACATCTTGCCACTATGTATTGCAGTATCTCTGAGATCTCTGTGCATAGTCTTCACCTTGGATTCTACCTAGTGTGGTAGACTCCTGCTTTTATGGATCTTGGTGCTTAGTGCTTGTTCTTGTGCTGCTGTGATCAGTGCCTCAGTGCTGTCTTTTAGTGTAGCCTTTTACAGCCACTGGTAGAATTCAGCTATCTGTTGATGGTACATCACATACAAGACCTTGTCTTGCTATGGCACCTCCTCTGCTTGATCTTCCATGTCTATTGTCTATTCTCTCAGCATCTTTGGATGCCACCTTACTGATGTACTCCTGAATGCTCTGATTTTGTCCAGGACAGTGGCTTTGACAGTCCCTAGACCAGTGTTTCCCAAACTTGACCCTTTGAAGATGTATGGACTTCAACTCCCAGAATTCCTCAACCAGGCATACTGGTTGGGGAATTCTGGGAATTGAAGTCCATGCATCTTAAAATAGCCAAGTTTGGGAAACACTGCCCTAGACCCCACTGGACTTGGGATGGAAGCCTTCATATATTTGAGAAGTTTCACATCAAAAGCTTCTGCGTCCTTCTTTGGCCATCTTACTGCACCAGCAAAGTATATGATAACAGGCAGTGCATAAATAAATATTTATGGTTGGATCTTGTATTTCCCATTGAGATCACTCTACGGGACCTCATCCTTTGGTGGTACTCAAATGTTGCTGTCTTTCTTGCCTCATTTAGTTCTCATATGACTGTGGTATACAAAGGTACTTGTAGCTGTTTGCTTGTCTGGCTCACTGGTAGTTTCACCCCTCTTGACTACCATACAGCGGCAGCCACACTTCTCCAGTCCAAATGACATCCCAGTGTATTCACTGTAAATTCATGACAGTTGAATCAGCAAGTTGATTTCTCATTCACTCTTAGTAGTTACCCTCTTGAATGTGTATCCATATCCAGTCCTTGTGATTATCTGGTTGAGGGAGTTCAAACCTATGCAAAAAACCAGCGGGATCAGTGCATCACCTTCTTATATGCCGCACTTGATGGCCACTTGTATGAATTGTCTTGAGATGATTTCCAGTGCTGTCTTCCTTAGTGGCCTCTTCATTTTGTAGACTTTCTTGTAGTCAGTCCTGGCTGTGCTCAGATTGGTTGGTCTAGATCTTGAGTCTTGGACTCTTATCTATGAACAGCTGGTGGTTTGAACTTCAGGTGTTTCTCCCAATTTTTGGGCTATGCTCATGTACTGTAGCTTGACTGTTATGATGCCTGATTAGGACTTCCCATGTCGTGGAGAGGCAGATAATTGGTTAATAGTTGGACAGTGCTGTTCCTACCGTGTTTCCCTGAGAATAAGATCCTGTCTTAGAAATGTTGGTTGTACACTCTCACATATATGAAAGAGACCAGATTAAGCCTTTGAAGTACCTGAAATTTTTGCAGTATGCAGCTACTTCAATGCTTTGAAGAGGGGTGTTTCACCTGTGTTAATGTGTTTCAAAAATTTTGTAAACATTTTGAATATTTCCACAGCTGCATTTTGCAATAATTCTACATTCTGGAATAATAGAACAAAACTTCTCATTAAAATACACCTAATGTGTTACTTTCCATAATCATGCTTTGACATAGAGATAGAGCTGTTTTAAATGCTTCTTTGGAAGTGACAGAAATTAATCTCCCATGGATCCATGGGCAACCAATGTTTCTTGAATTCCCCCTTTTTTTGCCCATCGGAGGATAGTGAAAATTGTCCGTATTTAGTGGAAGATGTCTCTGGCAATGGACCTCACTCTGCTTAGAAGGAAATTCTGCTCTTGTGCTATCCTACTATAATTACAGTGTTGACCTTTGTGGACTTGTGATCCTGAAAATGTCTAAAATTTTGATTTGTGTCAATATTTTATTGCCCACAGATGTAATTGCTGCTGATAATATTTACAGATTGTTTTTTATAGTTTCATTCATTGATGTTTTCTATTTGTTCTTATGCTTGGTCAGGTTTACTGCTAGACCACTTGTGCATACTGTTTTTGAAGGAGGGAAGGCTACATGTTTTGCCTATGGCCAAACTGGTAGTGGAAAAACTCATGTGAGTGTTGGCTTCTGTTATATTTTTAAGTTTCATTTCCCTGAATTAGTTAATAACTTGAATCAAACAGAAGTAGTCTAAACTACTTCTAAATGGTTATCTGAAAAATTCTTGACTTAAAAACATAGTACTTTTACAGTAGTTTATGAGTGCAAACTTGATGAAATTGGAAACTCATCATATCTGCCTTGAATTTTGAAAATGGAATGCTTGATTTGTATGCTTCCCCCCCCCCCCCGATAATCTGTAGATGAACAATAAAATATTTTATTTTAGCTTGCTAAAATTTGTCTGTAGTTAGTAGAATTAAGGAGGGATAGCCTGCTCTAATTTCAGTCCATAGTGTATTGGTGTGGGAGGGGGAACAGATTTTGATAAATGGAGAGCCAAATACATTTGGAATTATTTATTAATCTATTATTCCTGTGCAGTAGTCCTGTAGTATGATTAGTACTAATAGCATTTTTAGTAGTAGTATGTTTATGTATATAACAAAGCTTCTATTTCAAGATATAAAGAAACTTTTGAATTATGACTGAAATTTGCAAATTTGAAACACTCATACTTTCATTTATCTCTTTATAGAAAAGTAGGTGTAAAAGTACTTTTTGAACAAGTTATTAAGTTGGGTAGTATCGGCAGTAATTAAATTCTAATTTGTTTGAAAATAATCAAAGTGGCAGATAATGAGATTCCCATTCAACTGTTAAGAACATGTCTTCTAATATATGTTCCTTTTTTTTAGACTATGGGAGGAGACTTCTCTGGGAAAGTACAGAAGGCCTCAAAAGGAATATACGCTTTTGCATGTATGTTACTATCACAATTTGAATATTTTAAAAATTAAATCAATAACTTTGGACATCATGCTTCCCCCCTCAATATTAAGTCTTGGACACAATGCCCAAAATTCCTATGAAAGCTGTTGCCATATTAATTTCTAATATGATGGAGGGAGAGCTATTAAATACATGGGGAATACCATCTCCACTGAATGCAATTAAATTTATTTAAGATAAATTTAGGTTTGTCTTGGTCCAACTGTTTTTTTGACTTTGGTCTCATGATAAAATGTTCAAAGACCAAGCATTGTCTATATGCTCTCTGCTGCAACAACATTAGATTAGGATGTAAGAAGCCTATGTTAATTTTCCCACAAATTACTAGTTAAATATTGTGTGATTGCTAATACCCCTATAGTTTCCAATATAGTTGTTGAAAGAAGCAACTGTGAAAAAACTCACATGAGCTGAAAGTGCATAAGCTTGATACAGTCTTGTTTTGGTGTTTTCTTCTCTTACTAGCACAGGATGTATTCCTCCTTCAGAATCAGCCACGGTATAGGGCCCAAGGCCTAGACATATATGTGACCTTCTTTGAGATATATAATGGAAAGGTGAGGCCATATATATTTATGTGTTATTCATGAGTGCAAAAAAAAGGATTTTATGTAAAGTCCCATATAAAGTCTTTTGTATAAAATGTATTGCTGTTAGGGAATTGAAGGGATTGATAGTTCTCTTGGCTTGGATAAATTGGCAAACTCATTTGGCATTGGTGCATATCTTGCTTGCTCTTTGGTCCTTCTGTATTAGCCAATGAAACTTGGCTAATACAATGATAAAATACACTTTTATCACCATGTTGTTAATCTAGTCTAAGTAGAGACCTTTCAAACATCTGAATATAGTTTTGTCAAACTATAGCTGGATATGAAGATCCATGCTCATACTGGATATTTGAATAACAATCATTATTACACAGGGAACGAATCATTACTATAAGAAAGGAATTAAGATAGCTATTGGGTTTAACAATACTGTTCCAGCTACAAGTTGCAAAAAAACAATTTCTGGTTGCTGCACAAAGCTCAGAAGAGACTTGGCCTCTTCTTTTTTAAATTTTTTTTTTATTAAACAGTTTTTTTTTTAAAAAAAACCATAAAGAAATATTAACACTTTCTTCTTTTCAACAGTTTCACGTCATTAATCCATACTTATACATTTTCTCTCTCTTATCCTAGTATATCTTTTATATATATATTTCTAATATGTCATATATATACCACTATAGTGTATTATATTATTCTAATTGTTTTATATTACATTACATTAGACATAAACATGTACCCAATTTCCACAATTTTTGTTTCTTCCCATTTGTTCTTGAATTTCTACTCCTAATTCTTAAGTGCTTCAGTTTGTACATTTCAGTGTCTTCATTTTAATACATACTTGAATTAGTTTGTTTTTTCTTATTTCAGTTATTTGATCTTTTAAACAAAAAAGCAAAGCTGCGGGTGCTGGAGGATGGCAAACAACAGGTCCAGGTTGTTGGCCTACAAGAAATGCGTGTGAATTGTGCTGAGGATGTTATCCGAATGATTGAAGTAGGAAGCGCCTGCAGGTTAGTTGTTTTTGGGGCCATGTTTTAGCTTAGCATGTATAGTGTTTTCTTAACATGTCCAGGTTTATTGGGGAGAAGGGAGTATTACGTAAGAGTCGTGATGGCGCAGTGGTTAGAAACCAGTTTTGCAAGTTAATTCTGCTGACTGCCAGGAGTTTGATGCTGACCTGCTCAAGGTTGACTCAGCCTTCCATTCTTCCGATGTTGATAAAATGGGGAGCCACTTTATTGGGGGGGGCAATATTCTGACTTTGGAAACTGTTTTAGAGAGGGCTGTAAAGCACTGTGAAGCAGTATATAAGCGGTATATATTGCTATTCTTGCTCTTCGTAATTGTAGAGGCTGGATATGGCACAATTTTTAGGTTCTAGGTGCTAAGATATCCTATAGTACAGGTATGTTTACATTATAGAACGAAAAAATACTTGTTCCAAGGAAACAATCTGCATCAAATTCTATAAAAAACATTTTAGTTGTTTTTATACATTTTTAAAAATGCAATAATATTTTGGTGATTAGAAAAACAATTCTGAGAGAAAGATGAAAAGAATTAAGCAAATTAAGGAAGGTGTTTTATCATTTAAAATACAGAAGTGTCACTTTGAATAGCAAAGTATCTTTTGGAGTCATTATGAAGATTAATGACCTTCATGATTTGATAACGTTTTAATATTTACACTTTGAAGTGGGAACATTAATTGAAATATGATGTTAGATAGGATGGGCCCAAATTATGGGAAGAAAGATAAAGCATGTAGGACACTCATTGCATTTTTTTAAAATCAGAGATTAGTATTATTTGCACTAATAGTACAAGGGAAATTGTAAGAAAGAAGCTATACTTCAGTGAATTACTTTAGAACAGTGATGGAGACAAGCCATTATAGATTCTTGTCCATTTGAGTTAAAAGTAAGAAGAATGGGTACTTTCTTAATGCCTAATACAGTGATGGCTAACCGTTTTGCCATCGCATGCCAAAAGCGTGGGGCGCGTGGGGGAGTTGCGTGCATGCGCGCGTGCCCATACCCATAATTCAATGACACCCTGCGCAAGCGCATGCGACCCGTGTTAATCCCGCTTTTGGCACATGATGGCAGAAAGGTTAACGGTGGGCCCAATAGGCCCGGTAGGCCCATTATTTGCCCTCCCCAGACTCCAGAGGCTTTCTTGGAGCCTGGGGAGGGTGAAAACAGCCTTCCCCAACCCCCCAGAGGCCCTTTGGAAGCCGGAAGCGGCCCATTTCCTGACTTCCAGTGGGCCTGGAAGGCCCAAAAATCAGCTGACTGGTGCGCACATGCGTGCTGGAGCTGAGCTAGGGCAACGCTCACGTGCCCACAGATATGGCTCCGCATGCCACCTGTGGCACCCGTGTCATAGGTTCGCCATCACGGGCCTAATAGATGCTCTGAATGTCTGCCAGGCACAGAACTAGAGAGGACTGTACTTCTCTTACTTTGACCAGTTAGGACGAGGCCCTTCCAACTTTAAAAGTGAAAATTAAAAGGCAATTAAATTCTATATCCTTTGCCTCTTGCCTGATTGCTGTTTAGCCATAGCATCTGGTTGGCTACACCACAGCATGATGATGATGACGATAAATTTTTGCTTGGTAAGGCTAACCAAATCATACTGTCTTCTACCGATGTATCATGTAATTAATAATTCTATTAACATTATAGGACATCTGGACATACATTTGCCAATTCCAGTTCCTCTCGATCGCATGCTTGCTTTCAAATTATTCTGCGTAAAAAAGGAAAGCTTCATGGCAAGTTCTCCTTGGTGGATTTAGCTGGCAATGAGAGAGGGGCTGATACCTCTAGTGCTGATCGTCAGACACGGATGGAAGCAGCAGAAATAAACAAAAGCTTGCTGGCGCTAAAGGTACAGATTAGAACAGGAGTGTCAAACTGGATTTCTTCGAGGGCCGTATAAGCATTGTAGTTCTCTGCGGGGCAGTGGGGGGACGACGACGGATGCCTCCTGCAGCACCCTGCCGGCCAAAAGAGTGTTTGCGGCCAGTTTTTCGGCCCATTTTCGGCCAGCAGAGTGCTGCAAGAGGCCATGGATGGTGAAATAGAGGCACGGGGCCCATTATAGCCACCAGAAGCACCGTAGGCCAGTCCTGCGGGCCTGGAGCGTGATACCCCTTGACTAGAACATAATACTAGCATTGTTAGTGTACGATTGGCTTCAGTAACAACAAAAGTCCTATTGTCCTGTTGCCTAGATAATGTCAGGTCTAAGTGGACACAATCTTTCTTTGCTACTGGTTGCTTATGGCTCTGAATGCATGAACAAATTACTACCCTTGACCTTTTTCCCCACCTTTTAGGAATGTATCCGTGCTTTAGGTCAAAATAAACAACATACACCTTTTCGGGAAAGTAAACTTACTCAAGTGCTGAGGGATTCTTTCATTGGAACAAATTCCAGAACTTGCATGGTAAGTCAGTCCACTTTATTTCACAGGGTTATTTTGTGGGGAATATAGCAGGAGGAGTATTAGGTATATTTGCCAGTTTGAGTTACTTACAAAAAATAAAGGCAAGACAAACGTCTTTTAAAAAAGTTGTGTAGGAAGTCTTATGATAATACAAGAACTATTGTGTTGTTTCATCAATCTATATCAATTTACATTTTTGGAAAAGTTTTTAAAACAATGTTAGTCTGGGCATATTTAATTGGAAAAGTTATAAGTTTGTGGACCCTAAATTCTGAATAATTATTCTAAAAAAAAATCTACAAAAGTTTAAATGCTTCATTATAAAAAAGGCCAAAAAAGCAGAGGTGACAGTACAAGCAGGTAGATTAGCAGAAGGTGAGAGCTGAGTGCAAACTGGTAATAATTTTGTTTCCTTTTAGATTGCAATGATTTCCCCAGGCATGAGTTCCTGTGAATATACTCTAAATACCTTGCGATATGCTGATAGGTGAGTGATATCTGTACTTGCAAATCTCACCATATCTTGGGGACAAAATGGGAAAAGAAATTTATGGGTTTTTTTTTAAGATTGCCATTTCTACATTGTTTCAGTTTCTAATGTGGTTCTCTCACAGGAACCAATTTAGAAATGGCAAACTCTGCACTGAGTTTCTGATAAAAACAAATTGGTTAATTTTTTTCCCTTGCTCAAAAAGCAATCTATCAAAATGTCAAAAATCCCCTTAAATGTAGACATGTCTCAGTAGCAACTTAATTTCAGGAAGTACTTGCTGTATCAGCAAAAGAAGAAACAACTGATTATCAGGACTATTGTAGTCAAATTTGCACGGGAAGGAAAGCCTATTCCAGTTACTCCCTGCATCAGATAGAATTTTTTCATTCTGCTCAGTCCATGTTGTCCTACTTGAAGAAATGAGTGCAGGATGTTTGTTCATATGAAACAAAAGCTGAAGTACTAGTCCTGTGCTTCTTTATCTGTGTTATGTATCAGACTGTCTGAGTTCTTTATTTCAACAGTTGGATTTGTATTGAAATCCTTCTGCTCTGTTTCTAGAGTGAAGGAACTTCCTAGCAATGGAACAGCTGGTGAGGCACAAAACTGTATGGAAACTGAGAGTGAAGAGTTTGAGATTAGCAGAGAAGAATCGGACCATATTCTTGAAGTATGTATATGCATAGCTTAAGTCCAATTTATTTAGGAAAACAGGACTTGGTGCAAGTGTGCTAATATTTTTCCTTGTGAATAGCAGCTTTCTGAAGATGAGCTGTCTCCTCATCTGTCCAGTTTTCGTGATGCTCTCACCCGGATTAGTGAATTTGAAGAGAAAGCAATAGAAGAACTTAAGGAAATCAGGGAGGTATAGTTGAATATTCAAAACTTAATAAGATTCTGTTTTCTAAAGTGACTAATATTTTTGAGGTATTTTGGTGTAGATAATAAAATTATGCTTATGTCTGTGGAATGATGCTTATTAACAAGAAAACCTCACATATTCTTACTAATATTGATTTTTGTCAATTCAGTAAATTTGTTTTATCTGACAAAGCCATTCCAATTTTCTTATAAATTCTGCATTCAGAAAATGAACGACTGTAACTATCTCCTGGACATTGCGGAACAACCAGAATATGACCTAGAGGCCTTTGTGTACCAAACCCAATGCTTCATAAATGAAGGATCCAAAAGCTTCCTCAGTCTAAAAGGTACAAAGTTGCATTTGCATTCATCTTGAATTATTAATTTAGCTTTACTACTAAGTTTTGCAAATTGCATTCTAAGTGACTGTTTAGTCACTAAGCAGTGACTGATTATAGCTTTATAAGCCTTCTTCAATGATAATACTGAGCAGTCCCGTTGTCCTTGACTGACTCTTACACTCTCCCAACCAGAACCCTGAGCATGATGCTCTTGCATGAACAGTAGGAAAAGTATACAGACTATGATGGTCCAGAAATTATTTTGTGTGTTTAAAAGTGGCTCTTATGGAGAATCTTGAAATGGCTTGAGTAAAAATACTATTTTTAAGCTAGGCATAGAATCAACAAATATAAGAATGAAAGTTAGAATTGATAATAAAAGTGATGGCCTTCTGCCAAACTAAGGGAAGAAATTAAGTTAGCATGAAATGGAAGAAGTTTTAAATTGGAATGAATACTGAGCTTCATCTGTATATTAGCTGTCCTGCATGCGAGGTGCAGCTGAGTTTATTTTTTTTCCAGTCATTACAAAAGATAAACTGGGTATAAAATGAGGACCCAGGTTGCTGGGGGCAATATGCTGATTCTGTAAACCATTTAGAGAATGCTGTATCACTATGAAGCAGTATATAAGTCCAAATGCTATTAACACCTGAAAAAGTAGAAGCAATTAAAATTCCCCCCCCCCCCGTAAAATAATGAAAGAAACCTCATGCTGTGGTGCCTGTGAGAGTCATTCTAGCACAGAGGTGCACTTTATTTCAGGTGTATAGGGAAGACCAGCATTCTCATTTCCATTTGTCCTAGTCCAATTAATGTGAAACTCCATGTTTTCCTAATGTTCCCCAACACTGTCAAACTATTTACTAAGATTGTATTACTATTATTCTTCTCATCCTTCCTATTACCTATCTCCTCCCACTTATGACTATAACCATGTTGCTTGTATCTTTACAATTTATATTGTTCTGTTGTTTCCTAGTATGATTTGATTTCTTATTAGTAACTTACGACTGTCACTAAGTGTTGTATCTTATGATTCTTGATGAATGTATTTTCTCTCTCTCTCTTTTTTTCTTTTATGAACACTGAAAGCATATGCACCAAAGACAAATTCTTTGTGTGTCCAATCACACCTGGCCAATAAAGAATTCTATTCTATTCTATTCTATTCTATTCTATTCTATTCTATTCTATTCTATTCTGACTCATGGGGAATTATTTCCTTCCAATAGAAAGGAAGGAGCTTTTTCTGAATTCTCTTACAATCTGGACTTCACTTTGACTTGCCTGTTTTCTCCTTTTTCACTTTCCACAGAGACTCTAGACGAACTGACGCTAGCCATGCAAATGGAAGAACAAGCCAGCAAGCACCTGAATCAACGTCAACTTCAATAACTGCCCACCTGTTAAATGAACCTTTGCCCCTCTCTATTTGTCTGTCACTTATTTGGTTGGCAATTAATGCATTTTAAAAGCAAACAGATAATCCAGCCTATCTGCTTTGAATGAGTCTTTTAAACCTGATGCAGGAAAGGGACAGCTCTTGGCCAGAAATTTCTAGGACTCCCCCCCCCCCTTTTACAGTACTGAAAGCTGCATAAGGAGGGCTTATTAGTGTTACCTGTTAAACGTGTGCATATTTCTAGTGTATATAGAATTTTTGACTAAATATTTTTATGTTACCACTAAGCGCAAACCAGTGGATCTTAAACTGGATTTGCTGTTCTTAAGATAGAAAAAGTGAGTGAAACTGTTTAAATAAATTTTTCTGAATTCATTAATTTCTGCCTTGCAAAAGCACTATGGCGTTTTCTGTAGATCTGTAGTTTGTTCTGACCTTTTCACTGTGAGTGAAGAATCCAATTGGATGAGTATTCTTGGTAGATGGGGGTTGTGCTACTAGGTGGCACATTTCTTTTTAAATAGGCAAAATTTGCCTATTTCAGATAGTTATTGTCTAATAATGATTGCCATAAGTACACATAAAAATATGGCTACTGACTAAAAAAATTAAAAAGCAGTTAATAGCCATAATTAAGCTTAGAACTGAAGGATTCACAGAATTTTTAAAAAATGCAATTTAACTGTGCTGGGGATCAGAAAGTTAAGATATGGTGCTCTGAATATTGTAATAGATTAATGGATCACATAGCATGAATATCAACCATTGCTCTAAATATAAATTTCTGGAAACGGATAGCCCTGAGTATGTGCAGTTGCACCTAAAATCAAAGGTTTTAAGATAGAAACCTTTCTTAAACAACAGTTTTACTTTCAAAAAATCTTGTTTGCTATTGAAAAATAAATAAATAATTTTATATTTAATAATGAATGCTGTTAGAAAAGACATGTGTTCAATTATTTTCAGACAAAATAAATGATCTTTATGAATTTGAGGAAAAACTACTTTCAGAGTAGACAGCTATATTCCAGTTGTTAAAATGTAACTACTAGTCTCATTCCAGTTGGAATAATGAAAATTAATATTTAAAACATTTAGTCAACAGGTCGCTCTACCTATTGTGCATTAAGGTTGACTTTTAGCAAACACATGTATGTATAGTTGGAAAGATTATGTTCTTGGTCATACAGACTATAAGAGAATGCAGCAGAAGGTACGTATTCATGTAAGTATTTAAGCAAATAAATTAATTTGAAGGTAAGTAATAACCTTGAAGTACAAATTAAATTCAACAACTCAATGCAATTTTAATTAAGATAGATATTCCATTTCCTCTTTTAGAGTGTAGGTTAGTTGTATAAGGAGCTGTTCCACATTAATATATTATTCATAATGATATGAAACTGGCCAAAAATTATCCAATGGTAAAAGCCATTTTTGTTCCTTAAAGTTTCCTGAGCTTTATTTCCTTCGGTGGTATTGAACCGTTGCTACTTGTTGCAAGATTATGGGAACTGTAGTTTGGTACAATCTGTGTATCACAGCAGATGAGAAAACTAGTCAAGTAATTATCTAGTCAATGAAAACAGAAATCACCTGTCCCAATGTCGCAAATGCCACACAGTTTGCACTGCAGTTATATAGCCCTTCATGCTTTCTTCACAGGGATGCATGAAAAGATTTTGAAAAAGGTATTTTGTGCAAAGAGTGCAGAAAAATGGAGAGAAGATTAAAATCAACAATAAACCTAATACTTGAATGAAATTAAGCAAATGGCTCAGAAAGTACTTCACTGTCTTCAGAGTGCCATTCTTCTTCAGGGCTTGATTCTGTCTCTAGGTTGGGGAGAAAAATAATTTCAGTCCAAAAAAAAAATCAATTTAGTCTTGAATCTATTACCCTGTTTCCCCAAAAATAAGACATCCCCTGATAATAAGCCCAATCGGGCTTTTGAGCACATGGCAATAAGGCTTCCAAAAAAATATAAGACAGTCTTATTTTCGGGGAAACACGGTACTGAAGCACTGAACTAATTTTAATAATCTATGTATATGCATATCTATATATACACACATGAACATGGTTCAGCTCATCATAAGATTGGTGCTGCAGAAATTAAATAATCAAATGACTATAGACCAGTTTATTTTGCAATAAAGTTACATCATGGAGATACGATTTTATCCATTTTGGGTTGTCAGCTGACATTTCCTTCCACAGGTTTTATATACACAAATACGCACACAAAAGCATATATAAAAATATTGGTTTTATATTTATTTAATATAATAATATAATTTATTTAATATTTATTGCTAAGCAGTTTCTGAATTTAGCTGTAAATTATATGATAAATGCTTTTCTGATTCTGCACCAATGGAGAATTTACAATTCCGTAAATTGTATATACAATTCTGTATATGTTTCTTGTTGTAGACTTTTCCCCATGACTGCAAAAAGCATACCTGTTAACGAAGTTTTTCCTTTAGCCAAACAATCTGCTGGAATATTGACTATATTGGTAGCCAGTATATCAGCCTGTACAGCATCCATATTCAAGTACAAATTTGCAGCATCTTGCTGAGAAAAGAAAAATGTTTGTTTTAATTTGAAAACATGGAGATCACGAATGACTCTTGTGTCTGCCTGTCGCAAAACCATTCAAACTAAATTCTCTACACACCTTCCTAACTTGAATCCCATGATGATTGTTTATAGCACAAATTATTGGAAACAAAGGGCAAGTTCATACAAGTGCATCAATTGATTTCACTTTGATACATGGGCAAGCATATGAAACATTTTCAATAGAAAGTTAACAGGTCTTATTGTAATTATTATGCTGCAGTTTAATTAGACATGAACATGCATATGTGAATCAGATTAACATCCTGGTCCTTAAATTGGGGGTTTTATGGCCTCAGTCTTTTGATCACATTGGATATGCCAACTGTGACTAATGAAGTAAGGGGGGAAAATCTGTTTTTCATGTGCCCACTCAGTCTCTTGTCACCTTTCAATTATATTCCACACACCAGAAGAATACTGAGAAATAAAGTAATATAAATCGCTTAGCCGATTCTGCAATCATTACTAGCCTTTGTTTTAAGTCCAATTAAATCTATCTTTATGGCTGCTGGGAAGTACAACATCTGAGGGGCAAAATATTTCCACTCTTGATCTTGGCAATGGCAGATTTCAGTAATCTCTAATAATTAACTTGCCCTTTGATCTCAATCTATGGCATGCTATGTGTTGTATTCATGCATAATTGGTAGTAATCCAGAAGGTCTTGTCTCTAGATTCTCAACATTCTATAGGGAGTTTTTTGGAAATGATTATAAAATGACAAGGCTTACTTAATACGGCACAATTATGCACAGGTGTTATAGTTTAAAGGTTTACAGATGTGTCCTTTTATTCTTTTAAGCAGTCAGTTCTCTTTGAACATGCTATTAATACAAATAAAGACCATGGCATAATTTGATCTCTCCCATTATTGAATTATTTTGAAATGGAGAAGGTTCTAAAGACTTTTGAAAAGGAAAATATACCAAGTAAACAAATCATATCAATACAGTGTATACCAAAATTGCAAAGCAATCTCTGCTAATATGGTTAATGAGCTGTATGGCAAGAATTCTGTGAACGAGAAAATGCACCCATGAGCAAGCCGGTATTGCAAAAAAATATTGGAACAGGGATATGTCAGAAAACAATGACATTACAACAAGTGGACAATAAAGTCATAGTCATGAGATCTGCAAGACAAACGACAGAAATCACTATTTCTGCCTGTCTCTCCCAGTGTTTTAAGTTTCCACCAATTTTGGTCAATGGACTTTTGGCCATTCTCTTCCTAGCCTTAAGACTGAACTACCCCTGTGTTGTGTTTATCCAATAGCCAGGGCTGAGCAACACTGGTTTATGCCTTGCCAGGTTCAAGTTCTTACCTTTCTTTAAATCTAGGAACCACTACTGTGGGGCAATCATGCAAAACAAAATTGAAATTGAACAGATTTAGGGACTTTAAAAATACCTAGCAGGGAGACGAGAATAAATAAGGTTTATATTTAACTTAGTCTCCTGAATGTCATTTGGAAAGATGGGAACAGAAAGTTAGGAAAAACTTTTTTTTTTTTTAATGAAATGTCCTTTTCAATATTGTCAAATTTCTCTGAATGTATATCCCTCTCCAATGCAGACTTTAAATATTACTATATTTGTTAATAGTGGAATAATTAATTTTATAAATGAATATCAAGCTATTTTCACTGTAGCAATAGAAACAACAAAAACACTTATAGAAATTAGTGTAATTATTTTAAAGTTATATATAATATCGATTTTATTAAATGCTGATATGCTGATATCTTTTTTTGTGGTGGTAGTATTTATTTAGTCTGTTTTCTCTCAGTGAGATACAGTACTTAGTATCTATTGAAATATGTTTTTAAAATACATGTTGATTTTAATCCTTAATCCTGCCTTAAAATATAAAATTTGGTACTTAAAACTGAAAATCCATCAGGCAAGCCCAATATATACAGGACTGAAAATACATACCATGAATAGCTCGAACAATTTTTCTCCCATGGCCCTCCTAATGTAGTTCTCAATCACTATAAACATCTGTACAAAATACTACAAGGAAACATCAGTTCAGCTATAGGAAAAAGCATCACAATTTTGCAAACATTTGAAACATTTACAAAGTGTTTTCCAAAGCACCTCCCTGCTTGAAGTGATAAAATAGCTGTGTCATCTGGAAAGCGAACTGGTTTTCTGCATCGCTATGTGGATCCACTGGTAACCCTTTTTGCTGGGTCTGTTGCCGAGTGCTTACACAGGCAAGCAGTGGCAGCATTTGAAATACTAACAACTATTCTAAGGAAAGGATGCTTTTTTAAAAAATCTTTCTTTTTATGACCTTGTAATTCCTTACTTTGGGGAAGAGTCAGGGTGACTGGATGGAGCTGAGCATTTACTGGCTGGATGTCCTTTACACCACACAGTGTTTGCAGCAGATATTTTTTCTTTGTGCCTTAGCAGAGAAACATCTGCCACTATCTAGGATTGAATTCTCAAGTTTCTGAGTAGGTTGAGAATTCAATCCTACGGCAGATGTTTCTCTCCAAGGATGCTTCGCTTGTACTAAATTACTGTTGAAGTGTCCCTTTCAAATTATTTGCTCAATTAAAACATAAAACACTGTAGGCAGATTTAGTTGGTATTTGGTTTTTCTCTTGCTGTGCTTGTGCTAGAGTGGAGGGAGATGAGGGGAGCTTTACTATCACTAGCAGTTTTAAAACAAAAACTATAGGAATATCATTCTGCCAGCTTTACTTAAATATGGAAGCAATCCCTTTTCTACAAACATGTTCCTTCCTTGTCCATCTTGTACTTCGGCCATAGCTTGATCTTGCTTCTGTTGAGTTCAACTACCATAATCCTAATTGCAAATGCAAACTCAATTTCAGTTACAGAAATGACAAGAATAAGCTGCATCCAGTTACCCCCTAGTTCCAAATGGTACTTGCCTCTAATGTGATGCTAGCTTGTCTTTGACTGTTGGTGTGGTCCTTATTGCCCATGGCACACATAAGACCATGTACCACATTCAAGACAATCAGTTCCTCAGCCACTTCTCTAGACTCCTGGGCCAGAATCCTAGAAGGGGAATATTGAATAGTTTACAACTAAAATACTAACACAGACCGGTTTTGTAAGGTCTGAATGCATGGCTGATGTTTCAGTTCAACACTGAAGTAATTTTCATGAAGTAATAGTTCAAATAGTGGCTACATGTGGCCTCCTACTCCCAGCACTCATTTTTGTTGTGCTCAGAACAAGTGAGATGGAAATATTTTTTTTCTCTTTCTTTTTGAATGGATGATTAAAGGTCAAAGGGTTGCTTGGGGTTTCTACAAAATCTGTTTTGCCCCTTAAATCTACACAAATCTCACAGAACACTAAATAAATATATACACCGGATTTTCTTTGGTAATATTCCATTTGCTCTTTCCCCTGTAATAACAGCAGCACCAAAAATAACAATACTGTAACCAGTTAAAAAAAAAAAAAAGCAGCAACAACAGCATAGTTTAAATGCCATTGCATCCTATTCTGATGAAGTATGCACCTGATTTTGCTACTACCATTTATCTGTAAAAATAATAAAATTATTTTTTAAAAGTAGTAAAAAAAAAAAAAAAGTGGTCCCCCTCCACTTGGGAGTGCAGCAAAGCTGCACACATTGTGTACTCCACTGTAAAACATGTATTACATTGCATAATTTAAATGATTTAATAACACCTAAATCACTTAGTTAAATAACCACTTTGCATTTCAAAGATGATAATCTAAACAAATATGCCTTCTCCAGGATACCAATAAAGCTCCAAACTACTCAGTAATACTGTCTCTGTATAATAACACTGTAATAAGTACTTGGTAATACTGTCCATATTGCAATGTTAATCAGATGTCAACATGGACATTAAGATCAGGATACCAACAGAGCTCTAGACAAAATAATAAGTACTCAGTAATACTGTCCATATTCAATAAAACTGCCATATATAATAATATTACAATTACTCTGATCCTTGTAAATGACTACTGAACTTTCATTATGAATTTGGATTGGTATAATTTCTAAAAAAAGTATGTCTTAATTATTTCAATTATTTAATTATCCCCTCCTTCAGAACTACCCTTTTATCTCCTCTATTACGATAGCATTTTATAAATGGAAAGTTGCAAAGATTTAAATATAACTATCCCATTAAACAGTATTTGCTTCTTTCCCCTTTCCTTTGAAATTGTGATAAAAGTCTTAATTATAAAGCATTATAGGAACAATAAACAATCCTTTCCAGGGAAAGATTGGTCCAGGCAGACGAAGAACATCATGGCTTCAAAACCTAAGGGACTGGTTTGGACAAAACTCAGCAGCACTTATTCATGCGGCTGTTAACAAAAATAGGATTGCCAACATGACTGCCAACGTCCGATGATGGATATGGCCCAAGAAGAAGACGATAGGAACAATGGTCATCTCCATTATACCAAGCAGGAATACATATAAAATGTTTGTCAAAAGAACTACTTTTTTCTTTAAAAGATACCTGAAGGGTGTCTATATCATACTTGTTCTGGTTTACGCTTGGACCTGGTGGTTCCTTGTACCACTTCTGCTGGAGGAGGAGCTATTTCAAATGTTTAGACAGCTAGTTGCAGGAACTAAAAATTTCTTACCCAATGGTTTTGGCTGCTGCAGCTTGCTGAACATATGCTGGCAAGGATTCTATCAGGTGCAAAGAGCCTGCTTCTGAACAGATGATACAATATAGAAATCAAATACAGTACCTCATAGCTTTCCCAAAGTTTTGTTTTTGATTTGAGTAGAAGCCAAGTAGAACATTCTTAATCAGATTTCCCAAGAAAAACATTTCCAAATTCTCTAGCTTTTAAGCAGCAGCAGTATTTGACTTGTATAGCTATTTTTCATTTCAGTAGTAAAGGGTAGGGGCTTTGATTTTTTTGATTTTTCAGCAATGTTGGTTTATGTTTTCCTTTGAATAACACAGTCCTGTCCTCAGCATTCCCAGCATATGCAACTACAATCAATGGGTGAAGTTTTATAATGGGATCTACCTCCTCAGAACAGCAGGCTCAAGTTTCTGAAAATTTGGAATCTGATGGATCAATGGTAAAAGGTATGGATATAGTTAGATAACATATATTACACGTTGCTTCCTCTGATAGCAATTTTTCCCTCTCCTCATGCAAATACAGATATAACTGCAGGTAGTCCTTGACTTATGACCACAATTGAGCCCAAAATTTATGTTGCTAAGTGAGAAATTTGTTAGTGAATTTTGCCCCATTTTATGACCTTTCTTGCCACAGTTAAGTGAATTACTGCAGTTGTTAGGCTAGTAACACAGTTGTTAAGTGAACCTGGTTTCCCCCTCTAGTTTGCTTATCAGAAATTCACAAAAGCTGATCACATGACCCTGGAACACTGCAACCATCATAAATATGAGACAGTTGTCAAGCATCTGAATTTTGATCAGAAAACCATGAGGATGCTACAATGGCTGTTAGTGTGAAAAATGGTCACAAATCACTTTTTGTCAGTGCTGTTATAACTTTGGTCACTAAATGAACTGGTGTTAAGTCGAGGACCACCTGTATAAAAGTAGGAACCATCTTCCATACAGACAAATTCAAATACCACTGTTCCACAATATTACCTTCCAGGATTCTTGCTTGCATCTTGGCTGTCTCCTGCCTTGATGGCTTTAGTAATGTAACCAAGCCTTTTAGCAGAGCTGGTCGCACATCATAGGCCATAAGGTCCTTGATCAGTTGGATAGCTACAAGAAGGAAGGTATCAAAATTCCTATTTTGCCAAAAGCTAGTTTTAATTAGATAGTATCTCTTATACATGGGTTCAAACAGGGGCGGGTTTCAAAACCTGTCGTTACCGGTTTGCTCATGGGTGCTTGCACATGTGCAAAAGCGTATGGGCGTGGGACTGAGCCTCCCACCACTGCCACTACCGGTTTGCCCGATCCGGGGTGAACCGGTAGCAACCCACCACTGGTGTCAAACTTGCGGCGTCACGTTGCCATCATGTGATGTTTTGCAATATTTTTTCCCTTTGCGGAGCTGGGGTGGCCATGGCCTACACATGACGCGTCCAGCCACCAGTTTGACACCACTGTTCTTATAAAATACAGCCTCAGTTTTTCCCATAGACTCTGGGAGATGGAACAGAACCCATTATACCATTTAGCTCTGGTTCTCTATGGTCTGATTTCATTAAAAAGGATCTGCCATTAGGGAAACTGACATATATGAAATATGCATGGGAACATTAGATATTATAATGGCCTATAATGATGGAAGAGTTACAGACTACTAAAAACATACCCTGATTGAATTCAATTCTTGGCAATTACCTCCATGTAATTTGCATATCAGCCTTACAAACATGGATTGCTACTTCTCCCAGCGTAGCTTTTTTTAAAAAACTGTAAAGTAATATTTTAGCTCATAGCTGAGGAGGTAGTCTTCCATTCAAGTACTATCTAGGGTAGACTTTGTCCAGTTTGCAAGATCAGCCAAGAATAATTATGTATTTTGGATGTCATGTCATTAAGCTGCAAATCTGTTTTTGGGGTGGAGGGGAGGAAATAGAGCAACCAATTGATCAGTACAAAGGTATCCCCCAAAATAGCATAATCAGTCCTTGTCACAATCAGCCATTACTCATGCCCTGGGTAAAACAATTATGATGCAATTAATCTTTAGATTTTCTATCTTATCCCTTAAAGAGAAGCAAGGCCTTTTAAAACAAACTCATTAAAACCTACTATAGATATTTTTTGTTGTGTTTAATGGAAGTGTCTATTAAAAATGAAAGTTATATGCAGTCTAAAATTGATCTTAATAGGAAGATCATTATGACATGATCATTCAGCCATGAATTTCCAGCCAATAATTGGACATGCCCTTACAGTGTGTTTTGTATTCTGACCCCTTTATTGGAGAAATCAGCACAATATAAATAATTGTCTTTTTAAAAAATAGAATTAAGGGAGAAAGTCTAAAATAATACTATCAAGCTGCACTGCTAGGTAATACAATCCCTTTCATTTTGAAATATAAAGCAAAACAGTGGATGAAAACTGAAAATATAAAAGAATCAAGGAAATCTATTTGTAGTAAAAATAAATAATGAATTTATATGTTATTACCCCAGATAGGGTTGTATTCTAACCCCAGTGTTTTTTAATTTCTATGTCAATGATTTACCAGGGTTTCTACTTTATTTTATTTTATTATTTTATTTTATTGATAAGGTTGCAAGATTAATCAATCAATAAACTACTACTACATTATTATCCAGAGGAAGACTATACAGCACATATTGTTTATTTCCTATTAGTCTCAGAGTTCTCTTGGCTTTTTGGCCACCCGTTCAGTAAAACTAGACAAACACACATGGCTTGACTACCTTGACAACAAGGTTAACTATTATGATGGGTAGTATAGGCAAAATATCTAAAATGACTCAGGTAAAGAAAATGTGATGGTTATTTACATCAGACTTCATATTGCATGTAACATTTGTTTTACATACAATCTTAGTTTTCAAGACAGTTCCTTCTCACCACCCCTGCTTTAGAAATGTTAGAATTACTCACTATTTCATTTAAACTCTGATTTTCAGTTTTCAGTAAACATATTTTCCTTAACATAACAGTTGAAGAGATAAAAAAAAGCAGTTTTACCTTCATACTGTACCTCGAAATTCAGAGAGCGAAGCACACTCAGCACAGAATCAACAATGCTCACATGGGCTTTTCCCACAATTGACTGGCAAATTAAAGAAGAAATAGGGGAGCATTATTTCCCAAATTGGATTCTGTGAAATAATATGTCCATCTTAGAATGCTCCCAAAAAAATTTCTTATTTAATTATTTTTCACATTTTTGAACTGCCTATATACCTCAGAGAGGGACTGCATGTGCCCAATTAATTTAGAAAATACATGTCAGAAGCATATAAATATTTAGGTTCAGCATGTTCCAATAGATACCACTTTGACCAACAAAGCTGAATTCCTTTCTGTCACAGATTACCCATTTGCCTTGAACAATTCTGAACTTGCTTTTTGTGTTAATTTTATTTAATTATTTTATTTCTAATTTGTGAGTCTGGGTAGCATAAAGAATGCCAAAATATAACATAACCAATATCACAAAGCCAAAAAATAAAACAACCATGCAAACAACACAAAAGGCTAAAACAATTAAAAAACATGTAATACAATCAGGAGATGACACAAAGTAAACTGCAAGGGAGACAAAACAGTAATGGTATCATATATAGTTTTAGTTTTAATAATCTCTATTTTAATGCTGATTTTTCTATTTTAAATGTCTGGTTTTATATACCTATGTATTCTTTTTTACCTATGTTCTTTTGTACATCACCATGTTTCACTTTTCATGAAATGGAAGGGCTATATAAATTTGATTAATAAATACATAATAAATATTCAAATCATATGTAAATGTATAATGGCAAATGGGTGCCACTCACTGAAGTTACCTTTGCAGGCACATATATCATTAAAAGCATGCATATAAAGTACTTTCAAAATTAAGCATATTAAAGAAATATGCCTGAGAAATAAATACCTCTGGCAAAGAACTCTTAAGTAGGTATTAAAGCAGAGCATAAATTTCAAGAATTATGTACAATGGCCTGGTTTTAAAATATTCCACATGTCCAATAGAACAATAAAGTCAAATTTTCCCAGATATGGAGTACCCTCATAATGCTGCAAGTTGCCAGAAGGCACAGTTACATTTTATCTTTATTAAAGTTATGTCATTCTTCAGATGAAAAATAGTAGCTGGCTAAAGAACGTCCCGTGATTATTATTTGAGTAGTTATCTGAACCCACGATTTCTTAAAATTAATTTTACTAAGGATGTGAAAGGCAAATCTTGGTTGAGGAGCTAACAACTTCCTGGCATTAGTTCTGTTAATTGTCACGTTTTTGCTGAATAAGATATTGAGGTAGCATTTAGCAAAAGGATTTTACTGTCATCTCTGTTTCAAATAATATAATTATTTTTCACTAGCAAATCACAAGTTAATCCCTGTTCTACAAACCAAGCATGTATTGCTATGACAAGTCAGTGGCCCTAATTATTTTTATTAGACAAGATTTGTTTCCAATATAAAAGCCAATTCCATTCTATTTGGGTTTCAGAGAGGGAGATATATTCAGGTGTACAGCATAAATAAATAGTTGTACAAAGACTTAAAAATGAACATTTATTATAGCAGACTTTCAGACCCATTTTGTTGGAAATATACATTATTTCCCTAAATTGATAGGTAGGACATATGTGGGCATGTATGTGTTTGTGTGTATATTCGCACAAAACATATGCACCCCAAAACAAAGAATGGGAGAGTGAAAAACATCAAGGTCAGAAGGAATTACAATATAATACAGCCTATGAGAATTGTGCAAAAGCCTAAATGTACAAGTAGTCCTCGACTTACAACAATTCATTTAGTGATTGTTCGAAGTTACAACAGCACTGAAAAAAGTGACTTATGACCATTTTACACACCTATAATCTTTGCAGCATTTCCATGGTCATGTGATCACCTTTTGTGACCTTGGCAACTGGCACGTATTCATGAAGGTTGCAATGTCCCAGGGTCATGTGATCACCTTCTGATAAGTCAGTGGTGAAGCTAGATTCACTTGACATTCGTGTTACTAACTTAACAATTTCATTCACTTAACAACTGTGGCAAGAAAGGTCATAAAATGGGGTAAAACTTACTTAACAACTGTCTTGCTTAGCAACAGAAATTTTGGTCATATGTTAAGGACTATCCGTAGGCAACACTGCTAACCAGGCACTGTAAGAGTTAGGCTTAGACAAAGGGCATATCCAGGTTGGGGTGGGTCAAAGAAGTCAAGATGATGGCCATCGTCACGCAGTTCTGGCCATCAGTTGGATGTTTTTGACTGCCCTACAGACATTCCTACATCACAGCTTGCATTTTTGTATTGTATCTTCTTTCTGAGATTAGCCCCCACCCCTTCCATGATTTCCTTTACATGATTACCAATTTGATGACATTTTAGACATCGGGGAGAAATTCTGTTTTACTGAAATTTATGCATAATAAATTCATTGTCGCTAGAAAATGTAGATGTGGAAACTGCATCCTATTGGTCCAGCCTGCATACAGGTGCAGGGAACTAGAGCCCTGGGGGTGCACCCATCTCTTTAGTTGCTGGTGACCGTGCTGCTGGTCTGACTAAAAAAAATGGAGAGAGAAGGAAAAAATGAGAGGAGAGAAAAGGTCTGTGCAAAACAGAGTGGCTGGAAAGAAAGGCTAGAAAGTGAAGTTAAGTGAGTGTTGTAAGTTTCTGGTTGAGAAGGGAGAAGAAAAAATCTATGGCTGACTTCCCTGGAAAAAGAGAATAGGGAGAAGTTATCAACACCCAAAACTCAAGGCAGAATGAAAGGAATTATCATTGCTGGTGAAGCCCTGGTACCTGGGGAATAACTGGGAGAAGACTCTGATTAGAGGTTGTTCCCCTAATTCCCCTAATAAGTGTTTGGTGTTTGGCTGAGCAGATCCAGGAGAAAAGTCAACGGTGCTGAGCATATTACAGTAAATCCAGCCGGTTCCTTTTTTCTCATTTCTTCTTGGTAAACCCAGAAATGAGGAAGGGAGATGAATAAAACAGGGACAAAGCAGGAGAGCTGGCCAGGGATAATCTCTCGGGGGAAGATTTAGGAGCAAGCCTGAGATCCAATTACGTTGAATATACCTGTTATAAATATCTGCTTTAAACAGCCTCACTTGTAAATAGTAAAAAAAGCATAAAAGTCTCCAGTCTTTTTTCTTTCTCAGTTGCCACCCTCACATTGCAAAATACACCTCCAATTCAAAAAAAGAATCTGTAACACTGTGACAATGCTAAAATTAAAGCTTATTCTAAAGTCATGCCTAAGATAATAGAAATGTTATGTTCCACAGATGTGTAGTGTAACTCACAGTGTGGCTATAAAAAGCTTTCTATTTCATTCTAAGTTATGAGCATATGTCTTGACAGTTACACATTATTATTATTGGTCACTGCATTTGCAAATCTATCAACTAATTTATTTAAAGGAAATAAAATTCTATACAATCCATAAAACTGAGGTTGCATACAAGTACCTTCCCAGTTCCCGTTTATTTGGCTGACCTGTATCGTCCTGAGTGTTTGAAGTGACAGTTGCTGAGCTTTGGGAGAAGTGCTCTTTAAAAGAGCAATCAGCCCTTTGTACACCTGATTTTGATATTTGGGGTTGCCGTGTCCTAATGTTTCCAGAAGAATCTGCACTTGTTCTTGTGTCGCTTCTGACTTGGAAATGGCAAAAAATTCAGCAATTGATCGCACGCCTGTGTAGGAAAAAGCTTTCTGAACAAGTGGGTTAAGAAAAATTTGCCAATAATGAGTCCCTTTGAACTCATAAGCAATATCAATTAATCAATAAAAACATCTTGTAAATAATATTGACTATGCCAAACATTGTGGACAAGGATTCCCTCCATATAGGAACTGATAGGTATCAAACAGACTGCAACCAAAACTAGGCTATAGAGGGTGTGGATGAGGGGAAGAGCTATCAATGATTTAGGAGTCCCAAGCTATGAAGAACTGCAATAAATAATTACATTTGGAAAATTGATTGGAAGAGTAGAATGACTTAGTTGGATAACTGGTCAAAATTCTTTTCTGACATTGGATTTAATACTGCAGGTTCAAAGTGTATATGGCAATATAGGATTTGACACTAGCACAATATTATCGATAATGCTTTCTTTTCTACTACATTTTGAGGAGGTTTTCTTTCTGCTACCGGTAGTTACAAAATATCATAAAGTCATCCATAAAGATCTGAATTCAATTCGGATGAGAGACAAATTCAGCATAACATTAAATGTGTAAATAATAGACATTATGTTTCTAAAAAGGAAATATTAACAGCTATGGAATGTAGATGATTTGGTGATTAGTGATGATTAGTGGAGAAAAAGGATTCAATCCTGTCCCCTCCGATAATCCTAAATGAGCTTGATAAAATGCTCTCATTAAATTGTTTTTGACAATAATTTAATTCTACAATCCTAATGATAATTGATCTAATACTTTTTCAGTTTTTAAAATATCAAATTTGTTTTAAATACTACAGACTACCGTATTTTCCGGCGTATAAGACGACTGGGCGTATAAGACGACCCCCTACTTTTCCTGTTAAAATATAGGGTTTGGGCTATACTCGCCGTATAAGACTATCCCTCTTCCAACGCACACCAAATAAAAATTTAAAAAACATCAACTGGCTCACCCACAATGTAAAAGCAGCTGTGCTAGACCCAAAATGGCCCCTGAAACAAGCAGGAACCTCACACAGCCCCAAAAAGCCCCAAAAAACAACTTTCACGCTTTACACACACACAACACAACACAACACAACACAACTGGCTCATCCACAATGTAAAAGTAGCTGTGCTAGACCCAAAATGGCCCCTGCAACAAGCAGGAACTTCACACAGCCACAAAAAGCCCCAAAACCCAACTTTCACACTTTACACACACAAAATTCCACATACAGCTGTGTGAGATTTTGTGTGTTTGTGTAGTTAGAGTGAAACACTACAGAAACACACTAAATCTCAGAAAGCTGCACAAATATTATTTTATTTTATTTTATTTTATTTTTATATGAAAGCTAAATTTAAAACTTCCTAAACTTTAAATGGCTAGGTCTAAAAAAGAACTTAAAAAAAACCCAATTAACTATTTTTTTTTAAAGATCCCAAAGGGGAAAAAAACTTACGTACCCAATAGAACAGGGGTCTCCCACCTTGGCAACTTTAAGACTTGTAGACTTCAACTCCCACAATTCCTCAGCCAGCTTTGTTTTGCTGGCTGAGGAATTCTGGGAGTTGAAGTCCACAACTCCCTGCCTGCTTGGTTGTAGGCAGGGAGTTGCTTGCTGATGGAATGGATTCAGGCAAGCGAAGCAAGGCAAGCAGCTAAGGCAGTGGTTCTCAACCTTCCTAATGCCGCGACCCTTTAATACAGTTCCTCATGTTGTGGTGACCCCCAACGATAAAGTTATTCCTAAAACCATCAAAAATATTTGTTTTCCGATGGTCTTAGGCCAGGGGTCCCCAACCTTTTGGACCTCAGGGACCACCAACTTCATAATTTTAAATTTCGCAGACCACTAATACGAATCCAGTGCCCCGCTTGCTGAAGCACCTGGACTCCCAGTACGGGATGGGGTCCTTCAGGCACTCTCCATCCTCTCTGTCTCTCTCTCTCTCTGTCTCCCACTCTTTCTCTCTCATTCTCTCTTTCTCTCTCTCTCATTTTCGCTTTCTCTCTCTCTCCCTCTCTTTCTTTCTCTCCCACTCTTTCTCATTCTCTCTTTCTCTCTCCCCCTCTCTCATTCTCTTTCTCTCTCCCCCTCTCTTTCTCATTCTTTCTTTCCCCCACTCTTTCCCTTTCTCTCCCCTCTTTCTCATTCTTTCTCTCTCTCTCCCACTCTTTCTCTCTCATTCTCTTTCTCCCCCCTTTCTCTCTCTCTTTCTCCCACTCTCTTTCTCTCCCCCCCACTCTCTCTCATTCTCTCTTTCTCTCTGTCCCCCTTTCTCTTTCTCCCTCCCGCTCTTTCTCTTTCTCTCTCATTCTCTTTCTCTCTCCCCCTCTTTCTCTCTCTCCCCACTCTCTCCCTCTCATTCTGATTCTCTCACTCTGATTCTCTTTCATTTTCTCTCCCTCTCTCTCATTCTCTCTCTGATTCTTTGGTTCTCTTTGATTCTGTCTCTTTCTCTGTCTCTCATTCTCTCTCTCTCACTCTCTCTCTCTGATTCTCTCTGTCTCTTTCTCTCATTCTCTTTCATTCTGTCTTTCTCTCTCTTTCATTCTTTGTCTCTTTCTCTCTCTGTCTTATTCTGATTCTCTCTTTCTCTCTCATTCTCTCTCTCTCTCATCTCATGGGCCAGCCAGTGTCTTGGGGCTGAGAGGAAGTCAAGCATCTCCCTGAGAGACTGAGGGCCGGAAGAAGTGTGGGAGCGAAGCACTACTTGAACTTGTGCGGCATGAGCATTCGCCTTGGTATATTTGCGCCAGCCGATGGCCAAGGCAGCCCTCATCTGTCTGCTGAAAGTGCAGCATCAGGATTCTGCCTTGCTATATTTGCGGCGCAAGGCAGCCTTTGTTTCCTGCTGCTTGGGACTCAGAGCGGTAAATAGCGTCTGATCCGGAGAGCTGCTGGATTTTGCTCTCTAATCCGGATGCCAAATAGGCCCCCTGCAAACTCTCGTCTCTCAAGGAGCGCTCCCTGAAGCGGGGCTGGAAACTTTGGTTGGACTGCTTGAGAGGAGAGCTTGCAGGGGGGCGATCTGGTGTCTGCAATGGAGAACGGCATCCGGCTTTTTCTCTCCGCTGTAAGAGCGCTGTAAGAACGGCAGCCCTCATCTCCTAATGTTTGGGACTCGGAGCGATAAATGGTGACTGGTCCAGGGAGCAGCTGGATTTTGCAGTCCCAAGCATTAGGAGATGAGGGCTGCCTTGCGCCACTCCTGACACAAATATACCAAGGCGGAATGCTGCTGCCATACAAATGAAAGTTGTGCTTCACTCCCACAGCTTCCAGCCATCGCAAACGCCGCTTCTTCCCGCTTCTGCCGCCCCCTCCCCCACCGCCACAACAGCACCATTCATTCCGGATGGCGAGGGCTGCGCTCGTTTTTCTGTATTGCACCACCATCAAAACCCCTGTGAAAGGGTTGTTTGACCCCCCCAACCACTGAGCTAAGGTAAGCAAGCCAGGAAAATGCGCTGCGCACTCCCACCCTTTGCCTGCGAGCCCGGACGCTGATCCGGACGGCTGCAGAACGAACTGGGCACCGGCTGTCATGTCTTTTCTGCTGTGCGGGGTTCGGCACCTGGGCTCCCGGGGTTTAAGCCTCTGGGCCAGCCCGTGCTGCTCCAGGATGTTCACTTCGGGCTCCTTGGAATCGCTGCCGGGCAGTTCTTCCTGTTGGGGCGATGGTGGGTGGCAGCGATCGGCGTCGCTTGGACTGCGGGAGCCACGGCGGACTCCTTCCCCACGAGGTATTGCTCTGCATTTCACCACCTCTTCCAGGCTCGCAGCCACCCACCATCGCCCCAACGGGAAGAACCACCCAGCAGCGATTCCAAGGAGCCTGAAGCGAACATCCTGGAGCAGCACGGGCTGGCCCGGAGGCTTAAACCCTGGGAGCATAGGTGCCGAACCCCGCACAGCAGAAAAGACATGACAGCCGGTGCCCAGTTCGTTCTGCAGCCGTCCGGATCGGCGCCAAGCCAGGAAAATGCGCTGCGCACTCCCACCCTTTGCCTGCGAGCCCGGACGCTGATCCGGATGGCTGCAGAAGGAACTGGGCACCGGCTGTCATGTCTTTCCTGCTGTGCGGGGTTCGGCATCTGGGCTCCCAGGGTTTAAGCCTCTGGGCCAGCCCGTGCTGCTCCAGGATGTTCGCTTCGGGCTCCTTGGAATCGCTGCCGGGCGGTTCTTCCCGTTGGGGCGATGGTGGGTGGCTGCGATCAGCGTCGATCGCTGCGCACTCCCACCCTTCGCCTGCGAGCCCAGGTGCCGATCTTCTTGGACTGCGGGAGCCACGGCGGTGCTGGCCGGGCTGGGTCTGGTGCGGTGGGCGGAGATGAAGGAGCAGCCTCGGCGGCAGCAGCAGCAGCAATTACAACGGGAAAAGCCGTGGGGAAAGGAGGACGAGGAAGATCTGGCAAGGCGGTGCGAGCACTTCATGGCTCCTCCGGTGAGCGGATTGCGAGAGCTGCGCGACTGGGGCGGAGACATGCGAAGTCGCATGGAGCTTCTCATAATGGAGACGCAGAGCCAGGTGTGCAAGGCGCTGGCCCAGGTCGACCGCGCCGCCGCTTTCACCGTGGACTGCTGGGAAAGGAAGGAAGGTGACCCGAATTCCGGGGTAGAGTGGGGACGCGTTCCTTTCTCGTGGGCCGCGCACTGCCTGGCACCTCTTGTAGGTTGGAACTAATTCAGAGTACAGCTTCCCCTCAATGTTGCCGGCGCTCCCAAAGTGTCATCAGTCAGCGCCAGCAACTCAGATTCGGGTACCCGGCGTATAAGACGACCCCCGACTTTTGAGATGATTTTCCTGGGTTAAAAAGTCGTCTTATACGCCGGAAAATACGGTATATACAGTATATGCTGTTTTGGAAGTAAGGAACTGTTCATTGCAATATCTGGCTTTTTAAGTAGGCCAGTTTCTGAAACTGTGCTAGTTAAAGCCTACAATTCTTATGCAAAATTAATCCAACTAATTTGGTTGGGATTACATCTCAGTTGCACAAACTCTTGTGTGTTTGTTTTCAATGGTGGAATTCAATTTTTTTACTACTGGTTCTGTGGGTGTGGCTTGGTGGGCATGGTGTGGCTTGGTCGGCATGGTTTGGTGGGCATGGCAGGGGAAGGATACTGCAAAATCTCCATCCCCACCCCACTCCAGGGAAAGGATACTGCAAAATCCCCATTCCCTCCCACTCCTGGGAGAAGGATATTGCAAAATCTCCATTCCCATCCCACTCTGGGTCCAGCCAGAGGTGGTATTTGCTGGTTTTCCGAACACTCAAAATTTCCCCTACCAGTTCTCCAGAATCTGCTAAGTAGCACCCATGTTTGTTTCATACAAAACTAAGTGCTCCTTAGAACAGTAGTCCTTTTTTTTTTTTTTTAATTTGATTTATATGCCGCCCTTCTCCGGAGACTCAGGGCGGCTTACAATGCGTTAAGCAATAGCCTTCATACTTTTGTATATTTATACAAAGTCAGCTTATTTCCCCCACAAACTGGGTCCTCATTTAACCTACCTTAGAAAGGATGGAAGGCTGAGTCAACCTTGAGCCTGGTAAGATTCGAACCTGCAGAAATTGCAGGCAGCTCTGTTAATAACAGGGTGCATTAAACCACTGTACTACCAAGGCTCTATGGATAGATGCCAAATGTTGCTAAATTACATCTTCAAGCATCCTCATAATTGGTTGTACTGGCTGGGATTGTGGGAATTTGTGATTCAGCATCTGATCTCTACATGTTATGTGTCCATATTTTAGAGAAAAGGATAAACAGAATGGATGATATATAGCCATGATGGCGAACCTATGGCACGCGTGCCACCACCTGAGGCACGCGAAGCCATATCTGTGAGCACGCGAGCGTTGCCCTAGCTCAGCTCCCAGCGCACATGCGTGTGCTGGCCAGCTGATTTTCGGGCCTTCTGGGCACACCGGAAGTTGGGAAACAGGCCATTTCTGGCCTCCGGAGGGCCTCCAGGGGATGGGGAAGGCCGTTTTCGCCTTCCCCAGGCTCCTAGAAAGCCTCTGGAGGACAAAAAAGGGCCCTACCTGGCCCACCGTGCCATCATATACCAAAAGCAGAGGGACCATGGGGGGGGAGGTCACGTGCATGCACGGGGGGTGGCACACATAGAATTATGGGTGTGGGCACATGCGTGTGTGACCCCCCCATGCTCCCCCCCCTTTTGGCACTTGATGGCAAAAAGGTTAGCCATCACTGATATATAGAGATAGCAATAGCAATAGCACTTAGATTTATATACTGCTTTAGTGTTTTACAGCCCACTCTTAAGTGGTTTACAGAGTCAGCATATTGCCCCCAACAATCTGGGTCCTCATTTTACCCACCTCGGAAGGATGGAAGGCTGAGTCAACCTTGAGCCTGGTGAGATTCGAACTGCCAAATGCAGGCAGCCAGCAGTCAGTAGCCTGCAGTATTGCACTCTAACTACTGCACCACTGCAACTCTTACCGGATATAGGAAAGATATAGACCTATTGTAGATATAGATACATAGATACTGTATAGAGATCTAGAGATATATGACAATGGAATTAACTTTTCATATTCTAGTAATTGGAATGCTCAAAGGGAATTTCAGAAAGTTAGCAATTTGCAGCAATTTCAAAGGGGAATTATGCTTCAATTAACTCTATGCATGGTTCTAACATACTGCAATAAAAAAAAGCCATAATACCTTATTGAAGGAAAACATTCTTATGAAGACCAAAGACTTCGTGTTTTAAAATTAATGTAAATTGGATCACTGAAATGATTTATAATTCTGCTGAATTACAGAAGGGAAGCAATTCTTTTCTTTCAAAGAAGTTCAGTGTGAGAAAATAATTATCCTGATACCTCAAACTGCTTTTCTTAAACAACAGATGTTGAAATAAGCCTACCATAGCTTTCACAGATAAGCTCTTTGAATTTCCTGCCAGATTTTGCCACTAACTGAAGAAGTTTTACAGATTCCATTTTGTCTTCCTCTTTCACTTGTTTCAACCCAAGTATTTCCAATAATGTGAGGATACCACCAATTTCCAGGAATTCAAGAATATACCGCTGGCTGCAAAAATTTAAAGAACAAAACAAAAGACTTTATGGCAATTCTGTGTGTGTGCATGTGTGTATAAAGAATACTATTTAACACTACTTCACTTACTCCTAGGGATGTTGTTGATGCCTTCTCAGTAAACTGTCATCACTCACAATGTTTTTCTTTTTTGTGATGACATACAAGTTAGCAATACTTTTATCATAGAAAATTAGAACTTTCAATTTCCATTTAACATGTAGCAATTTGCATCCCATCCAGACAAACTGAAGGGGATAGTGGTTCAGATTTCATCAAAATGCTTTCAAGAGTTATTTCTGGAATTGCTTCCATCCTTGATATGAAGTTATACTGCATTATTTCAAATGTGATAAAATCTGCAAATGTGTCATAAAGAATTATATAACATTTCTCCAATCTGGGATAGGCTACTATTCAGGCAGTGTATCCTTGATGCCACCAAAGAATATTTAAAAAGGTAACCATATTTTATTTTCAAGAACTTGTAAATAAGTAAATTTCGTCAGAAAGCAAAGTGCAGAAAACAGAGATTCTTCAAACAAGAAAATGCAGAAGCATAACCAATAGAATTTCCTATACAGATAGTCCTCGACTTAGAACCATTCATTCGGTGACCATTTGAAGTTACAACAGCACTGGAAAAAGTGACGCACGACTATTTTTCACACTGATAACCGTTGCAACATTCCCATGGTCATGTGATCAAAATTTGGACACATAGCATTGCATGTATTTATGGTTGCAAGTGACCCAGAGTCATGTGACCACCTTTTGCGCTCTTCTGGCAAGCAAAGTCAATGGGGAAGACTATGCTACTAACTTAACAACTGCACTGATTCACTTAACAATTGTGGCAAGAAGTGTCATAAAATGGGGCAAAATTCAGTTTACAACTATTTTGCTTAGCAACAGAAATTTTGGGCTCATAAGTCAAGAACTACCTGTATATCTTTTGATAGCACAAGGAGAACATAAAGAACATTCCTTCTTCCAACAACAAAGACTAAAAATTGTAAGGTTCCTCCAACTCCTGAAAATGTTACATTTACTCACCCGCTTGCAGCTGAAAGAAAGATGCCAATTGATTTTAACTGTTTTTCCAGGCATGTTCCGTACATATAGCTATTATGACTTAGTTAAGGCTTTTATTTTAATATATTCTGCTGAATAAACCTTAGCTGAATTTATTTTTTCATTATCCTCTTTGCTCTTTTTAAAGTCATTTACAAAAATTCTGTGTATGGGCTCAACAAGTTATTTTGCCATGAAAGAATAAAAAAAGTGAATATCCTTTCAGAATTTTTTTCTGTATCTGAGACTACAACTTTCAAAACTGTGTTTCTGGGGGTAATTAAATATATAGCCCGTCCTGTTAATTTCAACATTGTTTCACAATATTTCCTTATTCTTCTACCTGACCATCAATTTTCCAAATGGATACGTTAACCGGAGCCAGGCAGTTATTCGTGCCAGAAACAAACTGGCTCCTTGAGAGAATTCTATCTCAAGTTCTGGACCAGTCTTGCCTTGGTTAGCAAGAATGAAATTTTCAAGAATACGTTTTCGAGTAACTTTGCCAGCACTATCCCATTCTTGTAGGAAAGTTATTAATCTACTGATTGCTGCTTGCTCCTTTATAGAAGTCATATCTGGTATAGTTTTTCTAGTGAGAAAATGAAAAAGAGAGATTAAGACTTTATTAGATTAATATTTGCAATCTCAGAAAATGCTCAGACATTCTATCTAGTTTAATGATTTACAGGGACAAGAGGTCCTTTCTAAGTTTCATCATATACAGCTTTGCAAAATAACTACATACTTTCATATTTTTGAAAGAACTTGCTCATACATTTTAATATTTGATAACTTTATTCCAAATATATAAACACTTTCTACTGCAGCAAAAGCATTTCTTTCAATCTATTTTCCCAGGGCTTTTTAGTTAAGATAGGTCTCAGCCACTTTCTTAGGTGTTTCAAAAATCATGCCAGTGAAGCATGTGCTTATACACACATACTTAAGCCTGACTAGGTGGCTCAGTGGCTAAGACACCAAGCTTGTCGATCAGAAAGGTGGGCAGTTTGGCGGTTCGAATCTCTAGTATAGGTCTCCTACATGAGCAGTGGGCTAGACTAGATGACCTCCAAGGTCCCTTCCAACTCTGTTACTGTTACATACACACACACGGCAATACAAATATACATATATAATAAAACTAATATGTATCAATCAAAGAGAAAACTATAACTTTAACTATATTGAACCCTAAATAGACATTTTTATATAATGAGTACAGAAATATCTGACTCAAACAAACAATAAATCTTGAAAGGTTATTTTATAAAGGTTATTCGTTATTTTATACCAATCTGCCCACTGAAGAATATTAATTATACCTTAATTGTAGCCAATATATTATCTCAATTTTGACATTTTCCCAAATGGTCTTAAAAATCCAACAAATTATTTGGATGAATCCCCTGGTTCAGGATTTTGAACGGGAATGAAAACTACCATATTGTTCTTTCTGATATTTAACAGAAATATTTCAAGATCAGAATCCAAGCCAACTTTCAATTACATAGTTTTAGGTTTACTAACTAATAGCCTGATTCAAGAAGTTGGCAGACTTGGTGAAGTGATTCAGAATGGTTAATTAAAATAGATCCAAAGCAAACTCCCTACACAGCCATTTTGGCAGTAATATCATTATTTCTCCACTAATCTCCTTTACTAAAGATTATTCACAGCTCTGGTTTCTTCATGCTTTCCTTTTATCTTTTATCTTAATATTTTCATAAATTTGCAGCATTTTTTCAATCCCATTCAAACTAAAACACATTTTCAAACCTTGCAGCTTGATAATAAATGCATATTTAATAAGAACACTGAACCATATATTTATGTTCTACCCATGGAACAAAAACATTTGATTTTTACCCAAGAAAGTTGGTATTAACAGTTAGGAAAAAACTATAATTGGGGCAACATTAAACCTATGTAAATAATTTATAAAATCTTCAAAACCAAACCCAGTCCTGATAAAAGCACAGAAATCCATTACAAAATTAGGAAACTGATCTGTAGGAACTTTTGTCTATGGCAGAGTATCTATCTCTATCTATTTATCTATCTATCTATCTATCTATCTATCTATCTATCTATCTATCTATCTATCTATCTATGAAAAAAGGTCAAAATAAATCAGTTTTCTCAAAGAGTTGTGACTGAAAATGCATTAGCCATAACTAATATTCATGCTGACAAGAGAGCAAAATGTAAAGTTCATGTCTCAATCATTTCATTTACAGAAAATTTCTGAATTGTTACTCATAACTAATATTTGCATTTTTAAAAAATACAAATTTTATTGAGCCATCCTTATTTAATTTATAGCTCAATGTGGTATATCTACTGTATGTCCTCAAAGTTACTAAGAACTTTAAAACCTAAAACAAGCCCACATTCATATAATGGGATTTCCCTTTTTTCTTGTAAACAGAGAGTTCTGTCACTATTTAAAAAAGAGAATAAAGTTATTAAACATATGGATAAACAATCAGCAGATAAAAAGACTAGGTATAGAATCTATTCTAAAGAAATCCACTTCAAACTGAAATAAATATATCATATATATTTATAAGAGGTCTGAAAGTGCCAATTTAAGACTCCATTATTATTTATAATAACTAATATCACCTAATAATATGTAGTTAGAGTTCAACTTCCACTTCTTCCACTAAAGGAATTGGAAAGGGGAATTTATTTTCTATCTTGCAACTTTCACGGTCCTTATGTCTGCCTTCAGACAGTGAAGGAACAGTTTGGAGAGGCAATAGAATAATTTAATAATGAAAGAAAAGAAATAATGGGTAAATAAAGTCCCTTTGCACAAGATAGATTTCTCCTGATTCTATACTGGATTTCACCCACACTGTGAATAGGAAACCAAATGATGAGAAATAGTATATTCTGAACAAAATGAGCAAAATATCATAAATTCAGTATGACAATTTTAGCCTTTGGGAACTTAAGCCAATAGGTTAAATTGGTTAATTATTACATATGTCAGACTGTATCAGCCAGCTAGACTTTCTAAGTGCTAGGGTCCATTTTCTTGTTACTAGATTTGGTTCTTTTAATGACATCCAACTAGCTGAAAAATATATTGTTCATCTTAATGCTTAATAGTCATAATTTGAGAACCTTAGGAAATAGAAACCAGCAATTCTATTAATTTTAATTAGGCTGTCTTCCTAGAAACAGCTCTAGCAAATTTAATAAAATGTTACCCTATTTCTTAAATCCCTCCATTAACTACATTTTCTAATTTAACTAACATGAAATGAGATATGGAGATTATATCCAGAGTACGATAGCAGTACTGTAGGCTATTTTCTTATACAATTCTCTTTTCATAGCATATTTACTATTTATTTTTAGATAAATAGCATTTTGGAACTACACTTCTACATATTTCTGGACTATAACCTGAATTCATTAGATCCCTTTTTCAAACTTTTCTGTATAATTCTCCAAATATTATTATTTGTAGTTATTTGAATAATGCCTAAATCAGTGGTGGGTTGCCCCTGATTTGGACCGGTTCGCAAGAACTGGTAGTAAAACCGGCGGGAGGCTCCACCCACTGACCCGGACGTCATCATAGGCAATCTGTGTATGCACAGAAGAGCGCACGTGCACAGTCACGATGCGAACTGGTAGTAAAGGTAAGTAGAACCCAGCCCTGGCCTAAATATATATTGATTCCTAGAGGGTCCCTATTTATTCCATATGGCAATTAACATGCTCATTGCTTTTTTGTATTCAGCTGAAACTTGGGATATCTTTGTCTTACTAAAGTATTCAGTTGGTTAAAAGAATGAAGTAATCTTTCCATTAATCCCATAATTAGACTTGAAAATAGGAGGTATTATATAGCTCTTAAAGGCAAAAAACTCCAAAGTATCACCTTCAATTGGTGATCAATATCCTTTTGTTTGTCATCTTTTCTTGATTATTAATTTCTGGCAACCATGCCAAATGATTCAACTGCGTAAGATATTATACAAAACTGTTTAGCACATTGTATTAATTGATCTATCCATGGTATATTTATTCATGTTTCGGTTCTTATCTTATCCAAATAAACTCTTTTGCTAGACATTTAAATGGTTTAATGGAATCTAACAATTTGAAATTTACACAATACCACTGAAAAAAAAACCAAGAAATCCAAGAACTGGTTTGGTTGCACAAACATCTGTCTGACAAACTGAAAGACAAAAAGGACAAGTACAAAAAATGGAAAGACAACATATAACTAATGCGAAATACCAGTAAATAGCCCAAACTTGCAAAGATGAAGTCAGGAAAGTTAAGGCTGAGAGTGAAGTAACATTTGCAACAAATGTCAAAAATGTTAAGCAGTCACTGGACAGCCACTAGTCTGAAATGGTATAGGGCAGCGGTTCTCAACCTGGGGGTCGCGACCCCTTTGGGGGTCGAACGGCCATTACACAAGGGTCGCCAAAGGCCTCTCTCACCCCCCCCACGCCTTCACTCACTCACCCTCACTCTCTGCTCTGTTGGATTGTCGGCCTTTCGCTTACCCCGCCCACTCCCAATCTATTGCTGCCTCCTGAGTCCCAGCTGATGGCTAGAGGAAAAAAAACTGTTTAAATTCTTGCCGCGGGGCTTCAAAGGGCCGCCCTATAGCCAGTGGTGGGATTCTGCCGGTTCTAGGGGGTTCAGCCGAGCCGTTTGTTAAATTGCTGGCTCGCCCCGCCCCTTGCCCCGCCCCTCCGCACCACTATTTATTGCCAATAAATAGTGGTGGGCGAGGGGCGGGCGAGCCAGCAATTTAACAAATGGTTCGGTGTTTTTTTTGTAATTTTATTGGCCCGCGGAGCTTCAGCATAGGCTAATTAGCCCTTGATTAGATCGGCTACCGACTCTCAGCTGATTTGCTCTCAGCTGTTTTGCTCAGGGCTCTGCTGCTTCCTTGCAAAGAGTCCTGGAGCAGATTTTTTTTTCCCCTAGCTATGCTGAAAAACAAAACTGAAAGTAAAGCAGGCTGTTGGCTTTGCTGTTGCTGCAACATTGGAAAATTAGGCAGGCAGAATTCTTTTCTTTTTCCTCACCAAAAAAGGTAGGTGCAAACAATGGGGAATTTAGGGAAAAAGAGGAGAGTTCAAGATTTTAAAACACAAAAGAAAAAAAGCTCTATTTAACTAGGGAATTGTAATAATTGAGATACTATTAATTGTATATTGTGTTGAAAGCAAAAATGGTTAAGTTGTGGTTTGGAGGAATATATGGGGGAAATTATTTGGTTTATTATTATTAGTAGTAAATATAATTAATTGATTTGTAAGAAATTGGATTGCATGGAAATAATTGGAATATTCATGTTCATATTGATTAATATACAAAAAAGGTAGTTATAAAACTAATTGATTTATATTAAAATGTTGAATTTATATTAAACAACTGTAATATTACATAATTAACCAATGTGAAGATGGATATAAAAATAGATGACAATGGGAAGGGGTATAATATAGAATAGAAGGTAAAAATTGAATTTGATTAAGATTAGAGATGAGGATGAAGGGTAATATTGTTTTTTTACAAAAATAGATGAGGAATAAATATGGCAAAAAGGAAATATAGAAATTGTAAATTTAATTGAAGTGACTAAACACTGTTTAAATTTGTGAAACGGCCAAATGCTCTGTTCAAAGAAAATACATTGTATGTTTGTATGTGTGTTTCTAATTATGTTATTTATTCATATTTGTTCTCTTTTATTCTTTAAGGTTTAACAATTCATTCTTTATCTTAATATCTCTATATTTGTTTGGGGTTGGCTTTCTTTCCTTTCATCTTTTTTATTGTACAGCAATCTTTCTCCTCAAATCTACCACCTCTCTTTTTTCTTTCCTTCTTACTTTCTCTTCCTCCCCCACTTCTTCTCCTCCCTACTTCCTCTTCCTTTCTCCTTCTCCTCCTCTCTTCCTCCCTCTCTTACCCTCACTCCTACTCTAATTTCCCTTCCCTTCCTTCATCCCTCTCTAGTGCTGTATCCTTTTATGCATATGGACTACTCAGAGGGCTGAAAAAGTTATTTCTGACTGGTCCTCGCACTTTTGACCAGTCCTCAAAAACTTACAACTGTCCTCACATTTTACGTTTTTGCCCTATCTTGTCACCATGGTGAAGAGAAGCAGTTGTGAAATGAGTGACATGGTTGTTAAGAATGCTACAATGGGCATAAATGATGACCAGTCATAAGCGCGAAGACTGGTCAAAAGTGCGAGGTCCTGTCAGAAATCACTTTTTTCAGCCGTCTGGGTAGTCCTTTTGTGAACATGGACTACTCAGAGGGCTGAAAAAGTTATTTTTGACTGGTCCTCGCACTTTTGACCAGATCTCGAATTTACGACTATCTTCACATTTTATGTTTTTTGCCCTATCTTATCACCATGGTGAAAAGAAGCAGTTGTGAAATGAGTGACATGGTTGTTAAGAATGCTGCACGGGCATAAATATGAGGATGGTCATAAGTGTGAGGACCAGTCAAAAGTGCGAGGACCTGTCAGAAATGACTTTTTTCAGCCCTCTGAGTAGTCCCTATACACATAGCCATGGCCACCCGGTCACATGACCAGCTAGCCATGGCCACCCGGTCACATGACCTCCAAGCCATGCCCACAAAATAAGCCACACCCACAGAACCGGTAGTAAAAAAAATTAGAACCCACCCCTGGTTGGGGGTCACCACAACATGAGGAACTGTATTAAAGGGTCGCGGCATTAGGAAGGTTGAGAACCACTGGTATAGGGTTTTCTGCTTGAACAGGGGATTGGACTAGAACAGGGGTCCCCAACCTTTCAGACCTCAGGGACCACTAAATTCATAATTTTAAATCCTACGGACCACTAATCTGATCTGCCTAATGACCAGCTGGGTGGGTGTGGCAAGGTGGTCGTATGACTGGGTGGGCGTGCCCAACTCGATGTCACTCATGACGAGTGGTGCCTTGCAAGCCACTACTTGCCACTCCTCGCCTGCCCGCCCGGGCTCCTTAGGGCCCCAACAGGAAGCAGTTGTTGGAGCTAAGCAGCCACTATGAGAAAGAGTTGGCAAAACAGCTGGCTCAGTTCAAATTGGATCTGACCGAGAAGGAGGCTCAGCAGAAGCACCTCACTGAGGACTACGAGCATAGGCTTTCCAAACAGAGGGAAGACCTGCGGGAGTGCAAGACCAGGTACTGGCACCTGGAGGCTCAGCGGGCTGAGATGGTCAGCCAGTTCCAGGCCATGATGCTGTCCCACTGGAACAAGACCCTCTGGCTCTTTGCCACCCACGGCACTTCCCTCCAGCCTTCGCCCAAAGCCCCGCACCAGGAGGCTGAAGCAGACCCCAAGTCAGAATTTCTGCCCCCCTCCGACCCGCACAAAAACACCCTGAAGGGGGAGGCTCTCTGCAGCAACACAAATGTTCATTGCACGTATCCGGCCCAGGGGCCGTAGATTGAGGACCCCTGATTTAATGCAATATAAAAAATGCAAATAATTTTTCTGCGGACCACCACAATTTTCTTGCAGACCACCAGTGGTCCACGGACCACCAGTTGGTGAACGCTGGACTAGAAGATCTCCAAGGTCCCTTCCAACTCTATTATTCTGTTGATATTCTGGATAAAATTCATCTCATTTTAGTGTTCTGTAAGAAAAAAATAGCTATTCCAAACATATGCATTTATTTTAATTATGCATAATATAAAACAAACATTTCTGTATCAGCTTTTTAAATTCAGAATATGCAACAGCCTTAAATACTGTTGGCAACTGCACATTTCTTTTAATGCAATCTTTTCTTTGAAAACTAATTGGCTGCTTCAGGTCTTATTTGTTCAAGTTGACTTGAGCCTTGACAATGCAAAAACATTTTAGATAATTGAGCCCAGAGGGCAAGGATTACAGCACAATACATCTTTAAAAATAGCTGAGTACTACCAGCAAAAAAGAGCAATTTAGATTTAATTTTACTAATCTGTATACTAGAATGCTCATTCAGAGCAACAGCTAGAAACTCCACTTGTTAACAGGAAACAATTGCAGCAGCAGTGAACAGCTTGTTGCTTCATAGATATATTTTCCTGGAAACAATATACAGGTAGTCCTCAACTTACAACAGTTCACTTAGTGACCATTCAAAGTTACAATGGCACTGAAAAAGTGACTTACGACTGTTTTTCACACTTATGACCAATGCAGGATCTCCATGGTCATGTGATTTACATTCAGATGCATGATAACTGACTCACATTTACAAAGGTTGCAGTGTCCCAGGGTCACGTAATCACTTTTTAAAAACCTTCTGACAAGCAAAGTCAATGGGGGAACCAGATTCATTTAACAACCGTGTTACTAATTTAACAACAGCAGAGATTCACTTAACAAATGTGGCAAGAAAAGTCATAAAATGTGGCAAAACTCACTTAATAAATTTCACACTTAGCAACATAAATTTTGGCCTCAATTGTGGTTGTAAATTGAGGACTACCTGTATAAGTACTTTACTGCTTTCTACCTGGACTTTATTTATTAATTTATTGATTTCTCAGTGTTCTGCATCTCTGAAATTTCCTGAAAACCATTCCTGCATGTCAACTCAAGAGCAACCCTTTTAGCATTTTGAGATAAAGTTGTCTTGGTGCTATTTATCACTTAGCTGATTTTCTTGTACGATAAGAAAAAAAACAACAATATTCCCCAGGTGGATTTTTGCTAAATCTTGGGCTGAAAACTGACCCCAGCTCTCCAACAGTAAGCCCCTTTTTGCCTTCAGGTCTGTGGTGATAATTACTCCACCATGCAGTTGTTGGGGTCACAGTACCTTACTCTTTTTTTAAGAAGAGATTGGACTGCCATTTGTCAGAGATGGTGAACTTTAGGGTTTCCTGCTTGGTCGGGGGATTGGACTAGTCCAGGGGTCTCCAACCTTGGCAACTTTAAGACTTGTGGACTTCAACTCCCAGAGTTCCTCAGCCAGCAAAGAGGAACCCTGGGAGTTGAAGTCCACAAGTCTTAAAGTTGCCAAGGTTGGAGACACCTGGACTAGATGACCTACAGTACAAGGTCCCTTCCAACTCTGTTAATCTATTAAAACAAACCCTACTTTGTCTGTCTTTGTGTGTGTGTGCGCGCGCGCGCGCACAATAAAGTATAAAACACACGTTTTCAAGGGACAAACCCTTGCCGTTTTTATCCTGTTTTGCTCCTCTCCCTTTGCTTCTTTCTCAGAGATCAGCCATGAAGTACAAAAAACTATAACCGAAACTTAAAAATTTCCATTGCTTAAGGGCCGCCTAAAGAGCCCCCCAAAGCTCGCTCGGCTTCAGGCTACTAAATGACAGTTATCCAATGTTCCCCAGCCCTCCCCTCCGTCCCTTTCCGTTCTCCGCTTTTGAGAATCCCTATTTTCAACCATCGTCTCGCTTCGCTTTGCCTCAGATAAAAGTTCCCCGTACCACCGCATCGCGTCTCCCCGGCGTAATAAAAAACTATCCAAGGCTCCGCTCCGCACTTTTTTTCGGTCGGGCCAGCGGAGGATCCGAGCGGCTCTTCTCTTCCTGAGGGGCCGAGCCGAGAACTCGGTTGCTAGGGCCGCTCAGTTGCTAAGGGAGGACGCGGTTAGAATTGTCGCGCGCGCGCGCGCGCGCTCGGCCATCTTTCCTGTTTGGGTGGACAAAAAGTCGGCCGTTTCCGGGACGGGAGGTGGGGGAGGGTAGAGGGAAAGTGAGCGGGGAAGAATATGACGGAAAGCGGCGGTTGCGAACGCCGGCGCGCGGCAATGGGGAGGCGAGCGAGGGAGTTGGGCTGCGTGGTGGATTTTCCCTTGGAACGAAGTGCGGGTGAGTTGAATGAAGTGGAAGGAGTCGCCTGGCAGAGAACCGGTGAGGGGAAACGGCCTGACCAACGTGTTTCGTAATGAGAGCCGAGGTCGGTTTCATTGACACAGGTGGTCCCAGCGCTCAGGTGCTTTTAACCTTTGGGGGTGTAATGACCTTATCAGGGAGGGAAAAAAAAGAAAAAAGGACATTACAACCACGAGGCTTTTCTGGCCACCGATATTGACATGCACCTGTCCTGTATCCTTTTTTTTTTTAGAGTCATAGCGCTATGGTTACTTTTGCCAAGATGCAGATTATATTTTTATTTCGATTTTCAGAAACTTCTTTGGAAAAAGGAGATAAAATCAATCCTCCGGTGGTGGTGATAATGCTTGGATGGGCCGGCTGCAAGGACAGGTACCTCGAGAAATACAGCGCCATCTATCTACAGAAGGTGAATATTATTCTTTTCGTACAAAAATTCACCTTACAACTGCTAACTGTAAATGAAAGAACCGTTCTTTTGGCCGATTCAGAAATCAACAAGAAAAAACAAAACAATACCAGGAGTATTATCTTCACTTTTCCCACAAAAGACCTATTTAGAATTTTTAAAGTATCAAATGAGAAATCAGTTTCTTCATGAAAATTCTACGTAAAAAAAAAAAAAAAAAAAAGATGGGATTTTACCTGGGGAGAGATGCTGGGGTGGGGGGGAGTTGAAACTGCTCTGTGATTGTAAGTGCCCAAATTTTGATCATGTGACTGCAGGCATAACTAAGGGGAGCTGTCATTAGTCCATTTTTTTACCACCATCGTAAGTAGGTATATCCTGCATTTTATTCAGTAGCTCAAAGCAGCACATACATAATTCTTCAATTTATTTTTCTGTGAGGGAAGAGGGGGTGAAAAAGATTGACTAGTTCAAGACAACCCAGTTGACTTTTGTATCCGAGGTGAAGAGTAACCTGCATTTCCCACTCCTGCTTTAACATTTCGATCCTGTGCTATCTGAATGGTTGTATACTATGTTTTTTTTTTTTTTTTTATTTGATTTATATGCCGCCCTTCTCCGGAGACTCAGGGTGGTTTACAATGCGTTAAGCAATAGCCTTCATACTTTTGTATATTTATACAAAGTCAGCTTATTGCCCCCACAACTGGGTCCTCAATTTACCTACCTTAGAAAGGATGGAAGGCTGAGTCAACCTTGAGCCTGACGAGATTCGAACCTGCAGTAATTGCAGGCAGCTGGTCTTAATAACAGGGTGCTTTAGACCACTCTACTACCAAGGCTCCAATGTTAACAGCACAGCAATAGATTAAGCTATAAACTAATGACCACTTACTTGAATTACTGACACTGAAAAGAGTAATACTTAATTCTACTAAATATGTGTCCTGTTGACACATTTTGTCATTTTTTAAAAAAAAGAAATTATAAACCCAAACTAAAACATGTGTATTCCTCACAGGGATGTGTAGTGATCCGGTATACAGCTCCATGGAGACTTGTGTTCTTTGCAGAATCCTTTGGTATAAAATCCATGCAGACTCTGGCTACAAATCTGTTGGAGCTCCTTTTTGATTACAAAGTGGAGACAAAGCCTCTACTCTTTCATGTCTTCAGCAATGGCGGGTTCATGCTCTATCGTTACATTGTGGAACTTCTTCACACTCAACCGCAGTTCCAGCATCTGAGGGTAGTGGGAACTATTTTCGATAGTGCACCTGGCAGGAAGAACTTGAGGGGTGCGGTTCGTGCTCTCTCAGTTGTTTTAGCATCATACAATGTGTGTATAAAGTACTTTCTTCTACTGTTGTTTGCAGTGCTGGTATTGACATTGCGGATTGTGTTGTATCCTGTGACCCGCTTTATACATGAGAGCCATTATGAAGCAATGTTGAACCAACCTTCTAAATGGCCTGAGCTCTATTTCTATTCCAAAGCTGATTCTGTCATCCTAGCAAGTGACATCGAGGACATGGTCCAGGCTCGACGACAGCATCGGGTCCTTGTTAAGACTGTCGACTTTGTGCATTCTGATCATGTTAGCCATCTACGAGCGTATCCTACCTCCTATGTTACTCACTGCATCTCCTTCATGTACAGTTGCATTGAAAGCATTTCTCAGTAGTATGGGCATTCTGAAGATATCAGCATATACCTCTTCTCTTGATTGAGTTTATATATTAAATAATACTGCTGCTTCTGTAATTTGCCAAGAGTTTGAAGATTTTCTGAGAATCTGGTATAAACATGTTTGCACATATTTGCTCATTTAATTTAATTTCCAAACCAGATATTGGAGTCTTTCTGAGATACATGGAAGTAAAAATTCCTAAGTTTATCCATGTCTAATTACCATGTGCAGTGTGATTATGTGGAGCTATAGAATATAAACAGCACTGTGTCTATTTAATTCTCCTTTTATTAGCTTCTTTTCTGTATTTCTTTTTTCTGTCATTTCCCTCTTGGATTTTTCTTTTACCTGGAAGAAATACTGTGAAGTTAGATTGCACAAATAGGAATTTATTGTCCACTGAAGTGTATATGATACAAAATAGAATTAAGAGGATGAATCTGCTCCATTTAGTGCAGATCTCTTTTAAGAGCTATGGCATGAACTGCACACACAAATTAAAACTATGTTGTAACTGCCTTATCCGTAGATGCATACCCTTTCAGAAATCAAACTCTGATTCAATAATAGTTTGAAAAGTAGCAGTTATTGTTCCTTTATTGTCCTATTTAAGTAGATAGGTGGGCAAAATTATTTTTATAGTGACTTACTATATTAACGTGTTAATGTAAGTGAGAAAGCTATAACAAGAAAAACTATTGATTAGAATACTAGACATTCTGTTGTAACTATAACATTAAATGATGGAGTTATTCATCTTGATGTCTGTTTTATCTTTCTTTTTTTCAAGTTTAAATGGCTGTTCAATTTGTATACTCTAGTGTTGCATGTCCTTTATTTCTAAGCATATGCTTTTGTGTCATCCATTAATTTAGGAAAGTTTGTTTTTAGTTTATCTGTGCATTAGAAATGATAATCCAATATGGAGCTTTCTGGGAGTTACTGGAATTATAATTCTAACACATTTAGAAGGTTTCAAGTAGGGTAAGAGGCTGAGCTATAATGTTCTGGAATATTAGCTATATACCTTGGAAATAATAGTAATAAGATCTCAATTCTTAGTGCTATAGTAATCCCAATGAAATTAATGGGGTTCCAGAATAATAATGTAAAGATTTTTTATCTTGTTTCTTTAACTGTCTTAACTGCAGGTCTGGCAGGATAAGTTTTCATAGTAAATTAGGACATGCTTTATTTTTATAATGGATTTGCTACAGTTTATGCTGAACGCAGTAGATTTTGGCTCTTTTTCTACAATATTGCGAAATATGTTGGACAACTAAACTATGTAGCTGTTCTCTATAAATTTTAGTTTCTATGGTTGTTTTTTAGATTTTGGGGTGGGGGGGATCTATGCAAATCTATGATGAATAATATAAAAAATTAGCAGGATGTCTTTGTGTTTTTATGCTTCATTTGTTTTAAAATAGTGATTATTAGTGCACTTCAACCAGTTAGTCCTGCATTCAATATCCAACAGCTTGGTCCTAAATGCTAATTTTGTTTAAACTTACTTCTAGGTAATTGTGGAGAATTGCAGTCTCATTCTGAAAATTACTGCATACAGTTGATTTACATAAACATATTCGAAGTAGTTTTCACTGAACCTAAACGCCTTGTGCTATATTGCATCAGCATTTCTGTTAAATCAAATTATATAATATATAATTGGTATAGACTGTTTTTAGCACTGATCATGCGTATGATGAGTTCTGCTGCCTCCCCTGTACATCACTTTAATTTGGAACTAGATGAACTGCATGCCTCAAGTGAGTTTGTTTTACTCTAAAGATTTATATATTTAAAATAATGTTTCCCATTTATTGTCAAAGGAAATTAAAATCTAAATAATAAAAATAAATTATATTGTATCAGACTAGAAGAATAAATGCAAAATTAATCCGAGTGAATAACCAGATAATCAGCAGCAAGTGTTATAGCTCTGTTAAGCAAAAATTATGATAAAAGGAAGCTTACCTTGGCATCTGAACTGAATATTGTTTTTCAGTACCATTTAAATTGCAATATGAAATTTCTAAACAAATAGATACATACTGTCATCTTCACTTTTTTGTGCAAGGATGTGCAACTCTGACCTCTGAGGGCTGCCCAACCTTTGCATAGCAAGTTAACGCTTTACTTTGTTTATTTTATTCTTTAGAGGATTACTGCCTGTAGGAGGAGGGTGGCTAGAGACAGATGGGCAGTGTAATAAGGGAGGGAAAAAGGATTATCCAGGGGTTTGGAGAAGCAGTAGCAGGATGAGAAATGGTTTGATAGGAGGGGAAAATTCATACTAGGGAAATAGAGGGGATGGGGAAGAGGTGGCAAGGCTAGTGATTAGGGACAGTGGTGGGAAACAAGTAGAAAGGGTTGTGGGATACAGAGCAAGAAAGCAAACAGCCAGGAGGAGTCACAGGGAAGGAGTGAGCAGGGAAATGATGAGCAAAGTGACCTGGGGAGAGAGAAGACTTGGGATGCGGGAAACCAAAGGCACATTTTAGGCTGCATTGGATCACAAATGCAGCCTAAAATGCATTGGTGCATTAACTTTTTTTTAAAGTTAAACTTTGTTCAGAATTTACACTAGGTAGGGTGTAGTGTAAGTAAGTGCTGAGACAGAGAACATGGAGCCCTATGTAAATAGGCACATATTTCTATTCTTATTTTACAACTGGGCTTTGGTAGAAGCATAAAGAATCAACCACTATGGACATAACTTTGCCAGAGTTATGGCTACCAGGTTACGAAGAAGATTGGCAGCAGGTACTTACTGTACATTCAGTAATTTTTCCAAGAGCAAGTTTTGTGCTAAGGGAGTGATTGTATTAGTTATTCCTTAGATATTTTTCTGAAGGAAATCTATTTTGTTTTTATAAAAATACCTAATTGTGGGTAGCAGAGGAAATCAATTCTTTTCTAGTCAAAATAGCAAAAAAATTAAAAATAGTTCCACTATAGTACCTTTTTAATGGTAGCAGATAGCTCATCTAAATATTGGATTGTATTTTTCCAACTGAAGCAGTGTTGTATATTCATCCTAAAAGCACTCTTGGCAAGCACAAGATAATAGAGTTACTGCGAGTCCATGCAGGACAAATTTACTTTGACGATCTCCTGGGTAAGAAGTTAAATATTCTATATTTAAGAAATGGATGGCTATCAGAAAAGATCACACACTTCTTGTGCCAAGTATTTATTTCTGATATAGGATATCAAGGAAGTTTTTAACTGGAAATGAGATTAGAGGTCTGTTTATAAACCTATTTTTTCATTAGTCGGATAAATCATTCACTTTAATGTGGAAGTAAGAAAATATTTTTTCGGTTAAGCACAACATAATGGAATTATAATAAACTGAAAAAGCATAAAATGCAGAAATAACTTACATTAGACCAGAAATTTCGATTCCTGTTTTAATTTCATTAACATATTTAACATTAAAATATGATATCCTATTTTGTAAACTCTACAAATTGGAATTTTTTTAAAAAAAAATTTGATTTATATGCCGCCCTTCTCCGGAGATTCAGGGCGGCTTACAATGCGTTAAGCAATAGCCTTCATACTTTTGTATATTTATACAAAGTCAGCTTATTGCCCCCACAAACTGGGTCCTCAATTTACCTACCTTAGAAAGGATGGAAGGCTGAGTCAACCTTGAGCCTGGTGAGATTCGAACTTACAGTAATTGCAGACAGCTGTTGTTAATCACAATGCTTTTGGTCTTCTGAGCCACTAGGCCCTTTTTACTTGATGTCATGTGGTCATAGCAATGATTTGATCAAGTTAAATAATAGGGGCTTAGTTCTGCTTTTACTTCTTTATTTACCTAGATATAAGAATTCCAGGAAGTGCTCTTAGCTGCTAAATTTAACCTATCCTCTGTTTCATTGCAAATACAAATTTTTATTCATGAAAAACTCACATCATGAGATAACCGGAATTATAAAAGAGCAGGTAAATCATTTGTGTATGCTTGTGTAAACTTGGCTTTAGGAGGAGCTATGATGATACAGTGGTTAGAATGCAGTATTGCAAGCTAGATCTGACTACAGCCAAGAGTTCGATCTTAATCTGCCCAATGTTGATTCAGCTGTCCATCATTCCGAGGTCGGTAAAATGAGGACCCAGATTTTTGAGGGCAATATGCTGACATTTTTAAGCTGCTCCTGAGAGTGCTGTGAAGCATTATGGAGCAGTATATAATTCTAAGTTTGCTATTGCTAAGTCTATTGCTATTGTTATTTTCATAGTATTTATGACTGCATTGGGTGAAGCTATCTTTTAAAATTTTGCAGATTTAAAAAAAAGCTTATTTACTCAGATCTTCGTTATTCAGTTTGTCCTAGATATTATTGTTTCAGAAGTTTGCAGAAGTTGAAGACTTTGGAATGTGACTCCTAGGTTTTTAACTTTACCAAAAGTTGAACGAAAAAAATATTAGTTTGGGGATCTGTGGAATAAATGGGTTTGAATAGCTTGTCCTGGTAAATCAGCAGAGGTCCATTTAGATAACTAAAATTAGTTTCCTATGATTTTACATAAGTTTAATTATGTTAATAAAATTGTTCCAAGTGTATTGGATATACCAGAGAATGATAATGGTTGGTTGAATTATCTTGCTGCAATGCAATTTAAGAGTAAGAATTTTTGTTTTTCAATTGGACTTGTCATAATGTCACATTTGGGGTTGAAATCAAGGATTGTTAAAGTGACTGGATGGATTTCTCTGTATTAGGTTTATATGTTCTATCATAAATATTTAAAATCCATCAAGTCATCAAAAATTGTGGATTTTCCAAAAAAGCCAGATGGCTAAAAGAATCATCCAACAGAAGAGAATATTATATATATATCTGTGTATATGTGTGAACTTGGTTGTTTGCTTGGAGACATTTCATTACTTATCTGATGAGGTTACCTAGCTGGCTAATGAAACAGCTACAAGCAAACAACCAAGCTAAAAGTATTATATAACACTATGGTTGCTTTAAAGCAAATTACTGTTGAAACATGTTGTCTTTTTGAGCTTCCTTGATGCATCTGGATGGGAAATAAGATGTTGATCAAAATAATTTCCTGATAGGAACATTTTTGTTTCAGGAGGGCTTCAGACATAAATTTGTACATGATTTCTAATTTGGAAAATGAAATGGAAAAGATTTAAGTACAAAAGGTATCAGAACTGGTGATACTGGAGATTAAAGTTGATTAGGAATACATTTGTCATTCTTATAGAAATCTTCCAACTCCTTTGTGAACATAATCTATGAATTTTGAAAAGTAAGAGAAGTTGTAGCCGAGAGGAAAATCAGGTATAAAGGAAATAGTGCTTGTTAATGTGTATTGGAGAAAAGATCTTCTACTGGTACTTATAATTAATGGACCTTCAATCACTTTGCTGAATATATACTGTCAGTAACTATTTCTATAACTCACTTTAGTACAATCTTTATTTTTGTCCCATAAGAACTTTACGAGCTGGTCAATATTCTTTCCTTTTATAAGCAGACTGCAGGTTTGACTTAAGAGGGTCAGTATCTTGCCAGGAGGTCCCAACAGATACGGGAATTAAAGCCAAATCTTGAAGCACAATTTGATATCAACTAGTTTTTAACCTTCTTAAACATCTATTTGATTTTTATTTTAATTAATTAAATGTGTTTAATATAACACCAAAGGCTATTGGAAAACTTGACATGTCTTACCAAATGCTTCAGCCTAACCTATTACAAGGCAAAACGATAAAACATGGGTCTTAATGGTCTGGAAGGTCCAGTGTCCAATCCTGCTTTTTGCACACCTTAGTTGTTTCCAACTTCTCATTTTGATTAAAGACCTGACAATAAATTATTGATAAGGAATTAACCTTGAGCCCTTTTTGCTCCAGAGTCAATAGACCGAGAACCAAATACACGCCTGCAATTGGAGATCTTGAAGTGCCATTGGCATGTAAGGACAGAGAACCAAGTTCTGGGGGCAGGGGGGGCAGGTCGTCAATGACACTCTGCTCTGATGTCTCTGCACAGCCTTGAATACCACAATCACTTATTTCCATATGATCTGTCATTATTTTGTACTTCTGTCTGTGCAAACACAAGATGTGTTCCAACTGTTCTATACATAATTATGCCATACGTACAATGAGTGTGTTGACATAATTGATCTTGGCTTTAAAAGCTATGTTTTAAGATGTAACAACCATATGATGAACTCACATTTTTCTCTTCTGTTCTTGTTGATGCCAGCTTTGTAACAACATCCCAATTCGTGCTGAGCCAGTTCCTCTTTATATTTCAGTTGGGCACAATAGTTTATTCTTCTCGGTCATAGTTAGTCCAATGTAATTAGCAGTCTTGTCAAATGCTAGTAGACAATTTTTTTTTAAATGACAATTTCTTTATGCCTTTGGATTGTTGTATATTTTTTAGTTTGATTAGATCCTGTTTGAATGTTCCCAAACATTTCACTGAGCTACAGAAGGCTGAAAATGTTTTTAATGTAACAACAGAAAATAGATCTATGTAGTCAAAATTTGCTGCATTCTGGAGTGTTAGACATATCTAACATGATGTACAAATAGCATTGCAACCATTTTGACTTGAACACCCTCTCTTCTGCTTCTATTAGGTTTTATTGGCTCTCTATACAGTCTTTCCCAAAGCGAGGCCTGTGGTAGAACTCCTATAACTGGGAATGTGGTATTTTGCTTCTTTATTAATGTTCTTTTGAAACTCACTTTCTGTCTGGCTGAAAATAATTTTCCTTCTTTTAATATTGTTAACAATTAAATTGTTTTCAGTGTTTTAGTTTAACATTTGAGTTGTCATTAAAAATGAATATGACCCCAGAAAGTTCACCACAACTGCATTCATTTAGCTCTACTCATCTACCAATATCATTCAAATGATATCAACATTATCAGACTGGTGATTCTTATGGAAGCCAGTCTGCCTATAGGGGTACCCATGAAGACTTCCCTCCTTCAGACAATTTTAACTAGGATGTATAAAACCATGCATAGAGAAAATGGACAAGTAAACTTTTGCCCTCTCTCTCAAAACACAAGGGCCAGGGCCATCCAATGAAACTACTTGGAAAGAGATTTTTTTAAAGAAGGGAACATTTTCACATAGCAAATAATTTAGAAAGGAAATTCATTGCTGCATGATATGTTAACAGCCACTAACTTGGAAAACTTTAAAAGTATATTGGATAAATTCAAAGGCCTAAATTCATAGGCCTATCATTGGTTTTGAATTCTATTTTATCTTTGAGTTGGTAGTAGCGTGACTTCAAATTCCAGTTTGCAGGTGAACAAAGATGGTAGGAGGATACATCTCTGTTTCTGATTTGTGAACAATTTAGAGGCATCTGGTTGGCTACTGTGAGAAACAAAATGCAAGACTTAAGATGGGCCTTGGCCTGATTTAGCAAACTTGTTCCTAACACTTGATGAAACAGTTTGATCTCAAACAACTTTGCAACTGGGATATATAACTATAAACTTATGTAAGAAAAACATTCCACAAGCTGGGGGGAAGGAGATTAAGGAGATTAAGGTGTTGATAGACCACGTCCAATGGGCATGTTTTGGGTTGGGGCCTTAATGTTATAACTGCTAAACAATCTTTTGTCTCCTAAATTTAGAGATTAGGAAGCTTTCAAAAACTTTAGAGTGAGCAAGGCTTCGGTTTTGTCTGTGCAACAACTACTATAACAAGGCTTTTTAAATCCCTGGCATCACCATCACTGCTCTGAACCTCACAAACTTCTTTTTTTTATTCTTTGCATACTACTGCCTCCCTCAGCTTAAAATGGTTATAAATTTCTGAGACTCCTTTGAAGCCAGTTTAGTACAAACAACAATTAACATGCAATACAGACTGATCCTTGGACAAATACTTCTTACCGAATTCTGGATTTAGTAATGATTTTTTTACTTTTACCTTTTCTTCCCTTTGAATAGTAGCATAGACTAAGAGGGCATGTCCTTCATTCGAGCTGGATTAAGGTTGGTGTGATCTGGTTTACCGTAAGAATGCTTATATAACAAGTTGCCCTGAAAATGACTTTTTTTAGAGGCATCTAAGCCATTTGCAGTCATGGTATGTCGGCCTTTATCCAGGTCCTGTTAAAAGTCCTCCAGCTCATACAAGGAATGGAAGGAACCAGCCAGTATTTTATGGGCTGGCAGGAATAAAGTGAGATTTGCATAGGCATTCTTTGAGTGCCAAGACAGTATCCTAATCAGTTAAAAGCGCTGATTCTGCCTTAACACACATTTTGTGCTAGTAGTCAGAACAGCAACAAAGACAAGAACCCAAAGTTCAGGTTTCCATGATGGGAACAGTTTGCTTAATTAATTGTTTTGCCTGATTTCCATAACAAACTGGTGGCTTGTTGTCAGTGAGGCTTGCTCATTCATTACCGTTAATTAGATATGGATCTCCTGGAAGGCAGCAGAGAGTGATGGACGAGCCTCCTGACACCTGCTATTATGCATTAGCATTTTCTCAATACATTCGATAGATCATCTCTCTCCTCTTTTTGAGGATATTTTAAATAAAATATAACCTGCTCCATCAGTAAGATTTATGTGCCCCCCCCTCTTCTTTGCATGTTCTTTTTCATCAGCCTGGTCAGGAAGTAGTTAATTATTTATTTCCAACACCTCAATTTGCCAGCTTCAAGGTGGTAAGTAGGAGGAGGAAGTGCCTTTTGCTCCCATTTTGCTTGTCTGAACGCTATTACTGATGAGCTTCATTGCTATTTTTAATGGAGCAGGATAATTTACTTAAAGCTATATCAGAAGATAGTGGGAGCACCACAGAAAAAAACCTAACTCTCTTTCCTCATAATTGCTCTCAATATTAAGTGTATTGTTTTGTTTTGTTTTTTAATTGATGATGCTTGCTGGTTACTTGATTTTGCTAGGCCTTTCTCCACAGTTTGTTTTTAATGCAAGATCGCAGTCCTGGATGAATGAAAAAACAATGTCTGTTGCTTTGAATGCAGAGGTCTTGAAACTGGAAAAAACTGAAACTGAAAAAAAATCATAATGTCTGTTCCCTGCCAAAATAGCTTTATCACTGTGACAGTTTCTTGGTTCCTATTCCAGGACAGAAAGTGGCTGAAAACTGATGCTATTGTGAAATACAGATGGGTTTGGGATGGTGTTGAGGAGGCAGTAATTAGGGTGGAAGGTGAGGACTAACCTTTTTGCTTTCCAGGGCATCCCCATAAAGAGCTGGGAGTATACGCATGCCTTGGATCGAACTGTCTGTATGGTGTTTGCACACTTTCAGTAATGGCGCCACCTCCACCTTCCAAGTCAACTGAGCTGTTGATTCCTGGTGTTTCTTTCTCTTAAGCTGGGCCTGGTGTAATTCTATACTTAATGTCTGTGGTCTCCTAATGTAAGTCCTTATAGATCTGTTTGGGCTATGCCTATGTCTCCTCACAGGCCAGAAAATGACAAAATAATGCAGCTGCCCTGACTTCATTACCAGAGTGTTTAACAAATCTGACACTCTCCTTCAGTGCACTAAGTGTGACATTAACCTTTGACCTTCCCAAGCTATATTGACAGTGTCAAAGGAAAGCATGCACTAGTCAATCTTAATTGGTTTTTCAGCTCTCAGCTGAGATCACAGAACCATTAAAGTCCGAGCAGATGGCTTCAAACAGCATTGACATAGGCTGGGAGAACACAGATTAGGCCTAGATTGGCTGGTTCCAATGTTCTATATGGGTGTTAATCTATTTCATCAAAAATGTCCTGCACAGGAGAAGACCAGTCAATGGGAGAAATTGTGAAATTTACTTCTACCCTGAAATATAGATCTTTTTAGATTTTACTCAGATACTGGAAGCACTGATGGTAAAAGGTTGATATTGCTGCAAATTTCTTAATTTTAGCTGCTGACCAGCATCTTGTTGAGGAAATATGATATAGAACATTATAATTTTAGCTTATTGTGTCCCCTGGAGAACTTATACTGTAGAAACTCATTCAGGTATTGGTTGAGGTCTTGTGTTGTCTATTATTACAAACTTCTACAGTATGTTGCTGGCTGAACTATAGGCTTTACCTAACAAAAAACAAGCACTTTTTCTCTAATTTCTGCTCATACAGATAAAATTTCAAGGCCATGGGGAAGGTGTTAAAATACTAAATGAAAATAAATACAGACAAATATTGGGCTAAAGTTTTTAAAAGGAGAAAGGAAATGATGTGGCCTCATTAAGAAAAAACTGAAAAGTAATACGACAACAGATTTTTATGTGTGAAAAATTCTAAATTAGCTCATGGTAGTATACGTACAAATGTATTACTATCATGTGATGATTAGTATCATGTGATTGTAATTAAACTAATTAATGACTGTTTATGAACCAAAATGCTCACTTGGAGTGGAATCTCTGCTTTTGGGCTAAAACTATTGGTTTATTTTCTTATTCTTTTCCCTATTTGATAAGTCCAATTAAAATTAACGGAATTTTAGAATATTAGACAGAATAACAGAATATTATGAGTTTAAGAATTAACCTATAGATTGGCAAAAATCCAATAAATGAATACATTACAATTGTCAAATAATTCATCCTAAATAGTGTTTTATTAAGACTTGTATAATTTGGTTAAATGTTTTTAATATTCTTATGATATCCAGGGCTAGTTCCCTGAAAGAAGTACTTTTTGCTATGTTTATCAGTTCTTAATTATCTCAAACTCTTTTAGAGGAGTAATGGATATAAGGTGGTGTGCAAGTTTTTACATACTGTAAAACTACTTAAATATGGATTTCAGACCTTTTAAAGCCACCTTTCTTGTACTTTACAATGTCCCTGATTCTCTTCATGTGTTTCTCTTCTCTAGGTCTGGCTAGCAACGGGTGGCAAAAGGCCTCCAAAGAACCTGATGACAGTTGATTTGATGATGTTTCTCTGTTTTGCATAAAGACTTATATAGCTCTGTGCATTCTAAACTGTTAATTTAGAACCATAATTTTTACTTCATAATTTTAAGCTATTTGCCCCAAAAGGTTTAAGTATGTATATGTCCAAACATATCCATGTTCTGATTCTAAAATGGGGAAGTGAGCTTCTTTGCCTCTTGAGTTGTTGGGATTTAATTTGCAATCAAATATGAATTTATTTATTTATTTATTTATTTATTTAATTTGATTTATATGCCGCCCTTCTCCGGAGACTCAGGGCGGCTTACAATGGGCTGTAGTCACTTTTTTGATATTCAAGAATCACAACATTCCTGTGGCAGGAATTTTATGCTTTCAATAAATGGCTACGTAGAAAAACTTTAGCAAGCGAATCGTATCTTCATATGTGGTAGATATAATAATTGGGGAAAGTTTCATACAGCACGCTAAAATTTTGCTTGTTAAGCAAGTACTGAGGGCACAAGTGCCCCGTTAGGAAAAAGCTGCCCAAGATGTCTCTTGATGCCACAGCTGAAATGCCTCCTCTTCCTACCGCACTGTGAATTTTTTTTTTTTATTTGATTTATATGCCGCCCTTCTCCGGAGACTCAGGGCAGCTTACAATGCGTTAAGCAATAGCCTTCATTCTTTTGTATATTTTATACAAAGTCAGCTTATTGCCCCCACAAACTGGGTCCTCATTTCACCTACCTTAGAAAGGATGGAAGGCTGAGTCAACCTTGAACCTTGGAGAGATTCGAACCAGCAGTAAATTGCAGGCAGCTGTGTTAATAACAGGGTGTGTAAACCACTGTACTATCAAGGCTCTTCAGGCAGCCTTTGACTAAGAAACAGATTTAAAAGTCCTCTCATACCAGTATTCCTTTTCCCATTTCTGTGGATCACCAGATGACATCTTCTGGGATAATTGGTGGACTTGGTGCCCTGTGTTTTATATCCTTTTAAAATCTTTTTAAAATATCTAGCTTTTAAAAAACTGTAATGCAGTACATCTTCCCACATCCTGCTTTTTTGTGGCGACTGTACAAGGGCCCTCCCTGCTTTTCAGTTTGACCTGCTTTATAAAAGACTTTACCAATAGAGGTCAGCATTGATCTACTTGGAAGACTCACAAATTCTCTTACTAGTCTGAATTTTCTGATATATATATAGAGAGAGAATCATGGCTTGTCGGGCCAAGTTGACTAGGAGTGCCTTGAGCCAGTTTGACTCTGATGGATGGCAAAGCCTAAAAGAATCTTGTCTTGCCATATTCTGAACTTTTAATCACTTGATCTGTCTTCATTTGATTGTCTCATTTTTTTCTTGGTCAATCAGTATGTAATGCCAGAAGAGCCAAGAGGCAAATGTTAACTTCTAAATTACTATCTCTTTTATTTCTCTTTTCCTCCCCTTCTCCAAGTCCATTCCACATAGATTTAATTTCGATATCCTTCATATTATAGCAGAATGATCTGAAATTAGACATCAAATATGTTTTGTAGGATAGAGTTCTGCTAACAGGTATCTCGTATTTTAAAGATTTGGCCAGGGGTGTGATTAAGAGGATTACAATATTAAGAAATTACATTAAGAGAAATTAATAGAGCTTTTGTGGATTTGTTGGCAGCTGGGCTATGAAGGATGTTCAAATGACTCTCGTTCAGAGGAGAAGTTATATCTAGTGTAATGGACCAGTAGCTTCAGGGAACTAGAACTACCTATTTATACTGAATATATGAATGAGAATGAGAATGAGGAAATGGTTTTATGATCTGATGCTACAAAGGTGCTTTTTAAAGAGGCAACTGGACTTTTTGGTTTTTCTTTGAAGACATTTTGCTTCACATCCAAGAAGTTTCTTCAGAGCCGAAGAAGCTTCTTGGATGAGAAGCAAAATGTCTTCAAAGAAAAAATCAGAAAGTCCAGTTGTCTTTTGAAAAAGCACCTTTGGGACAACCATGACCAGGATGACTGAGAATCTCCATAGATATGAACTGATGCTGGTTTTAGATGGAGAATTAGTTAAACTCTCCAGCCTAGAAGTAAAAGGCTTAAGCAATCATGCATCAGTAGGGAACAGAGAACAATATGGTACAGAAGCTTGATTTTATAAGGTAATATGTTGGAAGGTGATTGTGCTCAGCGATCTGACTAGAGAGCTGTGTCCCAAATGAGCTTTCTACTTTGAATTTTACCAGAAACATAAGAGAAATCTTAAAAGGATAACATATTTAGCTGTATCCTCTATTTTATATATTAAGCAGAACATTAACTGAAACTGAAGCTTTTGACTCTGAATCTTTTCAGAGTTCACTGCATCAACTTTTGATACAGTGATTGACATTCACCGCCTTAATTAGCTTTAATTATATATGAGCTGTATTTATATAAAATAAGAGCCACAAGCATAACATAAAATCATGCTATCCTAGAAGTAAAGTCACTCTGCAGGCTTACCTGGCACTGATGGAAAGTCTTTTAATGTTTGTTCAAAATAACTTTTTTGCAAGGTAAGACAACTTTTGGGGACCTCAAACACAGCCTTTAAGCCACAATGCAGCCTCCTAAGTTATTTTGTGCAGCCTGCAAAGATTCACATATCAGCCAGTACTGTCTTGGTATCTCTGCCCTCTGAAGGCTCCTACCTTCTGCCTTTCTCCCTTATCCTTTTCTCTTCTGACCTATCTCTTCCCCTGCTGTCTGTTCCTGTAGCATACTGGAACAGCTTTGTCAGGAGTCCAAGTCTGAAGATGTGTATGTGTCAGTCCTGACACCGGTGCTGAGGATTGCAGTAACAGACAGATTGGGCTTTCAGTCAGGGGAAAATAAAGTGCATTTCCATTTTTGTTCACTGCAGATACACACAGCAATATAATATTTTACTATTTTACAGTAGGCAATATATTTTTCCTTTTATTGACCATCAATATTGTTTCAATTTTTAAGTTATTATTAATTATGCAGTTATTTTAATTGAAATTACAGTTAATCGCTTATCAACAATATTAATATTTATTGAATTTTTGCATTTGTATAAATGTGACTCACTGATTAGCACATTTTATGAAATGTGCCCCCCCCATATTCGTTTGGGTTTGAGACCCCTGTTGTATACTGTCCATCCCAGCACCCACCTAAATAGGAAAAACGACCTTTATCAAGTGCCCTTATTTAAAACAATTATTTGTTGCGAAATTGCACCAAGTATTACTTGCTATTTTAGCTTCTGTGTAGAAAATGTATTTCTATCTTGCGTTCATATTTAGGGTGCGAGCTTTCACTGTGCTTATGTTGAGAATTGAATAAAAGACGTACTGTGTGTCCTACAGCACAGTCCCCATGCAGGAGTGGTACTTGTTCAAACTGAACACATGCAGAGCAGTTCAATGGTTCTTCTGTCATTAATACTTTGCATGGAAAAGGGCATTTAACAGGTGTACATCAGCTGTATCTTTTATCCTTTCAAAAGGTCTCTTCAGAGCAACTGATGAAAGAACAGGATCTTTTGCATTTGCTTATCTGGCTGGTTGATGATATCCCATAGGCAGACTGAAATTTTTTTTGAGGCCTTTGTGACTTCCTGCACCTTTTAGGGGAAAGATAAAGCTTTTTTTCTAGGCATTTGCTGTACAAAGCTCCACTCTCCTTGATTCAATCTACTCACAACTCTTGATCTAAAATTCTGCTCATCCCTTACTTTTTATCAGTTCAGAAAGCCCATATCCCACTCCACAAATGCTGCTTTTAAGGTTTCATAGAAATAGAAAGGATCTTTGTCAAGTCCAAGCATACCCCCATTGCCATTACGATATCCTTGACATAAGGTGCCTAAATTCCTTCAGTGAAAGTGACCAAGCTACCTGCTAAGGCAAGCCTAGTATATTGTTAAACAGATTACACTTTTGAGTATCCAAATTTTGCTTTCTTTTGATTTCCACTAAACCAATTCTAGATATGTTTTTTGAAGGAACATAAAATAAACTATCTGACTTCTAGCTGACATTTTGCAGTGAGCATGCAAAATGAAATATGAGCATATTTCAGAACTATGTAAGTGAACACAGAGAACCCAAAAGCTGCCCATTGTTGATAACCGTCTTAAAACCGGAAGACATAAAAGCAAACTATTAGTCCATCCAGCTGAAGTGAAGCTTATTTGACCTAGAGGACAGCTGATCTCTATCTTCGCTAACTTGTCTTGCTTGGAGCTATTTGTCCAGTGGTTACGATGACGTCTTCTGTGGTCGCTCAAATTTAGTGTGTGCTGGGAAATTATTATATGCTTTATGGGAGAGTCACTGCCAAGATTTCTCTTGCTCTGCCCCATAAATCAGAAAATTCTCCCCTCACCATCACTTTTTGTGGCTTGAGGGAGTCACAAAACTCAGAACAGATACAAAAATAGTTACATTAACTGACCTTGGCCAACTTAGTTATTTATGGCAGCGCCCTGGGTTTTAGTTATAAGCAAATTTCTGATTATGCTTCCACGCTAAGAAATATACCTGAGGAGCTAGGATAAAAGTCAAGCAGAATCTCCTCACTCTTGATAGTTTTTTGTTTTTGATTTGTCATAGTGTGTGACTTCTGGTTTTTAGCAATTCTTTATATTTAGTGTGAACCAGGCCACAATGTTTATGACATAGATCCTAATTACAAAAACTATGGCTTGGTGTAACACACAAATCTAGCCACTATCTTTTGTCATGTGCTGTTAGTTATATAAATACAATTTATTTATAAAAAATTATTACTCTCTGATGCCCTAATATCACACCCACTAAATTAAATATCTGTGAACATCCACCTTTTGAAGAGTTCTGATCACATTTTCATTTTTTGGTAGGCTATGTTTCCCTGATAAAACTTTTCAGGACAAGTAACTTTTGTTACTTGTCCTGAAATAAAGAATACTAGCTTAGTCTGTTATCAGTAAACAGCAATGTGTCCTCCATAAAAGCAGAATTGCACTGGGAAATAGTTTATAATCTGAGTTAAATTCCCTTAGTCATGTAAGCTTTGGAAAGGGTTATTT